TTGAAATAGCCGACCAGCGTTGGAACGTTTGTTGGTAGTCCATGGGTTTTTCGCCGGGCGGGTGTAAAATAAATATGCATATTTCCCCGTTTTTGTAGATTATGGAACCTTCAGTCAGAAACTCTTCAGCCATTTGTGGTGGATTAAACCCCCCTTTCCCAAACCCAGGGGGTGGGCAGGTAGACAGGGGGGAACCAAGAGGTCCCTTTGGGGTCCCAAATTTCCGTCACAAATTTCTTTTTGGGGGGCCAAAGAGAATATTCTTTGGGAAACCCCATTTGGGGGGGAAAGACCCCCCTTTAAAAGGGTGTCCTTTGGGGCCCTGGGATCAGGGTTTCCCAGAGAAACATTTCTTTTTGGCAAACGGCCCGGGTTGGGATCCCTTTGGGGGGTTCAGAGCCCAGCGCGGGGTATTTTTGAAAGGGGGTTTGGGGGGTGGGGGAGCCCTTTGGGGAAACGTGGGATGATGGGGATTTTTGGGCTGTTTGGAATATATGTGGGTGGGGAGGGATTGTGGGAGGATATCACAGCCCAGAGGGGTTGGGGGGGGGGGGGGCGTGAGTGCGGATTGGATTGTCGCTGTGCGAATCCCTTCAATTCACGGAATCATAGAACTCTCAGTACAGATAGTGACGACGTTGCGTGACGGTGTTCGGAACTACCTCGGCTCCGTATTTGATGACAGTATGCTTCCCTGTGAGACGCTTGCGGCGCTAGATCACGTGTCCTATCATCACTCGCGACTTTTCTCTCCTACTGTGAAGCAACAGTATTGTAATGCAGAGATATGAGTCCCAAGAACGACCTGTAATAATACATACACGTTTGCATATTTTCTCTGCGACATCTGCATTCATCCTGTTCCATTTCCACCAACCTAGAACATTGCTACCGTACCGGTAGGAGGCGATTCTATCCGCCAAGACTACTAGTAGAATCTAGCACCCCGCGCGGTTCCATCCAGACCTCACATGGACATCTTGAAGGCTTCCGCAAGGCCATTGCCTCTTACCCATCCTATCCGTCATGAGTAAACGTTTTGGATCTAATTACCACCTATACATTGATCTTTAGCCGTAAATGAGGACGAAGCGAGATACTGTGTGCCATACATGTAGACGACACAAGATTGGTGTAAGTCGGGACTACAAAATAGCTTTGCACCAAATTGTAACAGCTGCTAAATCCATTACAGTGCGATGGGAAGCAACCTGCATGTACTCAATGTGAATTCACTGGGCGGAAGTGTGGTGGCTATGTCCAAGAGATGATCATTTTCCATCACGCGCCTCCAGCTCCCACCCCTACACGACAAGAAACGAAGAAGCCAGGAGTAAAGAGTAACCAGAAACCTCTAGGTCAGCAGTTTGTGGTATTTGGGGGCCAACAATGTCCCTATACAGATGGCATGCCACCGTTCCCGCCCACTTGGGAGGAGTCCGTCGCACTTCTAGTCCAACAATACATCCCCAAGGATGAAATCCCCCTCCTAGGAAACCTTGACGGACCAAGTTCCCGAATTTGCGGCGGATGGGTCCAGGCGCTATTCCACGTGGATCAGAGTAACGCGAACTTTGAGAGCATGTTATTACCTGCGGCCCGAGCCCTGACGCTGTCTATGCTAGTGGCAGACAATAACAGCCAACAACAGTACCTCAACACTTATGTCGATGCACTGCAAGGCATCCGATGTCGCCTAGCTGCACAGAAAGAAGTGACTGACAACGTCGCCGCTCTTGCTGGCATGTGTCTTGCTGTGTCAGAGGTATGCTCTATGAGGGCTCTTGCACTCTTTCAGATATACATGCTGACAAAACCATGAAGGCCCTTATGCCCACATCAGAAGACGGCTGGACAAGTCATCTTCGTGGTGTGGCTGCTATGATGTATGCTCAAGGCCCCGAGACATTCATAGATGGTATATCCCATCTCCTATTCGTCGGATTTCGGCCATTGATAGTAAGTACCTGAAAGGTTCATTGAATCTTGTACAACGCTAACGGCCGCATAAATAGGTGCTGGATTCCATCGTTCACCGTACAGGCACCTTTCTAGAGGAGGAATCTTGGCGGACCATACCTTTCACGAAGCAGCGCTGCTCCACCATGCAGGATTTACTTGGATACGGGACCTCCATAGCATCTCTACTAGAGAAAGTCGACAGGGTAACCTACGAGGTTCCCGAAGCCCTCTGGTCGCTTTCAGTCTTAGACCAGACTCTTCAGGACTGGGAAACCAGCCATTTACAACAGGGAGACGTTGGCTATTGGCCCGTAACACCCAATCAGCTAAACTTGAATGCCAGCCTACAAGGCCTACCAGACACCTGTTTTGCCTTTCCAAACGTGGCATCAGGGAACGCGCTCACTCACTGCTGGGCTTTTCGGGTGGTGTGTTTGCTAGAAGTGATGGGCCCGGAACGATCAATAACGGATGAAGCAAGCTCCAACAATGCTACGCTCAATGAAGGAAGCTGGCGATCACGCATACTGGACTTGACCATGATGATTTGCCAGGGACTACCCTATCTCGTCCAACAAAATATGGGGTTGTATGGTCCCCTGTCAGCGGCGTTCCCACTTGGCATGGTGAACAAGACCATCCACAGACTCGGCTTGCAGGACCATCGCATAGCTGCATGGCACAGCTTGATTCAAGCGCAAATAGTTCCTCGACATGGTCCTTCTGTGAACAGCTCTAACCGATGAAGTAAATGGAGATTCTTTTCGCTGGATCTTTTCCTTCTGCATTTTCACTCGCGACGGGATCGTACGAATGGGTTCCTTGATATCAAACTTATGGTGGAGCGAGCTGCAGCCGTAGCTTCGATAACTTGGAAAACTCATGCGAGTATCTCGCTCATCGAATCTAAAAAATGTCAAAAGCATCCTGTAAGGTTCTCTACCGTCTGCGCACGATTGCTTTCACTGAGGAAGTCCTCAGCCAATTTTTTTCGACCAGCTTTTCAAGTTAGTCAAGAGGACTGCTACAGATGGTGGAACTCGACAACTCGAACCCGCCCATTACCTCTTTGGTTCCTCGCGGGAGCTTTCCATACGCTGAAGACTGGGATGAAAGTGTTATTTGGCAAATCTAGAACCCAAGGCATGGAAAAACTCTGTCATAGATGTTTTGTTCTCTTGTTCAATGTACAATTACAACAGGGAAAGCGTTCATTAACCTGCCAGTAAGGCAGTTACTCTACCTTCAAGGATCTTCAGCTGATGATGAAGTGCTCGAATTGTGGCGTTCATGCTCAGCCACACTACTGGTGGTGTTGGTGGTGGTGGCTGTTGCTGCTAATCTTGCTCCGCCCCCTCGCTGCTGCCTTGACAGTCTTCCTCGCTGGCTCATCACTCACATCATTCTTTGTAAAACATCTCGAGATTTATTTTTATTTTGGAAAAGCTTTGTTAATACTGAAGCGAAGCGAAAGCAAGGCAACTTGCAACATTCCATCCCAATTTCATACCTGATGGATATTGCGCTGCAGGCACAGACAAGGCCGGATGCAAATGGGATTTCGTCGACCGCATTCAGCGCCAGCAACCGTGCAAAACATTATGGAACGGACTCCTATACAAGTGCATACCAGTATCGGCCACTCGATCAGACGAAACAGCAGATCCGACTTGTGAGATTATATCGCAATCCCTATGCAGATCTTGATGACCTATCCTCTTCGCTCAGCAAGATTTCTTGCAGCATGAATATTTTTAATCTGGACGATGCTCCTCCGTATACTACACTCTCCTACACTTGGGGTAGCCCGCTATCTGTCCGAACAATTCGCATGGATGGGAAGCAGCTTGTAATCAGGAAAAACCTTCACGACTTTTTGATGGCTTTCTGTAACGATCCGGCAAATACCTGTTACCTTTGGATTGACCAACTTTGCATTGACCAGCAGTCGAACTCCGAGCGAAATCATCAGGTTCAAATGATGTCACTGGTCTACCGGCGATGCACATGTGTTATAGTATGGCTTGACCTGCTATCAGCCGAAGTAACGAAGGCATTTTCATCCGCTCCCAGCGTGCCGTTAGCGAGGATGTTACTGGACAACAATTATTTCAGTCGTCTCTGGGTCATTCAGGAGATACAACTATCTCCAGAAGCTTGGTTATACTGTGGCCACACCTGGATACCATGGAGAGCACTTGCAAGAATTGTAAATAGTGCTGAATACCACCAAGGCCACCGATTGTCATTCAAAGAGTGGTTGTTCACAAAAAAATTCCTCTTGCCTCTTTTGACAGTTATCTCGAGATACGGTGCGGCCCAATGTCAAGATCCCAGAGATAAAGTGTATGGATTACTCGGTCTCGTTCATGAAGACCAAAGACCAGTTGTAGATTACAGCAAGACACTGCCAGGTATATTCACGGATGTGATGAATATCCATCTGAAACATCACCACTTTCCGGCGTCCGGAGATTTCTGGCTCTCAGAACGTTTGCCCTATTTAGACCTAGCCGGGGCGCTTGGCTTCTGCCACTGTCGAAAGCAGGCCATGAATGAACTGATAGACCGAGTTTTTGTCGAAATCGAAGAGCAAACATCAGTCAAACTTTTTGGTCTACCCCTTGTCGGCTTTGATGAGGTGAACTCGACAATATCGACTCCAGATCGCTTTTGGTTAGAAGTGCGAGGGCAAAGAGAGTACTTCGAATGCCACGAGTCTGATGGTCCTTGTCGAGCATGAGCTAAGGAACATACACAACTGTTACCAAGGGTTTACGAAGTGTCTACTACCCCGCTGAACCGAGGTGATTTTGCAAGCGCAACCTCAGGATGCAATTGTCCCGAACGCCTTCGTTCGGCTGCAATTCTTCCGGACAATCCATACATCCGGAACCCATGTCCCTGATCATCACAAACAACATATCTTGAAGCCAAGCTTCCCCAGATTTACTCCATGCCCCAGGATTCCTTCTCCCAATTCCCCAGAATCCCCCCACCATGAAGCTCACCGCCGCTTCCTGTGTCGCCACACTGGCAGCGCACACCTTCGCAACATCAACACCAACACCAAGCCTGAGTACCCAGAAAGCAAAGTTTAATTGGAAATCCATCAAATCCGTTATAGCCTTCGGCGATAGCTACACCTACGTCCAAGGTACCCTCGGCCGCGCGAATTACACTTTCATTGGCGACGCCTTCAACCTCTCATTTACACCGGAAAAACTCTTCTCGAACCGTATTGTCCAAAATCAAACTTCCACAGCCCAAGGTGGGCCCAATTGGGTGGAATACCTGACTGGCTGCGGCGTTGCGCCAGGTCTCCACGACCCACAATCTTGCAAGACCCAGCTCTGGGATTTCGCATACGCGGGCTCCAATACAGTCAGTCAAAAAAACTTCACGCCTGCGCACTGGAACCACACTGTTTCCTTTGAGCAGCAGATTCAGCAATTCGTAGATTATGGCAATCCCGCGCTCGAAACCATACGCTTGAAAAAGAAAGACGCATTGATCGCAATATGGATTGGTATCAACGACATCAACGACCTCGCTCACTTGAGGGGCAAAAATGCAACATTTGCGCCATTGTACGAAACAGTGCAGACTTATATATTCCAGAGCATGGACAAGATTTATGACTTGGGATACAAGAAATTCCTTTTCATGAATTTGCCGCCGCTGGATCGGGGACCCAGACCGTTGGTCAACACGTCGCTGGTGGCCAGCTTCAATGCTATTCATGCTGCGCATGCGAATGCGTTTCAGGCCAAGCACGACGATGCGACGGTGCTGCAGTACGATGTCAATGGCGTTTTGAACAATGTTCTGGATAATTACCAGGATTACGGATTCGTAAATGTCACGCAGACTTGCCCGGGCTACAATCAACCAGATATTCGAACGGACCCGGAGAAGTATGGATGTGGAGCGGGATTGGACACGTACTTTTGGTATGATGCCGGGCATCTGGGAAGTCGGACGCACAAGGTTTTCACAAAGAAGTTGGCCAAGTGGTTGCGGATGCAGAAGTGAAAGGGTTCCTATTTGTTGGTGTATATATATGTACAGAATAAGATATAAAGGTGTTGCATTTTCTGTTCTTTTAGTGCTCAGAACCAATCGTCCCAATCTGAGTCTCCGCCTCCGTCTCCACCGCTTTCACTGCCCCCTTGCTGGCCCCATGGATCTTGTCCTTGGTTGTTATTTTGAGCCCACGGGTCGTCTTTCTGACCCCAGATATCTTCGCCTTCCTGGCCGGGTGGACTTTGTGGTTGATCCACTGGGTTTGCCTGATATGGGTCCGTAGCCTGAGGCGACATGTCGTCTGCCTGAGTTGCTCCCCGACCTCTCTGCATGGCTTCGTATCCGGCCATTGTGGCTGCGCCCGTTGCAACGCCCTCTGCTGAACCGAGACCCCGTGCGGCTGCGCCAGCGCCTGCAATACCAGTCTCGCCGGCAGCTTCTATAGCCCCAGCACCAGCACCAACAACACCAGCCTCTCCCGCTGCTGCTCCGCCTGCTGCCGCACCGCCAGCGGCTTCGCCACCACCCATCCACATGGGCATCCACATGGGCATCATGCCACCAGAGCCACTGTGCCGACTAAAGTAATCGAAGTCAATACTAACTGCCGTAGCAAGCATAACAGCGCGCTGATCGAGCGTCATACCCGGATAGCCCTTCATCGACGATTTCCCTCCCTCATTCGTCTGCGAGATGAGATGAGATGGCTCAGTCGACAGCGCTGCCGAATCCATACGCAGCGCGTACACGCCAGTGTCTGTGAAAATCTCCCGCGCAAAACCAGCGAAATTACGATTCACAGAACCCACGAGGCGGCCATCTTCAGACATGAGACTAAAGTCCCAGCTCAAAAACGGTTCATCAACACGAGCAAACTGCACCATGCCGACTTCCCTGCTGTCGCCTTCTGCAACTGCCACCGCTTTGGAGTTTGATAGTGGGAGATCGCCAGAAGATAATTGTGGTGTCCCTGGAGCGGCAGCGCTGTCGTCCAAGTTTCGTGCGAGGAAGAGGTTATATTTCCGTCTCATTAACCCCCACTCCTGTTCGGCACTGCCAATGATCCTCATGTCACTCAGTGGCATACTAGAGATGTTCGCACTCGTCTGACTGACAATGCTGTCTGGACTGATGCCCTGCAGGCTGGTAGAGTGTGTGTATGCAGCGCCATCAGCCGCTACAGCATCGTAGACTCGTATGCGTGAGTTGATCCAGCTGAACGGGCGATGGAATCTCAATATTTCCCTTTCCTCCCGATCAAAGACATGTGTCGTGAAACTCCGATGGGTCTTGAACATCTGCCTGGCCATCGCGTTCCCAAGCCCGTGGTCCCGCTCGGCAAGGTAGCCGACGTGATTGCCGTGGGGATCCATGATGACGTAGCGATTTGCTTGCTCGAAGCCCATGAGCACATTCATCATCTCGAGTTGGCGTTGCACGACGAGGGTCGAGTTGTCGAGGAGGCGCATTGCCGGATGAGTTTCTTTGAGCACGCCATGCGGATCTTCGGGGATGTGTACGGGAGTTATGAGGGTGTTTTCGGAATCTGGCGTTGTAGAGAGAGCGTTGGAAACGGCTTCGACTTTTGAGGGTTCATGGGGGGCGTTTTTTGGGGTTTCTGTGGGATCGTTTGGTGGAGGCGGTGGTGTATTACCCGGGGGCTTGGAGGAGTACGCTGGGATTCTTCGTTTCGGGGGAGCGTGTTTTGGAAAGCGTCCGCGAGGACCGGGTGGTGAGGGTGTTGCACGGGTTGCGAAAGCTCGTGTATGTGGTCGTGGTAGTCGCAACGACCACCTCAATGTTGGTAGCATTGCTTGGCAGTGCTTCAGATTCTACCAGAGTGTCTCTAAATGTTATCTTGAATGAGAATGTTATCAATGTGCAGATGTTCGTGACCAAGAACGGTATAGCAGGAGAGGGAGATGAAGCTGCGTTCTAGAAGCAACGCGAGGAAGAGGTTGTCGCGATTACGTCATTACTATCATCTACCAAGACTCCGACACAGTCAGTTGCTATGACTCCAACTCGCGATGTCTGTTATAGAACACAGTTTTAGGTCTTAAGATGGGTGACCTACCCTAATGATATTGCTGGCATTGCGGGTGGATGTAGCTGTGGATGATAAGTAAGCCAATCAAAAACCTGCGTCGGTCGGCCCGTCAGTTTATCCGCTCAACTGCTAACTTCGCGCAACTTTTACTTCAAAAGCTCCGCACACTCACCATGTAGCTCTCACAGCATTCGCTCGTAAAGCGACGACTTAATAACGCGACAGCCGGGTATGTACAATCATACTTTCTTTAGAACCCTTTTATGATGACACCTTATCACTGATAAGTGCGACGGTGCAAGCATTCACTTGATTGCACCAGTTGTTCTATGCTGTTTCCGTTACAAATAGACTACAACGGTATCTGATCTACGCAAACACTAAATGCTCGTATCTGACTGTCCAATGCGTTCATTGCTGACGTCGCGACAGTTTTATGTGAGATTATAAACTGGGCTTCACTTGATCCATATGGCAATAGCCACAGAGCCTGCGCAGGCACCTATCTCGGCTGAGCTACCGGGCAATGGTGATGCTGCAAAGAGCGAAGAGAAGGCTACAGATAGTGTACCGAGGAAACCACGTCAGAAGCGACCAAATTATCATGAAATTCATGCCAAGCCACTCCCATTTGATGTGTACCCGTTGCCGGCCTTCATACCCCACAACCCCATATCCATTGTGAGAATCGCCATTGCCCTGCTCTCGAGCTCAATCTGGCCACCAAAGTCTCCTGCCATAACTCACAGCGCATATTACTCGCCGGAGACGCAGTCGATTCATGTTACAGATCCCGCATCCATACGTGCGCTATGGGAACAGGGATTCTGGGGCAAGGGCTCGCTCAGCAGAAGTGAACCGCAGTGGCTGGTTGCAGAGAAGCGGAAGAGAGGTGCTGAGGCTTCGAAGACTAGCGCTGAAGTGACACAATCGAGACGCGAGGAACGAAGACAGTTCAAATTGGAGCGGGCAAAGGCGCAACGGGAGGCCATCGAGCAACAATTACGGGATGAAGGAAAGCTTGATGCGGATGGTACGCTCAATGATCTTGTCGATGATGGGCAGGTGTCTGAATCACCACGAGGCACAATTTATACCGCTGAAGCCGGGGATGTTGTGACTGTTACTGGGAACTCGATCGTCTCCACAGTTGATGCAACTCTCGCAGGTAATGCGCTATCTTGGGGTGAAAGCACTGCCCCCGCAGCTGAAGAGGACGACATTGTGGACATGGAACATTTGCAGCTTACACCCGAAGAGGCTTTCTTCCTCTCGTATGTGCTCGGCGCACTGGATATCATCCATATCAGCGGGGCCGAGTTGAGCTCCTCTGGACAGCCATATCCGCCATGGTTACTATTACGAATCTACTGCGCTTACGCTTCGATTCCGCATGAAGCTAAGGATCTCGAAGGCCTGGCCACGAATCTCCGGGCCGCATACAACACTTTAGAGAGTGCTGCTTCTATCGACACCGCTCTGACATGTATACCCGAGATCTCTCCTGACAACCCTTTCATGCTCAAGTACGTCGTCTACCACCACTTTCGCTCCTTGGGATGGGTTGTCCGCCCTGGCATAAAATTCGCAGTCGATTATCTCCTCTATTTGCGCGGCCCAGCGTTCACCCACGCCGAGTTTGCCATCATCATTATACCTTCCTATTCGGATCCGTACTGGAAGAACGCAGTCGAGGGTACTACAAGCATGAAGGATAAAGACTGGTGGTGGCTACACCGTGTAAACAGGGTGCAAACACAAGTCATGAAGACGCTACTGCTAGTCTACGTCGAGGTTCCAGCTCCATGGGACCAAAGGCACACAGGAGCCGACTTCAAGGTCGACATTGGTAATGTGCTGCAGAAGTACACAGTCAGGGAGTTTGTGCTGAAGAGATGGAGTCCGAGCCGGAATCGAGACTAAATCCAACCGATGTGGTTGTATGTATGAGCTATGAGTCCAACACAAATGATACCCAACTCTCCAGGTAGTTCTGGTCCAGAAAAGTGACTACTGGATATTCTTGCGTATCTTCTCATACCGCAACGCGTCGTGATTACAGATGAAGATTTTGATCTTTATTAAGCGTAAAAGCGATGCAGAGTGGGGCAAAATCAATCTTATCGAGACATTACAGCATTACAATGGCTCACATTCATAATCCCTCAGTATCCCTCACTCATGCCTTGATCTCCTGCCTCGCCACTGGCATCCACTGCTACAATCGGACTCCTCATGAACCATATCTACGCCGGCCTGAACAAAGAATATATGTCTGAGACCTTGCGTTGTACGCTCACTAAACGCCGTTTCTCTCATGTCGCCCGGCTTTAGACCCCTCAGAGTACATCACATACTACATGGCGAGTGCTTGGAAGCCAGAAGACCCCGGGACTGAGGTGCTATACCGTGGCCATGTGTCATCAACCATACCCATGAATTAGATAACGGTCTAGGTTCATACATAGGCATACTGCCGAAGTCGTAAATGTTGCGTCTGATCCCCATGCTGGACGGCGGCGTAGAGAAACGTACTGGCGGAGCCGTACTGGCGGAGCCGTACATAGGGATGAGGGAGTGATTGTAGGTGGACACAATCGTGGCAACAGTCGAGTGGATTAAAGCGATTGCGAGCTGCCATGGTTGCCATGAGGTGGGCGCAAGAGTCGGTGGGCTCGCTTTAGTTCCATGAAAGAATCGGTTGGTTTGGCGAGTGACAATCTGGCGTGTGATGGTCGAGAGATCCTGGTGGGATTGAGAGTGCAGGCCGTGCTAAGTGTTCTTTGGCTGGATGCTAATCGCCCCTCGCAATTGAGTTGTAGAACTGATGGGGCGACCGTTGAACCAAGCTCAAGATCTCCCTGCTTTCTTTTTCGTCGAGGTGCCCGTTCCATGATAAGAAGCTTGGTTCTACTTATAATATACTTGACTTATATGCGCAACGTGTCTCAGCGCTCTTCTTCATCACTAGAAGGAGGATCTTTGATCATCTTTGGCGGTATATCATCGGGGTGTGGATTGCCCTCATGATGGCCATCGCCTCTTGCCTGACTCCAGAGGATCATAAAGACGAGGAAACCGAGAAGAACTGCGATGACTGTTGGGGCTGCGGGGTGGCGCATGGTAGTGTTACTGTTTTCTTTGGTCCTGATTAGACCACTCGCAGGATCCGATGATTTCCAAGGTTGGTCGAGCTATGACCCGTGACAATGCGATGACACGTTGAGATGCGAAGTCACGTAGAAAGCGGCGTAGAATACGCTCTGTCGATAGAAATATATGAGAGTACACGTTTTTTAGTGAAAAAGAAACTTATGGCTTGGTAATAGTTGATAGGAATAAGGAAGCAGTAGAAGGAGATGCGGATTGATGAGGATTTCGGGCTTTGACGGAGATAAAAAAAAACACCTACTAGAAAGTATCCATCGAGTCTACTGCTTACGTAAGTCTTCAACTGGCTCACTACCAGACTGACACCAACACAAGGAAAAGAAAACATTGACTTAAAAGACATGAAGTTATTCTTATCAGCAGGAAGGCCTATACCGCAACTTCCGGAATTTCACTGGCTGAATGCATATGTGCAGTGCAATGTCTGGACTTGATAGTCGTATTAAAGGTGGCCAAAACCGTTCACTAGACACCGCATTATTTGTTGCCAAAGTCCATCAAACATCAATTATTTCACTGGTATTTCTCTGAAAAGACCCTTATAGCTACTTTGGTACTCTGCCGAAAAGTCTATATCATAGATTTTACGCTACAGGCCCATTAATACCTTCTTCAAGAATTCTCATCCCAATAGGATAAAACGTCCTGCCAAAATGCTCGCGAGGACAACGACCGCGACAATTGCGTTGCTCTCCAAGTGTAGAGTGCAAGGTTGGAATGGACACGTAAAACGTACAAAGTGATCCCAGCAGATCGCTTCATGGCCAATCTTGCAGCATATCTGACAGACGTCCCTAGCTCGAAAGGGCTTGCTAGAGCAGAGTAAAGCAAAAATGTAGCAATTTGTATTCTTAATATTGTGGTGTACGTATACAAGAGTCATGTGTGAACCATTGAGTGCCACTAAATACATACCATAGATACATGTCAGTAAAGAATTGAAGAGTGAATCATAACGTGTTACCTGGAGCTTTCAAGACATTCTCTATCTAATATTGAACTAAATGAATCGACGTTGCGATCATTTGTGTTCCGCGCTCGGTTTTTCCGTCGCTAATTCCATTGTTTCTCGGGGTCATACTGACAGTGGTGGTCCAAACAAGCTCAGAACCTACTTATAATACTACAACTAGTGGTTGAGCCAAAGGCTGAGGAACGTCACGGAATCCACAGCCAAGATGTCATCTTAGACAACGCTCCATATATTCCCACGGGTCAAAATTCACCATTTGCTTAGAGCAGTGGGACAATTTCAAAAGCTAATGAGGCAATAATCTTCCAATGATCTGAATGGGCAATTACCGGGCACAGTGCCATGCTGCTCTAGCTGGAGGGTCTATTTTCCTGTTCTTTGCGGTGGCTTCTTTGGGCGAGGGAGACGGAGGTTATCACTGCAAAATCCTGAAAGGAATCCTTCGAGGTGATGACAAAGATTTTATTCGCAAGCTTGAGATTAACATCGATTTTAATATCGAAGTGAAATAATGGCTCTTCTATTGGTTCGGTTTAATGCCACGCTGACATGCCTAAGATCGTGTAGGTGTCATTGGCGAGGTCTACGTCCTCTTGCATGGCGCTAAGCGACGAGGCGGCTCCATGACTGCACATGCGTGATCATAATACGCGGTTACATCTTCACTCAGCCTGATCAACTACCAGGTGGAGAACTAGGTTCCACTCTAACTGCTCCAACTGGCTTCAATCCCTCTCAAAACCGCTTCCATTGCACGGCGACTGAGTATGTCTCAGATCTACAGATTCGAGCCGCTATCGAACGCAAGAACGAAAATCAGGGTTGTTATCTTACAGCCTGGACAGTATAAGGATGAAATTGTGATTTCGTTCTTTGTGAACACACTCACGACCAATGGAGTGGCGAACAAAGAGGTGATATAGCAGTCAACCAAATCGTCAAAAGCAGATGGCTCATGCGCAGTGAGATTGACCAGAGAGCACCGCTCAAGTACGAAACCCTATCCCATGCCTGGGGAAGCAATAAGAAAGAATGGTCTGTCCTTGTGAAGAACCTTGGACAGCATCGTGGCAGACTCGCCATTACACAAAATCTGGATGTTGCGCTTAGACACCTTCGATTACGGTCACAGACTCGTTCCATTTGGATAGACGCTATATATCAAGCAATCGGAAGATGTAGAAAAAGGCATGCAGGTGGCTATGATCCAGAAGATATTTTCGCGCGCAAGTTGTGTGATTATGTGGCTTGGGCCCGAAGAGGACCAGAGCAGCGAAGCTCTTGCAATGATGCAAAACTGGGCCGATCAGATTAGAGTAGACAGGGATAATTTTCTCAACGATCCCCGTGAGATAATTTATGGTCGATATCGGGCAGAAAAAAGGAGCATGATGAAATATAAGAAAGAGGAGCTCGAATCAATGACCTCGTTGCTACGGAGACCGTATTTTGAGCGGCTATGGGTTCGACAAGAAGTAGGCCTCGCTTCTTCCGCATTGCTTCGATGTGGCCGTAAAGAGATCGAATGGCAAGATACCCAGGAGGTGGTCTTTTGTCTTATGGATCAAGGATTTGATCATTCCCCTGCTCCAAAGATCGCCGGTCCCATGCTTGAACTTGGCATAGACAGAGCTTTTGAACTGTGCCTGACCCGGCTAAGTAAAATCCGACTTACGACCTTGAGATACCGTACGCAACATGCGTTGTGCTCTGATAAGCGGGACTATCTTTTTGCGATTTTGGATCTGCTATGTCAAAAGGATCAGTCACTAGGTATCACACCACATTACACATGCACAGCAGAAGATTTGTTCACCGACACAACGAAAAGGTACATCGACCAGAACAGTAGCCTAGATTTGCTCCTCACTTGCGAACTTTCCTCCAAGTCACTTGAGATTCCCACTTGGGTCCCAGACTGGTCCAGTCCTATCACATTAGGAACATCTTTTCAGGAAGACTGGAGTGTATGCGGCTGGATATCTGCACAAGCGACTTTTTTGGCAAAAGACCAACTCCTCGTCAAAGGAATTGTGTCCTCACAAGTGGAATGTGTCATCGACACCCCTCCTTTGGTTGGCAATATGACTAATCCATTAGAAATGTTGCGGGAGTTGCAATCGATGACTCAGCTGGAGCATGATCAGAGTTGGGAGAATCCAAGATTTCTCCGTCAATGGATCGGCCTTTTGTTCGAGGGTTGGCATACAGAAGATTTCCAAAGTCCACAAGAAACTTTTTCAACCTACAGCAGACATGGAGAGCTACTGAGCCTCATATTATCCTCTGATGAAACATCTACAGAGTTGCAGAAACGAATGAGCTGGAATATTTCTCCCGCTCTCAATCGAATCAAATCGGTACTGATGGATCGCTGCTTTGTTCAAATGTGGGACAAGAGATTCGGTCTTGCACCAGCAGGCACCCAAGCTGATGATATTGCTGCCGTACTTCTAGGATGTCGGGCCCCAATTATCATCCGTCCTTTGTCGCAATCAGAAGCATACCAGACGTGTAAAGTCATTGGACACTGTAGGATGCCAGGAATAATGCGTGGAGACACGATATATCGCAATAGGCTGCCCAAACACTGCCACTTCGTCTGGAGAGAAAGTTGGAAGAATGATGAATTGATCGATGACTCCAGGTGCGCTCTGTACAACCCAGAAACGGGAGAGTATAAAACAAACCCAGCCGAAATCCTCGAAGAAGTGGGAATCAAAGTCGAAAGTTACCAGAGGGATCCTCACAAGCTTATCGTCCTTCCGGAGACATTACGAGCCGCTGGGATTCCACTAAAGGACTTTGTCATTGTTTACTACTTGCATGAAACAATCATATCTCCCCCAAAACTTCAACACACAAAGAGTAACAGCCAAACATCCACACAGCTACGTGGCCTCTGGCCCCTGCAAAGCCTAGGAATGAAACAAACATCCACATACTATAGACATGATCCTCCAGGCAACGATATCACCAATCCATCCTCCGCCATCCCTCCCCCCCTGCCAGGCGACCAACCATATACCAAAGTCTCTCTCAGCATCCACGCCTCAGCCAAACGACTCAGAGGATGATCCCCATTATCAAGGTCCCTCAACTAGAGTAGCACAACTACCTTGCCAGACAGCTACTATCATGCACAATCCATGTATGTCGAATAGTACGTTGATGGATCAGACCAGGCAATGCTCCACCCAAGCGACCCCCTAGTTTATCGTCATTCTCGTTGGAAATCTTATCAGATCATCAGCCAAGATCCGACATCGCACCGACCCACCGCCACTCGCAATTTGCCCCTCACTCCGAAGCATTTCCCCCCAACATATGCCCCACGCCAGTGTAGAACCCTCGCGCGCGTTTTGTGATTGGTTAGATTAGTTTGGACAGTGGGGAAAGGGATGAGAGGGGGGAACAGGGGGCGGGAAGTCTTACAAAGGGTGGTGGGGTATGGAGGTGAGACGATGGTCGGTTGCCTGTGTCGGTCATGCCCAATGTGGAGTATTTTTCAGCTGCATCTGCAGTCCTTTTTTTTTGAGGGGATATGGGAGGATGGACACATATCATAAGAATCTCAATCTCTGATTAAAAGCTTTTGATATCATATAGATGGCTTGTTTGGACGTTTTTGGGCACATAGACTATACCTAACCAACGCCCTGACCGTGGAATCATAAACCATGCAGGGAAAAAAAGATGCTGCTGTATATACATGAAGGTGCAAGAATCAACGCCAACAGAACATGGGCGGAATGTGACATGTCTAACGGGTATCAAAGTGAATGAAAGGATGCGAAGCGTGACTACTTCGCCACGTTGAACTGAGACACTGCACCGAGTCCACCCTCATCACTGGCATTGGCCATGGGCGAATCCCCAGCTCTTCTTCGCTCTTCAGCAAGCCGTACAAGCGTTGCGTGGCTGCCATCTGAGGGACGTGGCTTGATGGGGTGCCTGGCGTGTTGCAGTGTGGTCAGGATGCTACTAGCATCTAGCTCCATTGCACTATACATCCCAGGCTCCATAGTGAAAATTTCTCGTCGACCTTCTCGTGGGAGAGATGTGTGAGGTATAGGCTTGAGGTGCCTCCAATCCATATGATCGTCATCGACCGGTACACGGCCGTCAAGCAGCTTAAAGGCATCACTGCACCCAATCGATCTCTCACCAACAGCCGGAGAGGAGCAAGGCTTGTTAAGGTCGATTTGGGTTTCCACTTTGGGCTCCATAGCGGGGAGCGCAACACTTCTGCTAGAGTCCCGGCGCAAGAGGGGACGAGGTACGCTTGTACTTGAGCCACGGCGAGAACTGGAAGAGTTGTTACTTTGGTTCGAATTTCGCCGCGAGAGAGGTGGTGTCGCTTCGCTCCGTAGCTGAGCGATTCTTTGGCACCAAGCTCGCTGCTTAGGGTTCCGTTGACAGTCTTCGCAGCTTCCAGGCCCGCCCATGACCGGGGCAAGCTTTACATCCTCCATGATCTCAACTGGGGCCATACCATCAGGGCCATCAGGACGAATGGATGCGTCCTTGCAAAGACAAAGCTCTGGATGACCCTCACACCAACCGCAATCCTGGTTCTTGGAAGGATCATCATTCAAGGATAACATCGCATCGGACTGTTGCGGAGCGCGGTTCGTTACTCGGGCAAATTTGGCGGTGAAGTCAATCTCTTGTTCCTCGAAACCCCCAGTTTCATTGACTGGATTGCTATCAGACCGCTCGATGCCAGTCATGGGGGTTGTACCATCACGTGGAGGTAGTGGTACAGCCTCCATGGGAGTCAGTAGTTGGGTTTGGAACGACATGTCGTTAGCAATCTCTTTGATGCATGCACAGTCATCAGGATTGCATCCGTTGCATCCCAGCAAGTCGGTGGTCTTTGGCGTGCCATAGTCCTGGGGACTAGTAATGGACCCTCGTGGGGAGTCGTGACGGGCATCATCGAGAGGGCTCATGTAGAGCATTTGCTGTCCGTTGAGGAGATTGGGCGCTTCTTGTTGCACGGTCCCAGGAGCGAGAGACTCTTTCAGGCGATGGAAGTGCTCCTTCCAATAGTCTCGCTCTCGCGCGATATTGGCGTTGAGATCTCGAAGCTCGCGCAGCTCGTTCTGGAGCCGATCATTCTCGGCGATCTGTTCATTGAGCGCATTCCTGTGTGCTTGTTCGACTTGCTCGACTTGCTCGGTCAGCTCTTGCACCTTTGCAGCTTTACGAGCTCGGAAAGCGCGCTGCGATTCGCGATTCTGTGCCTTCCGTTTCGAGGCAGGCTCATCGGTGGCGGGCTTGCGCCCTGGCTTTGGTCGAGGTGGAATGGTGTAGAGCTTGCCAGTAGGCCCCCCGCCACCTACCGAGGGGCCACTTTCATACTGAGGCGATGACACCTTGGTAACCGGACCTCGAGGGGAGACGTCGGTCGACTGCTGTGGAACGAGGACTGATTATACATGTCAGTCAGCGGCGCAGGCTTGGCGTGGAGGAGTATAGGTGGGGTGATGGCCATCGCGAGCTGGAGCCATGTCTGAGGGGAAGAGAAGCAAGACTGGCGGAAAAACAAGCAAGCTGACACTCCAAGCAATGATATACAGCTCTTCTAGGCATAACCGCAGCGAACCGAGGGTTACCGTCCATGCAGGCAGAAAACAAGAGTGGCACAACTCACCTCGTGCGTTGGAGGGACGCCTTACCGAGTGTGCAGACGAGTCCTGCGGCGTTGAAGTTGGCAAGGGTGAATTGACGGGAGAGTCACAACTATTGGCATCTGAAGGTGAGGGGGTAAGACCAGCGTAGCCACCATTGTCCGACATTGTTGTAGCAGCTGGATGCGTGGAAAACGAATAGGGCGAGGTGGGCGTTATCAGATGGAGATCCTGGTTATCAGATCAAAACCCATCAGCCGACGCGCTATCCCGAACCCGGCCGAACTCGGAGCGGAGCGGATTAACGTACCGTGAGTGAAAGCCACCGCCGCCAGAGGCACAGATGCTTTGACCACAGTCAAGTTCGGTGGGGGCTCCCCTAAGTACATGCATCATCCAATATATATATATATATATATATATATGTTTACAAGGCCGCAGGCTATGCAGGCGTGGACGTCACGGTGTGTGTCATTCAGTCAAAGGAAGTATACCGGTACGGTACCTAGGATATCCAGCATCACATGAGCGCATCAGTCCATACCTTTCCAAGCACGCCGTCGAGCTGCCGGTGCTTTCATATGCTTACCCACCTGAAACGGCAGATGGAAACACATGCAAAACTGGCGCAAAAAGAAACCCTTCCGCTACTCTCTGTGTAGCTTCTTTGGAACAAGACGCAATGGCAAAACCCGACAAGTCAGACTGCATTCCAAACTACCTAGGTACATGAACTCATCGAATAGACCTCTCGGTGCTCCCTTGATGGCATGCTGCTCATTTCAACGTGAGAACATCCAGCTCGCTCAAAACAAGGTATCCCCCCCTCCTCCCCTCACACTAGCTCCCTACCTTGCGCACCACAACCTCGTTCCCACCGTCCATTGCGCCGTATGGCCCCGCTCTCACCGCCACGTGCACATTCACCCCCCAATGCTTGGAGTTCTCAGCAGCAACAATAGCAGCTTCTTCTTCGAGGGCTTTCGCAACCACGCCGATTTTGCTCCCGACGGTGGAAAGTTCGGCACTGAGTTTGGCGAGTTCGCCGGCGAGCCTTAGGAGATTGCCTGGGGTTTCCGATGTCATTGCTGCGAGCTCGATCCAACGACTTGGACTTTAGAGGGCTCAAGCTGGGTGGTTTTCAGGCTCCTCTTCCTGGTATGGCTTTATGATTGATACGAAAAAGCAAGAGGTTCAAGAATGCAGTTAGTGGTGGTATGCTGCAAAATCGAGGAGACAGAGTTGCGGATCCTTCGTTTAAAGGTAAATCTACAGCGCGAAATATGGAAGTGCGTATTGTTTGCATTGCCAGATCACTCGACGAACCAAGGTCAGTCATTGCATGTCTTCACGCAATGAATGATGGACAACAAATCACTTGATTTCGAACGCTCCATTGTACCCTGGTCTAAGCTCTCGAGTCACCCTGCAACTTCTGTAGTCCATCCAAAACCTGATCCTTCGTCCAGCCATTCTCAAGGCTCTTTATTAACAAGTCTTGCTCGCTTGAAGGCGCCATGCCTGCAGTTTCAGGTACCCTTCGGTCAAGATTAGTTGGAAATGGATATCCTTCTGCTACGTGGCCCACAAAAGCCCTGACTTCTTCGCTCAGCCCTTCTCGATGGTGCAAATCAGCCAAACTGTTCCATGTCGCTTCAATGAGCGGAATTGTGTCGATCGTTTCCATCGGCTTGCCAAACGCCGAGCTTATTTGCAGCAGATTAGCAGAACGCATTACATCCTTCGAGTCGTTCTGACCGGCAGCATGAAACAAAGCTGGATTGAAGAATAGTCCATCACCTTTCTCTAGCGGAATTGAGACGTATTTTTTCAGAAAGTAGTCCTGGTGTTCTGGGATACGATAGGCCATATACCCCTCCTCGAACTTTTGGCTAAACGGTAGCAGCCGCGTTGGCCCACTCTCAACAGGCATATCTGAGTGCGCAACTGCGCCCTGTAGCGTCAAGAACTGACTCGCGATGTGTATTGCTTTAGGAAATCTCGCACATGCCCCATTGCCCTGGAACCCGATATGGTAATCTCGATGCGAGATTTGCGCTTTTGCCCCAGGTTTCACAACATTGACCTGTGCCGTAAGTCTGTATTGCGGACCTAGCCACGCAGCGCATATCAACGGTAACCATGGGTTTGAATAGTACTTCAAGAAAGACTCCGAATCCTGCATGCAGTGTTTGGAGAACGAGTTCCAGATGCGGTCGTTTGCGCCGGAGCCAGCAAAATGGTCGCCGCGTTGTCCGGAAATTTCCTTCTCTTTAGCGATGATGGATGCAAACACAGTGCTCACTTTTTCAATGAGAGAGATGTCTTTGAATAAATATTTGGTTACAAAGACACCTGGGCCCGAGAGGAGGATGTGATACCATTCATCTTGAAGAGCCGAGCGTTGGCCAGGTGTGAGTGAGGAGAATTCAGGGAGTTCGTAGATTGGAACACTCGAAGTGATTCTAGTGGAGAGTGGGTAGTGAATTGCTTTTGTCTCGCTGATCAGCCTGTCGAAATCGTCTAGTGAAGGTGGGTTTGATGCTGAGAATAGGCGAGAGGGAATTTCGTGATTTCTGTAATCGCTCTCTTCGAACGAGCCAATCCCTGAGGGCGCCATAGGTTTATCTCAAGAAAATGTTGTTCCTGGGAAATGGGCATAGAGATTATGCCACTTTGTTGGCCCCTATGGGTTGACGTTATCCTGCTCTGGTCGAAACTGTCTCATTGGATCCAAAGAGCGGGGCTCGCCTACCATACCAGTAGGTACCGTACTTGCGTTAACTAAAATACACCATACGTCGGCAGTATAACAGGTACATCGTCACTATCCTTTTCATAATCATATTTTACGGTCTCATCATGCGATTAATGCGGCCTACTCTACCACACCAGCTGAATAGCATGTTGAGTTTTGAGCGCATCATCCTTAATCTAACAGTCGGTATCATGAATCACGATGACAGTAACATGCGCCTCCCTCTTTTCCACCTGGTCGATTGTGTATGGCTAAGAGTCGCAAGTGGGAGAATCTACGGAGCAATGAGTGGAAGATTTTGCTTCTATTGACAATTTCTATACAATCATCCAGAGCTTATTTACATGTTCTAGAATCAGAACCAGCCTCCACGCATTCTGAAAGCGATACAATGTTTATAAAACGGACTTGGCAGAAGAAGAAGCATGAACAGAACAGGATGCAGTAGCCAAAACGGCAACAGAAGAGGAGACAGAAGCAGAAACAGAGGAAGAGACAGAAGATGAGATAGAAGCCGCGACAGAAGCCACGACAGAGGCGGGAACAGTGTAAGTGACGTCAGCCGTAGCAGGAGGCAGTGAATAAGAAGCCTCGGTATATAGAGTCGCTGGCGGTCCAAGTGGTCCAAGGATGTTAGGGTCGGCGCACTTGGGCAGCCTATATCGATGGCCACATTTGCCTGCAACCAAGAATCAGTAGCCAACCTACAATGCGATGGGCAGGCAGCAAAAGGCACTTACGAGCATCACACCCATCATTCAAGCAACGTTCGCAAATTGCGTCGGTTCCATTGAGTCTGTCGTAGGCCCGGCAGGCACGTATGCAGACTGCGCAATTCTCGCTGGGGGCTTCCTTGATGTGAGTCTCGCATTGCTCTGCGAAGTCTTCTTGGCCTGTTTGATAAAGGGATTAGATGGGTCGTAATAGATTTGGTTTGATGGTGGTGCTGACGAACCTTGGGCTGCCCACTTGCATACCAGCATGCCACGGCCTCCTTGGCCGTGGTTGCGGTCTTTGGCAAGGGTAGTAGCGGCGAGAAAGGCAACGATGATGGTGAAGTATTGCATCTTGGAGTTTCTTTTCCTTGTAATAGTTAGAATCATATGTAGCAAGGGACAAGGCAAAGAGGCTTATGTACTTGGAGTTTGGTGTTCTGTTGCGTAGTTGTATAGCGTAGTTGGGCTGGAATATGAGATATCGTTATGTATGTGATAGCAAGAGAAGGAAAAGGGGGTACCGTTATATACACTTGAAAATACAAAGACATTATATTAAGTTGGAACAGGAACAGTGAGGAAGGCGCTAACGAAATGCTCTGAATATATTTGTTCGGGCAACATGCATGAACTGCAGGATCATCCGAATCTCTTACTCACATGATGTCCTTAATGACTAGCAGCATGCACTGCTAACATATTCTGGCATCATGTGACCTGAAAGCAGGTGATGTGTTCTATCGGTAACCATTTTTATGGAAGATCAGTCTACGTAGCCATACTCATGTATAAAACCTCGTGCCCTACCCACCTCTTTCCGTGTCAAATCACCTCCCTCCACCCACCAAAGTATATCCTCTACAATGCAACTCACCATCAGGTTCCTCGTCCTCGCCATCCTCTCGGGCAGCGCAACGGCAAAGCACCGCCTAGGTACATACGGCTTGACCAATGGTGGCATCAACATCTGCAAAGAAGCAGGCCAACGTAAGATAAATCCTTTTTCTTTAAAGAAAACCTCTCTAGAAAGCTGACCTCATGTATAGTTCACAATCCTGGTCGGGCAATAAATTGCTACTTTCGCATGGAGGCGGAACATGCCTGGAATTGCAAGATCTGCATGAACGCTTGTCTTCGTTATGACTTGGGTAATAACGAGAGCATCTGCAATCGTTGTGTGGAAAAGGGCTGTGGTAACGACGTTGGTAGGTGGAATATCTCCTGATAATCTCTGGCATACATTTCATGCTAATGCAATTGTGTAGTCACATGTGGAAGCGTGACCCAACCACAATGTGCCGACCCTGGAGTCGTCTCAACACTTCCTCCTCCATATGATAGGCTGAGGTAGTACCATGGAAAACCAAACGGCCACAGTATCAGTTTAAATATTTAATTTATCGCACTTTTGCAAGAGACACGTTTACACTCTATCACAACACAATATGCATTCACTGTGACTCTGGCACCGGCCGAAAAGATGAGAAATTAGGGGTGATGGAATGGCCAAACTTCAGCAATCCTAACACTCCTGTACTGGATTTTGTTTCAAAGAGAGATCCTTTAGTAGAACATATTCCGTATCATAGAACAGCGTATGGATAGAAATTCAGGCTTGGCTTCATTAAGGAGGAGCGGGCAAGGTCTTGTTTGATGTTAGTGATTGTGAGTACCCTATTTCTCAATTTTTTTTGTTACAGTGCTAGAGTATGGGCCGCAAATTATTTTCATTCTCACTATTCTCGAAAGCAAATAGTAAGGCTACCGAGCCTGGATTAACAGAACCCATGTTTTTCACTGCGCCCCCTGCCCCCTCCCTCTCACCCCCCGAATCGTAAGTGCAAACTCCTAAACCACGCCCATATGTCTTAAACTAACAATCCCATCAGTCAGTAATTTTCTCCGTTCCATTGATGAGCCTTGAGTACAAAAGACTTACCATAACATCCACCACCGCTTACTCTTGGATTTTTTCGGCTTCCTCGGGCAGAGTGACATCCTCAGTCAAATCGGTGGGCTGAGGAGCGACAGCAGGGAGGACGAGGGTCGTGGTGTAGAAACCCATCACGTCGCGGGTGATGAGGCTCGTGTACTCATTCTTGGCGAACACGGTGGTGGCACTGAGGCCGAAGAAGAGGAGGGTGACGGAGATGAACTGCATTCTTGGAATGCGTTGAGAGGTGGTGGTGGTGGTGGTGGTGGTTTGGTCTGGGATTTGGGGTTGGACTTGAAATATGGTGGAGGATGCTGGACTGTGATGAGGAGATACAGAACGGGAACAGGGGGAATATTTATAGGGGAATGGGAGGAGAAGTGAGATCTGTTTCAAACCTGTGCTTAGTAGAGATACTGTGAGCGAGAACGATAGCACGAGTGCATGTTTCGATAGATGGGCATAGGGAACAGAGTTACGGTCTCGTTGCTACGGAAATGGAAGACTCTCTCAGAATCTCGGTCTGCGAAATCGAATCGTTCTATTGAATGCAGATCCTGGACGGAATTCACTCCATAACGGCATACTCCATTCATCTAGGTGCAGAGAGTCTTGAAAAACAATAGTAGATTCGTCACTGAAGCCCTATGCGTAGTTTCAATTCCCGGCAAACTCCAATCAGTCTTCATTTATCGCGCATCAATGGCATCATGAGCATACCGATCACTGATCGTGGGCATCATTGTGCAGCTACCCATCCGTGGTACGACCAAATAGTCCCTCCTGACTGAACACGACCCATATCAGCACAATTGACTAGATATCACTACATGTTCAAGCCAAAGACCCGATTCCATAGTTTCTGCATCTCAACAGCATACAAACATCAACTCTGTGGCACGCTAGTACAAGTGCGTCAGCATTTCTCTGTGCTACCGCGGTTTTGCTGCATACACCCAAACTCCCAAACACAATGGGTCGATCTCATTCTACCTTTTGGTAGAAGCGTTTTGAGTAGGTGAGTCATGCGCCGAGAAAGTGGCGACTTGTGCAATGCATGGGTTATGTCTCATGAAATGCCCCATCAAGTTCGGACAAGTCGTGGCCTCTCGAGACACAATGTGGCTCAGCATCTACCAAAGATTAACACATACATATATTGTATCAACAAGACGTTAGAAAGAATTGGTGTGATTCCGATTTACTTTGCACACACTCAATTCTGTTTCTACAGACTGATTGAAATCTACTCAGCGATTCTGAGCTCACATGGAATCCCGTCTTTCATACATGACTCTGTACAAGGTGAAACCCATTCAACCCATCAGCACCAGACGCCAACCACATTTTTTAGCCTTGTGCGGCCGAGAATACAACTGCGGAACAAATGCTACAAGCAATGTGATACTGGCAGAGTATAGCAACCCTTCCTGTACTGCTTGGAGTAGACCATGCTGTGTACAGTCCAACCCGCGACCTCAACGAGGCACGACTGGTTGGCGTCTTATGTTATTCTCAATCGAAAAACACACATCGTGTACGATAAGGCAACTGTGGCTGCGCAATAAATATACGGGCGAGCAAAAGGACGCCCCTCAAAGCATACCAGCAGCAGCCAGATCCATGTAAACCTTCTCGGGCATGACATTACCTTCGGAGTCCTCCATTTCCACAACATTTTCTGCCATAGTCTTCTCTTTCTTCTTATCCCTCTGAATTTTCCTCCACAGTGCCTCTGCTTCTTGAATGCTAGTAATCTCTCGGAAGAGCGTGGTGTTCGTAATGCCCAGGCACTTCAAACCGTGAATATGACGAGGCTCGTTGAAATGCTTATCAAACGCTCGCCGACCCATGTAGACGAAATTGCCGCAAATCTCGCAAGGAAACTCGACGCCAAGACCGTGCAACTTGTAGAGCCAGAACGGAATGGGTTTGCCGTCCCATGCTAAAGGAAGTTTAAGTGGATTGTATATCTTTTCCTCGCCATCCGAGTCCCCATCGTCCTCCTTCCCGCCCGTCTCTGGTTTCTCCGAGTAGAGTTGTTCTAGCTCTTGTTGGCGCTCGCGCTCGGTCATGCCCTGCTTCCGCTCGACGTTTGCCTTGGTATCGGCGCGTTCTGTTTGCATGGCTGCTGCGAGCTTCTTTATCCGGAACTCTCGCTCGGCGACGGCGCGCTCTTTGAAACGTTGAATATCTGATGAACCGTTGACCTGCCCGTTGGCACCTTCCTTTGCGCCATCTTGACTCTGTTCTACCGCCTTCTTGTGCTTCTTGCCGGACAAGTGCCCTTCGTATACTGTCTCTTTCGAGAAGCCCTTTTTGCATGCTGAGCACCAAATCCCCTCTCCTTGTGCTCCTCCATCAGCAGGTGCTGCAGATGATGCATCCTTTTCCCAACCTGGGACCTGTTCCTTTTCCCAAAGCTCTTCAAACTCCTTGTCGAAACTATCGAAAAGCTTGTCCAGATTCTCCAGTGGCTTGGTGCGGCGCATGAAGGACTCGAGGTAGTCTTGTAATGCCTTCAAATACTGGAAGTACGCTTCTGACTTCTTCTGGTCGCGACGAATGTTACACTTTGGCGGGCTAAAGGCGTCAAACACATCGAGGTACTGGAGGTATGTGAGGCGACGTGAGTGCTGGTGCACAGGCAGGTTGAGGTACTGTTCGTGCAGTGTGGTCAGGTCGAAGAAGCGGCCGAAGCCCTCCTCACCAGTGAACATGGAATCAATGGTGGCGATTGAGTGCGCATGGTCTTCTGGCGAGCGCCTTTTGTATGCTTTCTCGAGGTTCTCGACGGGCTCGTTGGGGTAGCGCGCGTGGAAACCTTTTATAGATGAAATCTCCTTCATGAACGATTCCATGGGGTCACCGAGTGTGAGTTCCCGTATCTCATCCTCTTTCTTGTGGTCCACATCCTGGTAGATGGTGAGAAGCCGGCTCGATTGGCTCTCTATCTGCTCGAGGAAGCGCGCAATATCGTGGTCACGAGCTAGACGGTCGCGAATCTAATCTGTCAATACAAGGCGATGCGAGAAGACAAGGCATGTTGGTGAAAGGCAATGCGACAAGAAAGGGCAGTACTCACGTGTGGTGGATCTTCAAGGAGGCGCTCAGCAGCTGCGTCCTCGAGACGCTCTAGATCCTCATGCAAGTGGCGCTGATCTTCTAAAAGCATTTCGCTGATCGCCTGCAGTTACTATAAGCGCTCTGTGAAGCAGTAGCGGATCAGTGTAGTATGCGAACCTTTGCGGCGTCGTTGGTGTCGGAAGGTGAGGTCAGCGAGCCGCGCGCCGACATAATTCGATAACACGCTAAAAGGTTTCGCCGACGATCAGCCGCCACTCCGCGACAGCTCCCCAAACTTTCTTGCGACCGCCAACACCAACCATCATTCACCACTTTGTACACCAGAGGTAACCCCACAAACCCAGTCAACATGGCCGACGGAATCGATCGAAATGCGGATGACAAGATGGAGTTTTCCACCTCCAAAGAGGTTACTGTGGCGCCCACATTCGAGGCCATGCACCTGAAAGAGAACCTTTTGCGCGGAATCTACGCCTACGGTTACGAATCGCCCTCTGCTGTACAGTCGCGTGCGATTGTGCAGGTCTGCAAAGGTCGCGACACCATTGCGCAGGCCCAATCCGGAACGGGAAAGACTGCGACCTTCTCCATCTCCATCCTGCAAGTCATCGACACGGCTGTACGCGAGACACAAGGTAGGATATCACCGGTCCCACAAAGAGCAGAGCGACCACTGATCGATTGTAGCACTTGTTCTCTCACCCACCCGTGAACTGGCGACTCAGATTCAGTCTGTCATCATGGGTCTTGGCGACTACATGAACGTGCAATGTCATGCGTGCATCGGAGGCACCAACGTTGGCGAAGACATACGCAAACTCGATTACGGCCAGCATGTTGTCTCTGGCACTCCAGGACGTGTAGCCGACATGATTCGCCGCCGAAACCTCCGCACACGCAACATCAAGATGTTGGTTCTCGACGAGGCTGACGAGCTTCTCAACCGCGGTTTCCGCGAGCAAATCTACGATGTATATCGATACCTGCCACCCGCAACTCAGGTCGTAGTGGTCTCTGCTACTCTCCCATACGATGTCCTCGAGATGACGACCAAGTTCATGACAGATCCTGTGCGCATTCTGGTGAAGCGTGACGAATTGACTCTTGAAGGCTTAAAGCAGTACTTCATCGCCATCGAGAAGGAAGAATGGAAATTCGACACTCTATGCGATCTCTACGACACACTCACCATCACGCAAGCCGTCATCTTCTGCAACACGCGCCGGAAGGTCGACTGGCTGACGGACAAGATGCGCGAGGCAAACTTCACAGTGTCCTCCATGCACGGAGACATGCCCCAACGGGAACGCGACAGTATCATGCAGGACTTTCGTCAGGCCAACTCGCGCGTGCTCATCTCGACGGACGTCTGGGCTCGCGGTATCGATGTCCAACAAGTTTCCCTCGTCATCAACTACGACCTCCCCTCCAACCGTGAGAACTATATCCACAGAATCGGTCGCAGTGGACGGTTTGGACGCAAAGGTGTGGCTATCAACTTTGTGACCCAGGAGGACGTGCGCATCCTTCGTGACATTGAGTGTAAGCAACTCAACCTATTTACTCGACATCCCAGACCTGACAAGCACAGTGTACTACTCCACCCAAATCGACGAGATGCCTATGAACGTTGCCGACCTCCTCGCCTAAGGCCATCCTGTTGGGCAAGGAGAAATCGCGTATAGTAATTGGAGTCTTGGCGCAATGGGGACAGGATGACATGTGAATTGACCATGTTTGGCAAGGCCAGGATCGGCCAAAGAAGACGGGATGGTCGACCCGCTTCAAGAGGACCATGAGCGTGGAGGAAAGGGCACTGTAGCCAGAAATGTAAGACCTACCAATTCCCAATCAGACAGGTCTTCGGTCCTCTAATGCCACTCGCGGGAACAGAAATCAAATTGATGAACCCGAGCCTCATCTTTAACCCGTCTGCACATGTATCTCTTTGATGAAATTGTCGCTGCTACATGAGATAGCCGATGGCGAAATCTCCGCCGTCATTGAGATATCCATGGCGAGCACACTCAATAAAAGTAGAACCGGGCTTTTGAGGATGTATTTCCCGTTGCAAGATGCAATCGATGGATACATGGATTTACAGCTATGCCATCACAGCTCATGGCGCTAAGGTTCGACTTCTCCAGTTAGAAGACTAAAGCCATCAACAAAAGGACTCAAAGTCCCCCATACTCTACACACAGTACGCGCACGCCTGTCCACCCCTCACTGCATATTAGCGCCCTTACCCTCCTTCCTCCCCATCGTTCCTTCCTTTGTAATCTCATCCGGCTTGCCCTCCTCCAACTTCTTGTTCCTCTCCCCCTCCCTCTTGCGCTCAAGCTCCTGGACTTGGTCGGGCGGAGAATCCTCTATCAAATCCGATTCACCGCTCAGGCCGCTCCATTTGGGCAGACCATCTGGTATATCCATGACGCGTTGGCCGTAGAACATGTGGCAGCGGGGCTTGAAGTAGGCCTTGTCTTCGTCCGTCTTCAGGTGCACGAGCGAGGGGAAGAGGAGAATCATGTTGCGGCCCTCGTCCATGATAGGGGAATGGCAGAAGGAACAGCGGACTTTGCAGGGGAGTTTGTGTTCGATGGATTTGGTGGTTGGGTCGTACCATTCTAGGTCATGGTGGCCGTTTGTGAAGTTGATGTCTTCTTTGTGGAAGATGGCGGCCCATTGGAAGGGTGCAGCTGTGCGGAATATTTCGTCAGTAGAGCGCACTGGAATCATCGTTTAATTAATACACATACCGTGCTGCGTCTGACAAGTTGTGCAATGACAGAGTTTACTGTCCAATGGCTCCCTCCGACTCAACTGGTACGACACCTTACCACAATGGCAATTGGCCTCATACTTGACATCGAACTTCTTCATGTCGTCATGCACGCGGTACGGCGCGCGCTTCTTCCATTCGGACAGGCCCTCTGTCTCCTCGCCACGCGATTGATCAATGCGTTGTTCTTTGAACATCTTGAAAGCCGTGCTGCTCAAGGTCTTTGTCTGCTGTCTGGGAAACTGTGCAGCAGCAACGAGAGGAGAACGGGACAGCGGCGCTGTCGAGCAAGCTGAGAACGAAGAAGTGAAAGTGAGACGTGAGAACCGGCGCAGTGCGGTTGAAGATACGGACATGAAGCAGTCCCAATAGGTCAATTCAGAATTATTTCAATCTGCCTTTGACCCAAAGACGTGAGAGTTGGAGCTGATTGTAGAAAAGGGAAGATGGTTGACTTCTTAGGTAGAGAGATTTCTGTTTTTGTTCTATTTTTTGTGCTTTCCAGCCCGCCATCATCATCATCATCATGTGCATTTGGTGACACTGTTTACGCGAATATGACGTCGAGATAATGCTAGCGTGCCTGCTGCGCGGAGCGAGGGCACGTGCAGTCTTTCTCCATTGATCTGTTGTGCGGGGCCGTGCCTTCCCCCGTTGGAAAAAGATGAAGTGCGGGGGAATAAGCGATCCTGAGTCTGAGCTTAATTGAAACGGAGAGATGGAGAGAGAGAAAGAGAGAAAGAGAGAAAGAGAGAAAGAGAGAAAGAGAGAAAGAGAGAAAGAGAGAAAGAGAGAAAGAGAGAAAGAGAGAAAGAGAGAAAGAGAGAGAGAGAAAGGGAGTAGTCAACACAGGATACTTCACACACTTGCACCACTCGCTATGGGTGGTGATTGACTCCAGTCCCACCGAATGATGAATAAATATTCATTTATATCCACTCGTTCCGTGCAAACCATGCTCGTAGCAAGAGAGCGAACTCATCAAGTCTTCCAAAAAAATATACGCCTGCAATGCTTCGCTTTTTGCTCTTTGCCCTCCCACCCCTACTCGTCCTCGCCTTGAGACATTATCCGTCTGCACTATATCAAGACCCAAGCCCGGTCAAGCGCTCTTTAAGAGTTTCTGCGCCTCCTTCATCGTGAGTCCAAAGACATTGATTAGATAGTCGAGTCTGCAAAAGGGCATTCATTAGTCATTCACATCTCCCTCGGAATAGCCCACGACTTACTTGATATCCCCGGCGATCCTCCTCCTGACCGCTTCAAACTCCACCTCGGCCTTGTCACGAGTCTTCTCCTGCCTCCTCGCGTCAATTGTTTTCACCCTGATTCTAAACCTCCCGCTCACTGGCCGATGATCCGACACCTTGACTCCCTCATGTCGTCGGTATTCCACTTGTTTTATGCGTCCTAAACCGCGATAGAGGAGGCGATCGCACCAAGCGGGACTGCGCTGTTTTTCCGACGTGTCGTAGTTATCGGTGCCAACATCGTATTTGTACGTGGGCGCGAAGTTAATTGGCATTTCGGTGAAAGCACGCAGACGGAAGCCCGGATTCCTCTTGCGTGAGAGGAGGAGCTGGTCTCTTTCGAGCAACTTTGCAAGATTTCCCTGCTGCACTGCCGCAATCACGCTATTGCGTGGCATGGCATCGATGCGATAGTTCAAATCCCCATTCAAAATGCAAATCTCATGGTCAAGGATCATACTGCCATCTCCCCCTCCGACAAAGTAGTTCGCACAGTCACTCGGTGACCGATTTTTGGGCAAGGGAGCGCTTTCCATGATAGTGGCAGCGTCGTTGTTGCGGTGTACGGTTTGCGTTTGGCCGGCCGCAAGATGGCAGTTTATGAAGCAGAGGGAGGAGTCGTCGATGAAGAAGCGCACTACGAGGGCGCCTTTGTTACCGACGCGGCCTGAGAAGCCGAGCTTGATCTCAGCCGCGCATACATCGCGGATCTTGTTGCGCTCAGAGGCCTTGACGAAGATGCAGGTGAATAGGCCGACCAGGTTGGCGGTGTGTAGGAGCACATAGTTTTGCCTTGGACTAAGATCATCGAGCACACGGACAAGGTGATCACGCCAGGCGCGGTAGGCGTGGGACATGTGTTCATTTTCAGACGTCTCCTTGTGTTTCTTGCGCTTGAAGATGGACTTTGCAGTAATCTTCTTGTCTTCAAGGTCGACGAGTTCTTGGAAGCCGAAGACGAGGATATCAGGGGGATCTTCTGGTTCCAGAATTTCCCGCAAGAAGTTGCTATCTTGTCCAGAATTTCGCAATGTGGTTGGTTTGGTAGCGCCAGCGTTCCATGTCATGACCCGCGCGGAGAGTTCCCGGAACTCGCAGTATTCCGAGTCGCGTTGTTGCATCAGGTTCTCCAGCCAATCATCCTTCAACATCCCATCCCAAATTCGCAACATGGTATCTGTACCCAACGATGCGACCTGGAACCGATCGAGCTTCCAGATACTCGTCCGATCGGCCAAGATCCCTGCAATTGGCTTGTCGTGTGCCTTCCAGTCCTTCAAGACTTTCCATGGTGTGCAATTCGTGTCGTACACGTATATCATGCCGGTACTATAGCCAGCCCACAGGTAGTCGCCAACGCCGACTAGAGAGCTGATCTTGTATACGCTGACATTGACTATGCCCAGACACTCAAAACCCTTTTTCGCGTAAATCGTAACCTTTCCGTCTGTGTGTCCAAAGTAAATTCGGTCCGGTTGACTGCTGACAATAGCCCCTGAAGTGACTTCCCCAACATTCAATTGTGATGACGGCCCTGGAGTTTGTTGTAAGAAGTGGTTGCTATCCATCGCCCGATTGTACACGCGAATATCCTTGGTATACGCTACCCACAGCTGCGACCCAGAGATTATGCTGAAAGTATGGCCTTTTGGAATGCGGAAAGTATGCGGCGTTTGTTGTAGTGAAGGCGATCCTGTATCATCTGCTGGCCAGATATGAATCACGCCATCTTCGTCGATCGACCACATTTCTGCCGCATATCTGAAAATCTTAACAATGGCAGATCGCGAGTGTGCATTACTCTTAGTATGCACTACGCTCTGTGTGGTAATGTCGACCTCGTGCAATTCACCGGTATTGGTGCCAAGCCATAGTCGCTTGCCCTCGTTTTCTACATCTTTTGCTGGTCGGAAAGCTAGCGCAGTTACTTTGACGGTGTCGCCGTGACTCAGGCTCATGAGCAGACGTCCATTGAGTACATTCCACACGTTAGTCACATATCCAGTCGTACAGATGTAATCGCCACAAATCGCAAACAACTTCGTTTCATACCCGGTTGGAATCCCTGAGGTATTGTCTGGGAAAACTGGCGCTCGTCGATTCGCCTGCGACGAGTCTGGGTAATCAGTCAACGCAGTCGGTGCCTGCTTCTCGTTGGGCGTGTCTTCCTCGTCTGAATCATATGTAAACGGCTGTGATAATTGCGATGCTGGCGCCGGTGAGATTGACGCTGGCCTCCTCATCTCACCCGAATTCCGTGGAGGTGGCGGTTTCGGTGGTTCCAGTTGTTTCGCAGGACTTGTCGAGATTGATCCTGCTGTGGTGTTTGTTCTCCTCGGTGGTGGTATGAATCTCTCATTCGTCTCCGCTGCAAATGCTGACGATCGGAACTGATCAAACGACCTCCTAACAGGAAGATCAGGTGGCGCCGCTCTTTGCAATTGCACGCTCTTCCGCAAATCAAAATTATCCTTTTCTCGCCGCATTGGCAAAACAGGTCTTGCTTCTGGCATATCACTTGGAGACGGTAACGGATCCGGCTTCTTCGACGGTTGGAATCCTTTCAGTCGTGGTTCATTTGGGGGCAGTTTCTCCGCAATCACAGGATGTACTGGAGGAGGAGGGAAATAGCCATCCTTCGCAGCATTGAATTTAGTTCTCGAGAGCCCAGATATTACAGGTGGAGATGTTTCTTCCTTGCCGCTGCCACTACTACTCGGGGGTGTACTGAATGGTGAAACATCTGCGGCATCTGAGGAGGTCTCTGGGGCCAGACTTGCACGAGCTGTTTGGTCTACTGATTGCGACTTGGCCGGTATCTTGGGTTTTCCTGCACGATTAATCGGTGGAGGAGCCATGGAAGCAGAGGGTGCTGAGCGATCGTTCTTCCGCGGATCATTGACAGAGGGAGATTTTGTATGCGAAGGAAAGAACGGTTTGCTATCGAGACCCGGAGGGGCCTCGCGGCTAGGTATCTTGAAGCTTCTTGCGCCATTTGAAGTTGTTGCAAACGCAGCAGGAGACCTTAGAGCTTCATGCGATGCTACTCGTGAGGGTCCAGGCGAGTGTATCTGATGGGCATCCGGGGTCTTCGCTGGCGATTTGGGCGATTGAACGAGTACTTTGGGTGGTGATCTCGTGGGTGACCTAGTGGGTGATGTAGGCGGGGAGAAAGCCACCATGGATGTCGGTCTGGGTTTCGAATTGTTCCATGGCATGCGCACGGTATTCGAGCGCGGGGTGACTGACCCCGTCCCATTGTAGTCAAGCACACTGGGCGAAGTCCTCCCTAGAGATTCGCGCGGTATGTCCAGCGAGATGCGCCCATCGCTCCGCTTACTGTCCTCGGGCGCAAGTCGCTCTGTGCTACCCGGGGAGCGCTGGCGGGGAGTCGCAGAGGCTACAGGCGGTGCAGACCTGTTATTGGTGCTGAGGAGATTCTCGAATTGGGCGCGAAGGGAGGAAACTGGCTTCTGCGTGGTGTGTCAGCACGACTCCCGATACCCCATGTACACTACCCTTGGAAGAGGTACAAGACAACAGGAGACTCACAATGGACGAGCCGTCCATGTTCTGCTCTTCTTTGTTGTCCATAGTGTGGGCTTTCCTCGTCAGCCAGCACCAGGTGGGATGTTATAGCTGCTCATCGACCACCAGGGACTGCTTCCCATTGGGCGCTGATGGTGGTGTTGGGTGCGTCGTATGTCGTGGGCCGATTTTGGGCGATCATGCAATGCGCCGCTGCGAATGGGCAGAGGGAAAGGCGGGGGACGCGAGAGAAGCGAGGGTTTGCGGAAAGATAGACTGTGTGGTGTTGTTGTGGTGGTGGTGGTCCAACGCCCGGCGTGTTTGCTCCCTATGGGCGGGGACGCGTATACTGTGGCTGCTAAGAATGCTCGACGGACAGGGAACAGGCGAGTCGGCGGGGGGACGTGGGCGGTGTTTTCAGCAATGGCCAGCGGATGCAAGCGGGTCTCGTGGTGGCTGACGCGAGCCCGACCAAGGGTGGCAGTGTCAGAGAAGAGGAGGCGGAGGAGGAGGAGGAAAAGAAGGGGGGAAGGGGAAAGAGGAGGAGGCAGAAGTAGCAGTTGTGCGATGTGGGTTGCGCAATGTGGAGTGAATGGATGAATGGATCGATGACTGTCTGTTCGTCTGCGTGTCTGTCTGTCCCGGCGTTGTGTTGGGCGTGAGGATCAGGTGTGTGCTTGACATGATGCTCATTGCTTCCCCCCATCCTTCACAGCTACCTACTATGGAACTTTCCCCATTGGACCCTTTCTTTGCCTGCACAACCAAACTCCAACGTTAAGCTGGCTTAGCTGTAGCTGCAGCCATCAGGCACCGGCGAATGAATGCCCTTCGTCTAAGTACATGCTGTATATAGAGTAGGGAACCTTGAAACGTCAGAGCCTAGGTTACTCTACGCTATCTTACTCTAGTGCCAGACTGCCAGCTTGTACACAAGGTAGATCCTCTCGACTCTGGCATACATCACATACCGGTAGCAGTACACGACATCACACCCTTGCAACACTCCACCTACCTCTCTATACTTGCGCTCGAAACAAACAAACACCACCTCCCGAACCCACAATGTGGTAAGCACCCAGCCAGCCAACGAACCCAGCGACCCCATACCTCTAACAAATCTCTCCCCCCCCCCCAAACAGCAAACATATCCTCAACGCCCAAGTCTCCATCCGCTCTCCCTGCTGTACGTCTCATTCCCCTACCCACCCACCCACCAACCAAACCAACCAACCAACCAACCAACTAAACAAGTCTCCCTATTAGGCAAAAAATGGTTCGACTGCGCCGAATGCCACGCAGAACAGACCACGCACCCCCTCCTCCAAACCTTTGACATGACCTTCATCTGCAAAAAGTGCAAAAAGGCCTTCCGCAAAGACGCCCGTGAATTCGAGGACGCAGATGAATACTGCCCGCATTGCGACAACCACTTTGTGCTCGATGCCAAGACGCCACAGGCCGGGTTGAGAGTCGAGGGCGAGGATGCGCGCGTCGATGCGAGGATGCTGAAGGACGAGAGGGTGAGGCAGGAGGACATGAGGACTATCTTCGATGTCAAAGAGGCACCGGAGAAGTTGGGTTGAGAGGCGGGGTGCGCGGCGGAGACAATTTAGATGAGCACATGGGATTGAATGCGTACAGAGTAATTGCATGGCAAGGAAGTAGTTGCACAGCCGTAGGAAGAGAGTGTGCATACCCCACCCGATACATCACGCGAGAGCGGGGGGTTGGCAGTGTGGACGAGTACATGGATGCTAGACGTGCCATTTGTGGCTACTGGTAGGACGTATCTGGGTCGTATCTGCTGTACAGATTCATCAAGTCTATCACGTAGACGCCAATGCTATTCATTCCGCTTTTCCATCATTCGTCATGTATCACACATTCTCTATGCGCTCGGGCCTGGCCCCTCAGTCGGTGCAGGGCGTGTCAGAATGGCCGCAGTGCCTGTACCAGGTGTCCGTCCAGGCCTCCTGTTTGCCGCCTCCTCTTGCTTCTCCACGTTGATGTTCTCCACATACTTCTCAATGTCCTCTACCGGCAGCATCTCGATGGGCTTGCCAGGCGCCATGATGGCAATCTCAATGTTCTTCGCACCCGTCTGCACAACTTCCAATAGTGACTTGACCGTCAGCTTAATGGTCTCTTCCCGATCCATGCCCTCCTTGTGATTGCGCTCGAGGAATTCGCGGACCGTTTTGCTGGAGCGGCCGATTGCGTTTGCTTTCCTGCCATCTTATTAGCGACAGGGTACGCAGCTTGCAAGTCAGGACACCTACCATGCCGAGTAAATACCAGAAGGTTCAGTTTGGTACAACCGTGGAGTCTTGTCGTTGGGATCGAAGCCAACGATCAGCGTACTGATGCCAAACGGCCTCACACCGCCACTCTGCGTGTATCTCTGCTGTACTCCCGCAACATACTTGGTGATGTACTCTATCGATACGGGATCTTCGACCGTGAGGCGATGTGACTGCGCTTCCAGGCGGGCCTTGTCAACGAGAATGCGGGCGTCCGCGTTTAAGCCTGCAAAGGCGAGGGAGACGTGTGTGTCGACGTTGCAGATCTTGGAGGGGGTAATTCGGGTATCTTGTAGCTTCATTGCTGAACGCTTTTCACAGCCGAGTACTACAATGTCTCCGCCCTTGACGCCTACCGCACAGGTTCCTGGAAGGCATTAGGTGGTGATGACATAAAGAATTGGTAGGGATGATTTCTCACCCCTTTTCACAGCCTCGAGCGCATATTCGACCTGGAAGACGTGGCCATCGGGACTGAAGACTGCATATGCTTGTTAGCTGGGAATCTACTAACTGAAAACACCATGTTTGTACCTGACAAAGCGCGATCGTAACCGGATGCCATGACGCCGAATGTACTGTCACTCTACTGACACTGTAGAAGAGGGAAGGGTTTTGGGTGGTGACAGTGTGGGATAGCAGGCTTTGGGAGGGGCAGATTATCTGGTGTTGTAACGGCACCTTGATCGCTAGGCAGAGCTACGGGGGAGCTGGCCGCGTCGCTGCTCCCACCAAGGTGCGCTGTGGATCTCATCGTGCCAAGCCTGGTCTGTGCCTTACCTGCAACCAAGGTTATGTCATGCAATCGTCCCGTTCTCTCCATCTTCACGGAAAATTGCTGAGAGGGTAATTTTCTATTCTCTACATTCTTTCCTATTCTTAACCACCATGGCGACTCCGGCGCGTATCATTCCTTCCTTGCGGCGAGCAGTGCTCTCGTCGAGGTCTTGCTCAAAATTTCAATATATAAAAGCTGCAACTCAAATTCGTTGCAACGGGAGTACAGCTGCGCCAACAAGTGCGACTTCGGAGCCTCATCAGCCCGATGGAAAGGGAACGGTGACGGGTGCGGCTGCGTCTTCAAAATCTATCAAATTTACATCAGAGTCGTAAGCACGTGGTGAATTCTGGCTTTCTGTCGACCAATCTCACCACCAAGTAGATACCCGCAATTACAAAGAGATTCAAAGTACACAAAATTAAGTCAAGAGCATGTGAAATATTTTCAGGATCTTCTTGGCTCGGAATCTGCAGTTATAGATGGCATCACTCAAGATGCATCAGAAGACATTGAGCCATTCAACAGCGATTGGATGCGCAAGTTTCGTGGTCATACCAAGGTAGTCTTGAAGCCAAAGTCTACAGAAGAAGTTAGCAAAATCCTCAAGTACTGCAATGACAATATGCTTGCGGTTGTTCCACAAGGTGGTAACACTGGACTCGTGGGTGGCTCCGTTCCTGTGTTTGATGAAATAGTCATCAACATGCAGCGAATGAACGAGATTAGATCGTTCGACGAAGTCTCTGGTATCCTGGTTGCTGATGCCGGTGTCATTCTTGAGAATGCCGATAACTTCCTGGCAGAAAAAGGCCACATCTTCCCCTTGGACCTTGGCGCAAAAGGCTCATGCTACATCGGTGGTAATGTCGCAACAAACGCGGGAGGGCTTCGGTTGTTGCGGTACGGTAGCTTCCACGGAAATGTCTTGGGTCTTGAAGCCGTTCTTCCAGACGGCACCATCGTTGACGATCTTTCCACGTTGCGAAAGAATAACACTGGATATGACATGAAGCATCTTTTCATTGGCGGAGAAGGAACGATTGGTATTATCACCAAAATTGCCATTATCTGCCCAAGACGATCACCAGCAGTCAATGTGGGGTACTTTGGACTTGAAAGCTACGAAAAGGTCCAACAAGCCTTCATTGAGGCTAAGGGGCACTTGTCAGAGATTTTGTCGGCCTTCGAACTGATGGACGGTAGAACACAAAAGCTAGTAAATAGGGTCAAAGGAAAGAAGATGCCACTAGAAGGCGATCACCCTTTCTACTGCCTTATCGAAACCAGCGGCTCTAATACAGACCATGACGGCGAGGTCAGTCACAACGCCTCTCATGCACAATGTAAACTCGACGGCAGACTAACAAGGCACAGAAACTCCAAGCTTTTCTTGAACACGTCATGGAGTCCGAAATTGTCTCTGATGGCGTTCTCGCTCAGGATCAAACCCAAATCGCTGAACTCTGGTCATGGCGTGAAGGCATCACCGAGTGTCTGGGCCACGATGGCGGTGTCTACAAATACGACCTTTCCATCCCCATCGCTGAGCTATATGATTTGGTCAACGACACGAGGGATCGCCTGACCGAAGCTGGTCTCGTTGGCACAGACACCTCGCACCCGGTTGTTGATGTTGTTGGCTACGGCCACATGGGCGATGCTAACCTACACTTAAACATCCCGGTCAGACGATTTGATAAGACGGTCGAGAAAGTGCTAGAGCCGTGGGTATACGAGTGGGTACAGAAGCGCAATGGAAGTATCAGTGCCGAGCATGGCTTGGGGGTGACGAAGAAGCCCTACATTGGATATAGCAAGAGCGAGACCATGATTGGACTGATGAAGCAGATTAAGAATCTCTATGACCCGGTAAGTTGTACTCTGCATGCCTGGATGATAGTGACAGCTAACAATGGTGCAGAACGGCATTATGAATCCGTACAAGTACATATAGATGGCGTTGTTAGCTTTTTGATTGTCAAATAATACCACTAGTTTCCTTGCACAACAGATGGTCCTACACAGCACAACAGAACAAGCTCCAACTTCTACGATAGCCATAACTTTGAGATAGCAATCAAATGAGCCAAGAAAGTGTATCGAAACAAGATTTTCCCCGACTTTGATTTCACGGCGATCCATACCTATACACATATCGTTCCTTTCACTTCCGAGCATCCGGAACCGATAGGTAGTCCCGATTAACGCTACCCCGGCGCCGATCCCCCGCCCCACCTACGCTTTCCACAGAGCCCTACCCTCACGTTTTTGTGACGATTGCATCACTGCTAGCCATGACTCTCTGTTCTTCTCCACCCCAATCCTCCTGCCGCGCACAAGCAGCTTTGCAAGATGGAGAAGATTACGGATAAGATCAATGCCCTGCCTGATGGAGCGAACTACTTCTCTCTTGAGTTCTTCCCGCCAAAAACGGCAATGGTATGCTATGCCCCGCCATGCCGTGCACGCGACTTGATGCTGTTCTGTTGTTGTGCCTGGAGATAGAGACGGGACTAACAACGCTCCTAGGGCTTTGCAAACCTCCAAACACGATTAGAGCGCATGTCCCAGGCTCTGCGCCCGCTCTTCGTCACCGTTACCTGGGGGGCAGGAGGCTCGACTGCTACCAAGTCGCTAGAGCTGGCGGAAATATGTCAGCGTCAGTTGGGTTTGACAACATGTCTGCATTTGACATGCACCAACATGGATCGCTCACTGGTGGACGATGCGCTCGAACAGGCCAAGGTGCTGGGCATACGAAATATTCTTGCGCTCCGCGGTGACGCGCCACGCAGTGAGGAGTACCGAGACGAGGGACAGTTGCCAGAACAGGACTCGAATAAAGATTTTACCTGGGCAGCCGACCTGGTGAGGTACATACGGAAACAGTACGGAGACTACTTCTGCATTGGTGTGGCGGCATATCCCGAGGGCCATTCGGATGAAAGTCACCCTGAACATCAGAGCCCAGAGCATGATCTTCCATGGTTGGTGGAGAAGACCAAGGCTGGAGCCGACTTCATTATGACTCAACTCTTCTTCGATGTTGATGCATACGATCGATTTGAGAAGCTGTTGAGGGAGCACGAGAGTGGTGCTTTCAAGACAATGCCAATCATCCCCGGGTTAATGCCGATACAATCGTACAAGATTCTGCTACGGACTACAAAACTCTCGCATGCGAGACTACCGCCAAATATGCTAGCGCGTTTGGATGCGGTCAAGACGGATGATGAACGTGTCAAGCAAGTAGGCGTACAGATTCTAGACGAAATGGTTGAACATATCAAAGGGCGCTCGAATGTTGGACGGAGAGGCTTCCATTTTTACACCTTGAATCTGGAGAAGGCCGTATCGCACATTATTGAAGACACCAACCTCATCCCAAGAGACTTGCCCGAAGATGATGACTCTGCCATCTTCGAGACAACGCCAGCCATCAACCTCGTTCCACCTCCTAACGGCACTATGAGTCGCCGTCGCCGTTCTTCCGTCACCTCAAGTCCACGAAATCGCGTTATAGTGTCTCAACCATCCGCCACCAAGTCTAGCAACCACTCTTATGAAGCTCTCGACAGCGAAGCTGGCATCCCCCGTGGCCCCGTCAACACCCGCGCGAATACGCTCGCCATCTCCGAAGGCGAGGGCTCTCTCGGTCGCGAAGCAACCTGGGATGATTTTCCTAACGGTCGCTGGGGTGATGCGCGCTCCCCTGCCTTTGGAGAGATTGACGGCTACGGACCAACCCTACACGTCTCCACCGCGCAAGCCCTAAAATTATGGGGCCACCCTGTAGATAGAGACGACATCTCAGACCTATTCCGCAAACATCTAGAGGGGGAACTGGACGCCCTACCCTGGAGCGAGCAAACCCTCTCCGACGAGACTCTGACCATTAAGAAAGAGCTCCTTGCCCTAAACAAAAAAGGCTGGTGGACCGTAGCCTCCCAGCCCTCTGTCAACGGCGTGCGATCCACTGACCCCGTCTTTGGTTGGGGTCCCCGAAACGGCTACGTATTTCAAAAGCCGTTTGTTGAATTCTTTATCCCATCCGAAGCCTTTGCAACACTGAAACCCCGTCTCGAAGCGCACGAACAAATCACCTATTTCGCCGCCAACGCTGCCGGAGAGTTCGAAGCCACCGATGAGGAGGCGGTGAACCCCGTGACGTGGGGTACCTTTGCCGGCAAGGAAATTGTAACGCCGACGATCATCGAAGCAGTCAGCTTTAGGAGCTGGAGCGAAGAGGCATTTAGTATCTGGAAGGAGTGGCAGTGCGTGTATCCTAGCAAAAGTGCGAGTGCAAAGATGCTGGGAGAGATGAGGAAGGACTTGTGGCTTGTTAATGTGATTTGGGGGGATTTTGTTAATGGTGAGGGATTGTGGGAGTTTTTGGACGGATGATATCGGGGGTCCGAGGGGCGTGTATGGACGAGATTTTTGGATGATGAAGAGGGTGTCTGTTTGTATTACAATACTGGTTTTATGGAGTGACGAAGTGAGAATGAATGAGACCAAAAGGAACTTTGAGCGAGGCTTCATGAACAATATAAACTGTTAAATTATTGGACTAATTGCTATTCATATATCAACATGAAATAAGTCTAAAACCACTAGCGAGGACGCGAAATAACGTGCAAAGTTACTATGTAGTTGTCGCACTGCTGTACAGCACAGTGATGCCTCTCCTTTCAATTACTGAAACTATTTGAGACAGCCTCTGGCTTGTATAGACTAATACTGATTATTTTTTGTGAAAATTAAATCTAATACTAGTATTCTAAGCGCCTAACATACTATTCACGCGTTTTTTTTTGGTTTTCCTCGTAGACTAAAGTAATGCAAAGTCGATTGCATGTTTACACGGCTTTATTCATGCCTTGGGAAGAATTTGCCTTGCTCACCAGGGCCGATCAATGGAGTCTATCATAAATCAACTTGGTCTTCTGCTACTGTATAAATCAATACCGGTATGTCGTACCCGGTAGCTAGTGGAGTTCGATGTCATTTGTGGCGTGCTACCTACAGTCAGGAGACAGAGCATACTGTACTAGAATACATATCATGAATGCCAACCATTGATCATTACAAGCTATCGGCGCTATCTATATCAAAAGTAACGGATGAGCTGACCCTGGTTCTAGTGAAAGGTCTACTAGGGTACACCTCCCGCACCACGACCGTTTTGCCAAGCCACGATAAGATAGGTAAGCCAACAGCCCCGCCATCCACTCGTCAGGCCCCACCATAACTTTTCTTCCCATTGTATTCTAATCTACAACACCACCCATCATGGACGCCCAAATTGCTGAGTGGAGAACTCGCGCCGACGCTCTCAAGCCACTAAACCTCAAAGCCATTGAGCCGGCTCTCCTGGAACTTGACGCTCACCTCACTCTCCGCACACATATCGTGGGCTACACCCTCACCGATGCCGACACCATCGTATGGCAGACATTGCGCGATAACCGTGTCGCACATGCATATGTCAAGCAGGATCTTATGAAGAACCTGGGACGGTGGTTCAGGTACATTGAGGAGGCTTACCCGCAGAGTGTTGTTGTAGTAGGCAAAGGCAAGGAAGACAGTAAGAAGGTAGATGGAAAGGACGGGAAGGGGAAGAAGGAGGGAAAGAATGATGATGCGAATTACGATATCGGACTACAGGATGTGGGGGATGGGACAGGTATTGTTACCAGGTTTCCTCCTGAGCCTTCAGGTTACCTCCACATTGGTCATGCAAAGGCTGCGTTGTTGAATGACTACTTTGCCCACGAGAAGTACAAGGGCAAACTGCTCCTGCGATTCGACGACACCAACCCTACCAAGGAGAAACAGGAATTCCAGGACGCCATTCTCGAAGACTGCGCACTGCTTGGCATCAAGCCAGATCAAGTCTCATACACCAGTGACTGGTTTGATGAGCTTTACGAACGCTGTGTCCAGATGATCAAAAACGGCCTCGCGTACGCCGATGATACCCTCCAAGAGAAGATGCGTGCTGAGCGCATGGACGGCATTGCCAGTGCGCGCCGCGACGCGAGTGTAGAGGAAAACCTCGCACATTTTGAAGAGATGAAGAAGGGCAATGAGGAGGGACTAAGATGGTGCATCCGAGCGAAGATGTCTGTCGATAACCCCAACAAGGCCATGCGTGATCCTGTCATCTACCGCTGCAATCCCGAGGCACATCATCGCACTGGAGAGAAGTGGAAGATCTACCCTACGTACGACTTCTGTTGCCCTATTGTTGACGCTGTCGAGGGCGTCACACATGCTCTACGTACGACTGAGTACAACGACCGCGATGCTCAATACCAGTGGTTTATCAAAAACCTTGGGCTGCGTCAAGTCCACAACTGGGGTTTCGCACGTCTGAACTTTGTCAGAACGGTACTTTCCAAGCGCAAGCTCACGAAAATTGTTGAGGCAGGAATCGTGACCGGCTGGGACGATGCTCGCATGCCTACTGTTCGCGGTGTGCGTCGCCGTGGTGCCGTCATCCCTGCGCTACGAGAATTTATTTTGAAGCAAGGTCCGTCCAAGAACATTGTCAATCAGGATTGGTATGCCTTCTGGGCGACCAACAAAAAGTACATTGAGCCTACCGCGGCACGCTACACAGCGATCGATGACGCTGGTCGTGTTCCCGTCACCATCATTGGCGCTCGAGAGGGCGTTATTACGGAAGATAAGCCAAAACACGCGAAATACGATCTGGGTAACAAGAAGATTGTCTTTAGTTCATCTGTAATAATGGAACAAGCCGACGCGCAGTCGTTTGAACAGGACGAGGAGATTACCCTCATGAACTGGGGCAATGCCATTGTGCGCAAGATTAGCCATTCCATCAATCCTCTTGAAATGGCAAAACACGGTCTCAAGACTGTCAGCGGATTGGAACTGGAACTGCATCTCCAAGGCGACGTGAAGACCACGAAGAAGAAAGTCACATGGCTCAGCAATGACCAGAATCTCATCCCGATCGAGTTGGTGGACTACGATTACCTGATCACAAAGGACAAACTTGAGCCTGAAGATACATTGGAAGACTTCTTGAACCCGAAGACGGAGACGAGGACGAAGGCTTTGGCAGATTGCAATGTGGCGGAGCTTAAGGAGGATGATATTGTTCAGTTTGATCGTAAGGGATTCTTCAGAATCGATAGGGCGTTCAAGCATGGCGAGGCTGTCGTTGCGTTCCAGATTCCAACGGGGAAGAGCAAGTAGAGCGGATGGGATATAAGAGAGCTTCAATTTGGTTATTGAACATGACTGAGTGAACTTCCAAGTGGTCTTTAGCTAACAGGATATACAAGACATCACAAATCCATTGTCTGTATTTTGGAATAATAAACAAGAATCGAATAAGACATCCCTTTAATCACTTATAACACGGTCGACCCGACATCCCCACCCTTGCTCATTACCCGTATAAGCACTTTGCCTCGACATACAACTCGGTCATCTTCAACTCTTGTTCAACTTCCGGCTTCAAAGAGTCCAAATAACTCTCCACCGTACTCGAAATCGCACTACAATCAAACTCACCCATTCCAGCCACCGTCTCCATTCTGACCTCGAGATAATATCCCTTGTCGCCCGGCAACTCCACCTTGGCCGAATCCATGGTATTGCAATACGTAGACGACCGATTCACATTCTTCTCTGTCTGGAACGTTTCACAATTTTTCTCTGTATACGTGCCGCGCTCTATGGCCCCTGCGATTGCGCCCACCATGAGGTAGTAGATTGCAGTGGACCCGTGCCACTTGCCACCTACAATGTGCAGGACTGCATCGGTCTCAATGGGTTTCTCGCCAGCCGCTTTGTGAGTTTGGACTTTGAAGCTCGAGAAGGCAGGGTCTGGGCAACTGCTGGATGGCGAAGACGAGGGGCAGGCGCGCTGGATGGCGGTGTAGATGTTGTTGTATATTACATTGAAGTCCATTCCGCCCATGTTTGCTTTGCGAGTGCCTAGGTACATTTGTATGTGTGGCTGGACTTGGGGGGAGCGGGATGTGATGTTCTGGTTGATTGTGGGGTTCTCGTTGCTGGCGATGGAGATGGGAGATGGAAGTGTGAGTGCGAGGGCGGTGGTGAGGGGGAGGAGGGTGAGTAAGTGTAAGGGGTTCATGATGTCTTGGTTTCTCGTCTTTCTTGATGTTCTTATTTCTTTTCTGTTCTTTTGCGTGGTGTATCAGTGTCCACTTTATTATATAAACCAGTATCGCAATATGCGTAGGGGAAATTTTACAAATGCACTGTAGAAACGAGGCCTTCATATACTGCTTCAGAGACTCATACACCAACCTCAAAGACTCATACAACCAACCTCAAAGACTCACACCCAACCTCAAAGACTCACACCCAACCTCAAAGACTCACACCCAACCTCAAAGACTCACACCCAACCCAACACCACCACATCACGAACGATACCAAGACCCCCCTTCATCACCCCACAAACACACCCATAAAGCCTCCTCTCCCTCCCAAAGAATCTAAATACAGCACACAACCACCAACCCCGTCTACTAGTACACACAAGTTCAATCTGCCGAATCAAGTCACACGGGACGTATACGCTGTACGGCGTATATCTAACAAACCTTAACCCTCTCCCCCTTATACCTTAGTACCCCATGGTGTATACCTTATATACAACACTCTAGTTAACTAAATATAGACTCTGAGTGACCACAAGACCCGTTGATTACATTCACCTTCCCTTTCCCCTTCCCCCCAAACAATCTCACTCTTCACTTTTCCCCTGTGTGCACAGGAAGAATAGTAACGCTAGGGGACATTAATAGGGGGCACAGAGACGTCTTTATCTGGTGGTATCCATTATATTGTGGGAGAAGGGGTGGGGTTTATGCATGTGTAAATAGACGACTAGCTTAGTAGTAGTGATTCATGATCTATGATTAGTAGATCAGGTTACTATTGTTCTGTAGCTAAGGCACCCTTTACCGGTAGCCACAAACCACAAACCACAAACCAAGACAACAACACCACCACCACCACCACCAACTAGAAAACACAAGACCCCCAACACTCACCAAAACCACAATCAAGTCGAAAGAGCCCACCAGGTACCAAAATACTCTATTACTTGCTATTTTTCTTCAAAATATAATCTCATATAATCCTACACCAAACGCCAACGCTCATGCAAATTTTCTACACTTGCGCTGCTCGTCAAAACAACACTCTCAAAAAAATCCATTGGTGCAGACGGTGATGAAATCACATTACACGTTACAAGGGGCCACAATTTTGCACGCTGCCTAAAGGCTCAACGAGAAAAAAAGTAAGGCAGGAGGAGGTAGAGGACATAAAGTGCGATACAACGTAATCGTGGCAAGTCTTTTACATGCGCGTGTCTCCTAAAAAGCCAAAAAATAAAACAAAGAACCAGTTCCAAGGAATCAGGCGCACTCCCACTGAGCAAACACACACCATCTTGCACTTCGATCAGCAAGCACCAGGCCTCGCCAGATGCCTCTTTCTCCAATCTTGATGACTGTCTCCCATGCGGTCCCATCCGCTTCATTGGTGCTGGTCATGTGTTCGCTCTTCCTCGTGAGACGAATGATTTTGCCAGAGGGACTTTGCACTGCAAGTTTCGCTGGCTTTGAACTGCTTGGCGTCGATCCTGACGAACTGTTTGACGGATTCGTATAGTTGGATCCGGTTGCCGATATACTCTGCATGCTCATGGCGGAGGCAGGGCGCGCGAATGGGTTTGGTGATGCTCGACCGGTGATTGGCGGGCTTGGCTCTGGGAACTTGGTGAGTGAAGAGGGGTGCTGACGGACGCAGAAGACAAAAGTGTTGTTTAGGGCCAAGTTTGCACATTGAGGTTGCGCCACGTATAAATCGTGTCGCTGGGCATGAGGCGTTGGGTGTAGCGTCAAGAACGAATAGGGCGGGTTGCTGCCGGTGTGTGTCATGGGAAGACCTATGGCAAGAGCATGGGGGTTGTTCTTGTTTGAATGCTTCGAACCGTCAGTACACATATCTCGAAACTCGGATTCTCGGCGACGTACCATAAGTCCTTTGGGCCCAGCATAAATCTTAAGGACCCCATGACCACCATCTCCAGGCAAAAGGGCTTTGACAGTGTACCGCTTCTGACCCTTGTACCACTCCGCCTGAGCCAGCGCTATCTTCTTAATAAACTCGCCACTCTCAAAGTAGTCGCCATCCTGATCTTGCGAATAAGACCTCGCCTCCACTTCTGCGTAGCACTCAACATCCTCAGGGACATCGATGTAGACATGTGTCATCTCCAGGTTTTCTAGGTTCAGCATACTTGTGTCGAAATCGGCCATGCGAAGGGAGTATTTGAAGTATGTAGGAGTTGCGCATGGAAGAGCCATAAGAATCTCATGAGGTTGGGCCGGGCAGATATGCTGCTGTTCTGGAAGAAGTGGGACGTGCGAGTAGCAAATCTCCATGGGACGCGCGAGGAAATACCACGTCTCGGCGACTGAGGATCCGGCTGTGGAAAAGTGCACACGCTTAGGGTGCGTTGGTCCAGCAAGAGAGCAGTCCAAGATGCGCCATTCACCTTCCACAATGACGGCGTTCCAAAAATGGTTCGGATGAGCTACGCTCTCCAGATCCAGTGGTTCTCCTGGGGTCTTGAGATAACCGCGTACCACCTCAGCATGAAGACCAACAGAAGCGCACATTTCGGCGACGACCATGGCGATTTCCTCGGAGCACCCGCGCTTGCTTTGGAGGACATGTCGGGGGTCCATCTCGCCCTCAAAGTCTTCTTCCCAGGAGATACGTTCGCTGACCCAGGTGAAGATGGCTCTAAGACGTTGGATATCGCTGCGGTATGGCCTGCATACGTAGCCTTGGGCCAATGTTGCTGGGGTGGTTCCAAGCGGAATGGCGTTGATAAAGCGCGAACTTTTGTCCACATGCGCAAGATTAATAGCCGTAAAGTCAGTGGGTTCTGTGATGGGAAGTCCATCGAGCCCCTCATCACCCTCGGCGGACTCGTAGAGCATCTCCACTGGATTCAGCACGGGCAAGTCCATCATTTGACACCGTTCGGCCCGTTCTGACCGTTCATTCTTACTCAGTGAATTGGATCGATTGACGTCGCGACGGACTTGCACCCAATCGTTGGACCCAACACCCATATCCCTCATCGAACTTGCTGGCCGCACTGCCGTTCCTCCTGCGATTCCTGTTGGACCATCCGTATCCATGCGACTGGCTGCACGACTGGCTGCACGGCTCGCAGCTCGACTTGCAGCGCGCGAGCCTGGCCTGCTTATTGTTCCCGCGGCTATCGTACTCCGAGCATTAGCTGCCTGAGTTTTGGCTGTATCAATCATCTTCCGGAAGAAACCGCTGCGCCTTGCTTTCGGCTGTTGAAGGCCGCCGAGCGGATCGCTCCCTTCAGTCGCTGGAGTGCTGCCAGCCTGCAATTGATCGCTGGAAGTGGGCCTAGATTGAGATTGTGAGGCGTGGCTAGAGTGATAAGTTACTCCCGTAAATGGCGTCTCTGGTCTTCCGTCATCGAATCCATAACCTTTGGCTGCTGGCTCTTTCGCCTCCATGATACTCTTGGGCCTGTCTTTGCCAAACTTCTTGCGGTAGTAGCTACCCGCGCTGGTAGCACTCATGTTGGTAGCAGAGTGTCCAGACATTAAGCTGCGATTGGTACTAGCACTGGTGTGCGTTGTCGTAGTTGAATTCGTTTTGCTGGTAAAAGTGCGTCCCAGGGCGCGTCCAACGTCATACGCGGATTTACGATGCCGGAGTGTTTTGGAAGCCTTTCTGTCCAAATCAGCGGCCAGTTCTCCCACCGAAGATCCCGGCCGATGGGTTGACGAATTCTTCAGAGGTACCGGAGGTGGAGGGCTCGACATGGCCTGTTCTTCATTTCTCGCGTCTTCCAACTCCTTCATTCGTCTCAAACGACTCTCCATGCGCTTTACATAATTATTATTAACATCTGGAACGTCTTCGTCGTCATCTTCATTGGGTGTCATTTGCGACATTGCCGATTGCGCCCGGACCTTCTTCGCAGATGCCTGGTACACTTCATCAAAGGCGTCTGGCGACCAGGGTACCGAGGGTGTCGCGGAACCGGCAGGCGATTCGTTGCTTCGTGACATGGTCATATCTTGCAGCGAGGACATGACATCATTCATGGCATTCGTCAGGGGAGATGGCGTAAAATGGCCTCCACGAGATCTGGGATCAGGCGAGGGTGGCTCAGGAGTGATGTAGCCATTTTGTTGTTGGGGAGGAGCAGGCGATGGCCCTCTACTGGCATCATATGCTACGCGATGCGGTGGCGGGGGTGGTGGAGGCGAATCCACCGTTTCTTCGAACTCGTCCTGGAGAGGCGCAGGTGATGGGCCCCGGCTGTGATCGATTTGATGTTGGTATGGAGATGGCGACGGGCCCCGATCATACGCTCGATATTGAAAGGAGGGAGCTGGGGAAGCTGCACGCGAACGTTCTGCAAACGATGGACATGGCGATGGGCCTCTATCATACGCGCGATACTGGAACGACGGAGCCGGAGAGGGTGATCTGGAATACTGATGTTGGTCGTGTGTCGGTGGTGCTGGAGAGAGTGCGCGGTACGAGTTCTGGTGATGTAGCGGCGGTGCAGGCGACACTGCCCTGTATGAATTCTGATGGCTTAGCGGGGGCGCCGGTGAAACTGCTCTGTAGGAGCTCTGATGGCTCAGGGGAGGCGCAGGCGATACTGCTCTGTACGAGCTCTGATGACTCAGGGGAGGCGCAGGTGATATTGCCCTGTATGAACTCTGGTGATGTAATGGTGGTGCAGGTGACACGGCCCGGTAGGAGTTTTGATGATGCAGCGGCGGCGCTGGAGAGACTGCCCTATATGAACTTTGGCGGCTAGCAGGAGGCGCAGGCGAAGGCGCTGGAGAGTATTGATACTGTTGTGGAGGCGCGGGTGAAATGGCACGCGGCTGGTATTGGTATTGGGCGGGTGGTGGCGCTGGCGAGACGGCTCTTGAGTATGGCCGATGATGTTGCTGATGTTGCTGCTGCTGGTGCGGAGGTGCAGGTATACGCGCTCGACTATTCGATTCATGTCGTGACGGTGGAGCTGGTGAGGCTGCTCGGGCTATCGGCCGTCTCTTGGTAGGAGGTCGTGGCGATACAGCGCGTAGGTTGGAAGGCCCTCGTGCGGGAGCAGGAGACGTGGATTCGCGACTTTCAGTTGAGGATCTCTTCATCGACGAGTACGGTGTCTTCTTGCCGCTGCCATGCGGGGATGCGAGTCCGCCTGCCTTTAGCCTTTCACGCGCCGCTGCAGCTGGATTCGGCGCGCCTGCAGCCGCGTAAGCTGTGAATGGCTTTCTAAACGTGCTCTTCGTCTTCTGCGGTGCTGGCTTGGTCTGCTCTTGCGCACTGTTTTGCCGTGCCATGCTGCTTCCACTGCCTTGACGCGCCCATGGCTGATAGTCTTCACTGAGTAGCTCGACAAAGTTGGAAGGGAACAAGCCAACCATGCGCCTATCACGCTTCAATCTGCCCATCCACCAGGAGCCATCGCCGGCGTTGAGGACTTCAATCAAATCTCCCTCTATAAATCCCAAGTCACGCTTGGTCTGGAGTGTCGGTCAGCCACGATGCCTCCGTTTCCTCGACTTGCCATGCCGACTTACCTCACCACCCCATGAGTACACGGCCTTGCACCAACAAGGAAACCGCATTGGGAGCGCCTGTCCTATCGCCATAGCCAACACCTTGCTGTTGTTTGCTCCAAAATCTGCGGCCGGGCTGCAACAGATGCAGCGTGTGGAAGTGGGTCGAGTATCATGCGTGTGCAGAAGCGAAGGGCAGGACTTGGTGAAGAGCTACGGGATGCTTCCAAAACAAGAAATAAGACAAAACAACAAAGTAGCAATGGCCGTGAATAGCTCAATCTGGAGTAGGTAGACACACACTCTCACACATACCAGTCGACGTCCCAATGATAGCGGGGAGAAGATGATGGCGGCGATACGGGACCAGGGCTTAATCGGCCGGATGTCTGGTCTCGGTGTCGTGTTTACGGGTCTCGGTCGTGGCTTCCCCAGCAACGCCCGCTCGCGCTAACCCCCATGCCGCCCCTCACCACGTCACTCCCGCCCGACCGCCAACTCCACGTCTCGAACTTGGGACAACAACAGCAACAAGAACAACAACCCTCATGTCGAACCACAACAAGAAGACGCCTACCTTTGGCTTGCTGTTACGATGCAGAATCTGAATAATAAATCAGCGTCTCCTGCTCAGCTCTGATCTCACTGTTGGCGACGCTCACTCACACAGTCATGGACCCTTTGCGAAACATGGCCTCAACGCAGATATCCTGTGTAGGGTTACCTACCTATTCATGCAAGGGCACTAATCTAGATCATGTCCTCTGTACTCGTACCCTACATGAAGAAAAGGATCATCGAGGCCCTCTAGTGCTATCAACCACACTCTCTTCTGTCCCTTACATTTACTGTGTTACTAGATATTCCATCTTCGGGCCATGACAACAATATTGAGCTTCCTTGGCTGCTCGTCCCAGACAGCTAATCCAGACATGGTGATTTGGTGTAGATGGCTTCTGTGGGGGTTGAGTGTGATGTGGGCATGGGTTGGTTCAGCCAGCGTTGGGGGAATGGTGAGACGAGTCTTCAATGTACTTGTGTCTTGTCTCTAAATTCATTTACTACACTAAACGGTTACGAATGTAATATGTTGAAATGTCAATGTAACTACCACAAGTATAGTAAATTTAAAGACAGTGACCCTGACGTCGTCAGCTCTGTCTGCCTCGGCCCCCACCCCAGTAACCTCCGAACAGCCCAACGACACCTTAATCAATTCTTCGGCTGAACCGCCAACACAGCCACTCTGATCACAATTCCAGCTTCCCACCAATGGTGCAATTCTCAATCCCCAAGCAGATAAGCATGCTCTCCCCCCCCTTGTCATTTGCCTGTTGAGACGTCACCATCATCGCGATGGGCCATTGGCGCGAATGCATGTCAGCCTTGTGAGATCCTGAGGCTGCGACAAGTATTTGTAAAATGGCGCTTGTCACCTGAGATGGGATTTGGCTTTTTCTTCTGCTTCTTGATTTATTTCAGAGTACTTTGTCAGTGTGAAACGGAAAATTTGATGTTGTTGCTACTTTTATCGCTCCTACTATTGCGACATCCATTCACACTCTTCCTTAACCACAATCTCTCTACGCCAGTTTTCAACCAGGTTAACTACACTAAAACATAATGCGTTGCCTCACCCTATCCAGTACGCTCAAAACTCTGCTTTTCTAAAAGAAACCCCAACCCAGACAATCTTTCCCAAAGCTAATCAATACCCAGCACTCGCGACCACATTCATCACAGCATGTCTCTGCCTCCACACCCCCTCCCAACACCTCCTCACCCTCAACTCCGCCAACCACCCACCCAACCCCACAACCGACCCCTGCACCTTAGCCGACTCCCCCAACCTCAACGCCAGCATGCAACTCTCCTCCTGGCTCGAATGCCAAATCAACAGCTTCTACCCCTTCCCCGCAAACACCCACTGGCCCACAGCCCACGCCTGCGCCTTCTCCAAATCCCTAAAATTCACCTTCAACAACACACACTACGACTACAACGGCTCACTCGCACTATACCACTCCTTCAACGCCACGCTCGGAACAGCATTCATGCCGTTCAAGCACGGCTTTATCAATACGCTTGGCGTGCCCAGTGACGCTGGTGATAAGGGCGGGTTTGTGTATATGATTGGCTGGGCGGGCGGGTTCCAGACGAGAGCGAAGCGGGATATGTATTTTACGAATGCGGCGTTTGCGGTTGTGGAAGAGGAGGAGGGGGAGCGCAAGATTGTGGAGTTTAGGGAGAGTGGGAATATTCCGAATTCGGCCGTGTTGCCGGAGCCGGTGGAGTGGGGGTGTGAGTTTGAGTAGTGATGAGAGGTGGGTCTGTGGGTAGAAGTATGGTGAGGGGTGAAAGAGTGTGGAGATTGTGTCCGATGCTGGTTCGAATTGTTTGGGTACATTGGAATTATGGAAGATGAGATGTCAGAATAATATCAGAATATCAGAATATCAGAATATCAGAATATCAGAATATCAGAATATCAGAATATCAGAATATCAGAATATCAGAATATCAGAATATCAGAATATCAGAATATCAGAATATCAGAATATGAGGAGGCATTACTCCTATATTCAACAACATATAGCAAATCTCATACTCGACACAACATAATCCCACACTCAACACAGCCATCCCCCATCCTCAACCCACCCTCACAACTCCACCCCCAACCACCCTCAACTCCCCCTCTAACCTCAAGAAATCCCCCAAAATTCCCCCCACACTATCCACCTCCCCAAACACCCTACAAAACTCATCCAGCACGCCCCCATGCCGCAAAATACCCCCTTGTCCCCGCATATCCAGTTTCTCCTCCACCCTCAAAACCTGCTCGCGGTCCGACGCCAACGCCCACCCATAATGCGATGCCAGCTCCTGGAACCGGCCTTGCAGATGTGCAAATCTTTCGCGCAGATGGGGTGTGGGGGTGTGAGGGTTTGTATGTGGGAGGTAGTGTAGGAATATGCGGGTTGAGCGGTTGAGGTATCGGGCTTTTATTACGAGGTCTTCGAGGTCCGAGGAGGAGGAGGAGTCTGGGGTAGATGGTGGGGGAGCTTGGGGGGTGAAATTGGATGACATGTTTGAATGTCTCTGTGGTATGTACCTATACGTATTATGATGGGCTGGTGCCACTGATGAGATGCGATTTGTGGGTGTGGGAAATGGAGTGCAAGATCGAGATTCTGGGTAAGTAATGCCGGTTCACGTGTGAAGGGAAAAACACTGCGGCTTCATATGCGGTTTTTGAAGCTTCAAGTGATGGTAATGCTCAGGAGATATATCGTTCTGTGATTCTCTTCCGTATCTCTCTTCCATACTCTCGATATTCCACAAAAGCTATTGACAATATACCAAAATCTATCACTCAAACCTACCATCACACATCTCCAACAGAACAAAACAATCCGCCCAAAACCTCCCCATTGCTACCTCCTCAACCCCACCACGCAGCAAAAGACAAAAGACAAAAGACAAAAACACACCTGCAACACAACCATACACAACAATGCCACCAGAATCCCCACCGACGACATCACCCCTCAACCCCACAACCCACCCCACCCCACGCACCACCCTCCTCTCCACCACATTCTGGGAAGTCCTACCCTCCCACCAAACCCGCATAACCACACGCCTCACCAAAATCGCCTACCTCCACTCCCAAACCCACACCTGCATCCTAGCCACCGACCGCGCCGCCGCCCTCGCCAGTCTAAAAGCCGAAATCGAAATGCTCGACCACGACATTTCCGCCTTGCGCGCCATTATCAGGGGCATCGATATCACGGATCTCGCGGGCCTTTATGTGGTTGCGGGGCGGAGTGCGCATCGGGCGCTGCAGCTTGCGAAGGGGGATTTGGAGGGGCTGGAGGGGAGTTTGAGGGGGATGGAGGAGAGGGTAGGGTAGTTTCCGGCTGGGATTAGCTATAGGGTTGGGTAAGGGGGGTCGGCTGTGTCTGGGGGGTTTGTGAGATGGGTGGGGGTTGTTTTTGTGAATGAAGTGAGACTATGGAGATTGATGAATATTGTGGTTTGAGACATTGAACATCTAGCGTGTGGTTTTCATATCATGTGTGACAAATTCTCAAAGTCAAATATGCTGTGAATTTCGAAAATGCACTGCTGCGGAACTCACAGCGTGATGGCTTCACAGCATTCTTATTACCAGGTACTTCTTGCTACGTTGGGTTTCCGCTCTCACCCACCACCTGACAAGACCAGCGTAGCCAGCATGCAGAAACATTCCTCCAATACAGAAGTATCGAGCGAGACCTCCAGCAATCTAGACACTAATCTGGTCGTCCTTGGTGAGCGCGCAGATCGCATCCTAGCGAGCCTCCACGTACTCCAGAGTATGGATCAGAAGGCGCCAAAGACTCGTGGTCGCGTTGAACAGATGGATTTCGCTGAGATTATACTTTTGCATACGGAGCTGTTGGAGAACGACCTCAGAACTATACGAGACAGTGCAGATATATTTGAGGATGAACACGTAGCTGCGTGGATCGACAGTGCTGTCGATAATGATGAAAAAGCGTGCAGGGAGATAGCAATCACTACGCTTCTGCAGAAACTGGGCGAGTTGAAGAAGGAGATGGCGGATGCATCTGTGAATATCTTGGGTCACAAAAGCTGAGCAGTAGAGAAGAGCATGTTGAGATAGTCTGCAGTCATGAGACCTGTAATTTGAAAAATGCTATAAACACACGTTGCGGGTATCCATCAATTTTATGCTGAGCTAAGTAAGAAAATATCGACGTAATCGGTTCAAGAGAGCCAGAGACCGTTGAAAATCTAGACAAGCCATTTGGGCATGTTGTGAGATTCCCCGACTTAAACACCCATACCCCACCTGGGCGCATTCAGAATGATGCCCATCAAACAGCCCGAGATGATACCGGCAGCGGGTAACGTAATGAACCAGCCCATATAGATCCAAGCAACCATGCGCCAGTTGATCGTCCTCCATGTACCGTTACATAAGCCAACACCAACGGTAGCCCCAGTGATACACTGCGTGGTAGAGACAGGTAATGCAAGCTTCGTGGCCATGATGATAGTTACGGCAGCACCGAGTTCCATAGAGAAACCACGCGCCGGCGAGTGGAGCGTGATCTTGTTGCCAAGCGCGCGCATGATGTTGTAGCCATACGTCCACAGACCGATGACGATACCGGCACCTCCAAACGCAAGAATCCAAAGGGGAACGGGGACCTTGTTGGATATTTTGGCGGTAGACCAGATGAAGTAAATGGTGGTGTATGGACCGATTGCATTCGAGACGTCGTTGGCACCGTGGGCGAAAGAAGTAGTGGAGGCAGTTAGGATTTGTAAGAATGAGTAGGTGTATTCAGCCCTGTTTTCGTAGTGTTCACCCGTGGCGTGGACCTTCTCAATGTCACCAGAAAGGAAATCCTTATGCTTCATTTGATCGACAACATCCTGCTCGACACCTCGTAGAGCAGCATATTTGAGCCAGTACCAGGCGACAGCGGGAGTGTACCATGGGCCTGGAGGAGGCTGCTTCTTAGGCTTAGAAAGCGTCCGGCTAGAGATGGTTGCAGGCGCAACTGAGGGCACGGGTGTAATATCGGAGTCGGATGCATGGGCAGTGAGGTTGACGCTGTGGGCAGCACCCTTCTCAACATCACCAGAGGCAGAAGCTTGGTTAGACTCGGCAGCACGCCTTGCCTCCAACTCCTCTTGGGTTAGATGGCCAGCGTAGAAGTCTGGAATGCGACCGATTGAAACTCCCTCGGGACGGACCTGGGGCTCAGGACGACGGAGTAGTAGGGGCCCCTTGATGATCTCCCAGCCTTTCAGGGTCCAATCGTCCTTTAAGATACGGCGGTAGAGGAACGGAATGAAGAAGGTGCCGACAATGGCGGCTACTGCACCGCCAACACCGAGAGCTATACCAACAGACTGCGCGTCAGTCAAGTCGATCCTGGCCGATCCGCCCTTCCAAAAGATGAGGAGAGCGAGGAGGAAAGATGTGAGAAAAAAGTAGAGTGGGACCATGATGAAAGACATCTTGACTGGGTTGCTGCGGCGCATAACACCATACTTGGTGATCAGGAAAATGATAGCACCAAAGCAAGCGGAAATGCCTGGGGCGATACCCCATGCAGCGAAAACCTGGGAGACTCCCTTGAAGGACCAGTTGACACCTTGTGGTCCAGCAGCTGCAATGCCAACACCAATGACACCACCCATTATGGAATGGGTAGTTGACACTGGCATGGTGAATCTGGTAGCGATTGTGAGGTAGGTAGCGGAGCCAATGATGGCGCAAGTCATCGCCAACATGAGAACTGACGGATCCTGCTCGAAGAGGCTGATTGAGATAACTTTGGTACGGATAGTGTCAGTGACACGAGAGCCGACAAGCATAGCACCAGCGAACTCCATCACGGAGGCGATACACATGGCTTGCTTGAGTGTGAGCGAGCGGGAAGCGACCGAAGTCGCGAAAGAGTTTGCAACGTCATTGGCACCTGACCATGTTAGCTATCGTTTATAGGAAAATACAAGACGCCCAGTTGAAAGTATAATATTGTGTATGACATCTTGAGTGCTATGTATGGGCTTTTGCGGTGGAGAGGCGGGTGAGTGAAATGGCTGACCAATGTTCCATGCATCAAGAAATGCAAAGATTGTGCCAATAGCAAAGATGTAGTCGAATTGAGGAAGTGCCGGCATCTTGAAGCTGCTTGTATTCGCACGGTCCCTGATGGGCTGGTAGGGTAGCTCGAGTGCTGGCTGACTGCTTCATCAAAGAGAGACAGGGCATGTTCTATATATCTCGCCATTTTACACCTAGAATCTATGCCATCCAGCTTTTGATTCAGTTTTTCCACATTCTCATGATCCCTCCAACCACCGTTCGTGTTGTTCTCATGTGCACGGCGAATTGCCAACCTGGGTAAGTGGGAAGCTAAGGGAAACCCTGAGATGACCGAGCACGGCCTGAGATGGTAGGTATCATAGAGCTTTGGACGGTTATTGGTATCCTAGAGGAAACGATATTGGCCAAAGAGGTTGTTCCACCGACATGGCTGTTGTAGGATGGGAGGATTTGCTTGGCAATTGGCAAAACGTTAGCTTCCGCTCTGGGCATCCTAGGTGGCTTGTTCTCGCGAAGACTGCCAGGGACCAATTAGCGAAGGCATCGACAGCACGCAGTCCTGTCCTGTGCAATACGTGGTGTTGAAGTGAGCTGGATATGGCAGCGGAAATTCCAATTCCAAGAAGTCCTGAGAGATATTGGAGTTCAAAATGAAGCCAAGTTTCCGTTTTTGCCATTTCTCGCGATCTTCGCGCATGCATGACCTGAAGCTGGACGGCAGGATACTTCGATCGAATTCTAGACTTGCCCTTGGAGTGAATTTAGTAGTCGTTAACTAAGATGGAAGGAACTGATGTTCGCATCATGGGTGGGAGTAGACCATAATCTGCAATCCTGTGGCAAAGAGGGAGGGTAGTAAAGGACAGACATCGAAGCCGATAAGTCGCCGCGACCAGTTGCTGGCGGCTGGATATCGTCTGCACATGCTACGACCTGGATGACCAAAGATTTGCAATAAAGATTGTCCGTGACTTGCGGACCGAGCAGACCTCATGGCACTGATGTCTAAGCGAGGTGCAACTCCTGGATATCGTTGGAACCGAGACCATCGTAGGTGCTGGTGGAATGTTCCGGCCAACTATAACTGGTCTTTCAGATTCGCCTTGGCTGGATGTACAGTACTTCGGCTACCCAGAGACATTCGCGTTCGGAGTAAACGACAGGATTCTGGGCGAAGAGGGACAATTGAGACTGCGCGGTGCAACGCCAGCCATTAGAGTCGCCCACGTGTGTATATGTTACGGGTAACGATAAGACCGTCCAAGGCTGCTGAAGTCTGAGCCGTCTTGTCAAGGTGTACACATGGTTAACTTAAGCCGTGCCTGTAAAGAATTGCTAAACTACGGGCAGTGTCAACCTTGAGAGAGTCATATACCTAGTTTCGATAGCTGGCGGGGGACTGGAGAGCTGAGGTCCTGTGTCTCTGTCGTAGGCTGAGGTGGACCTGTAGAAGTGTAGCCTGGTACTTAGGTTCATGCATGCATCCAAAATCTCGGTGGACACCTACATGCAGATCGACTTGGTGAGGTCTTCAGTTGGAAGATGGAGGGGCCCACCGATCGCTCGGCTGCACTTACCGGTACTACCGTAGTGGAATGATGTTTACAGGGTTGTTAACGTGCTGTCGTGGATAACGTTACTTTCCTGGTAGTTTGGTAAAGTATGCTGAAGACCAAATCACACCAAAGCATAATTGTTCACAGTGAAGAGATATGCTGCATTTCAATGGCTCCTTCCGTGCTCTTCTTATCTTTCATCATGGGACACAAGAACTAATAGTCTCGTTGTAGCGGGTGTAATGCTGTGAGGTATGCAAATTGCTGATCCAGCGGCAGTTACGGTAAATGTGCAGCTGCATCGAGCCGAGTTAATAGTTCGAAGACATGAAAAGATGATTAGATGTGCATCTTCGACCCCTGGAAGATTCAATGGTAGAGATGAAAGAACAGGGAGAAAGTGAAGAGAAAGTCTTACCGGTAGCGCTAGGCTCGACTTGGGTGCTTAATTGAGACGGCGCTCGGACCCACGACGCGAACCTTAGAACGCGACTTTCAATTTCTACGCGTCTCCCCTGACGACCAGTTGCTTGCCCCTCTCTACAATCACACAGACTCTACAGCAGATCACCCAACAACACAAACGATGGCAGATAGGCAATCAGCATACTCGATCAGCCTATTTGGCGGCCAGGACAGTGAAGGTGGCCAGGATACGGCTGCACCTTCGCGCGTTCAGCAGGCGCTGGTCGACTTCATTATGGAATTCACAATCGACAACATCTTCATCTACCGAGATCAAATCCGCGAAAATGTCCTTTTAAAACAATACTACTGCGATATAGATATTGCACATCTCATTAGCTACAGTCCTGAGCTTGCCCATGACCTTAAGCAGAACCCGGCCGAAGTCATACCTCTGGCATGTTACCAGCGACACTGCAAGATCTATCAGCTGACGTACTGCAGTTCGAAGCCGCATTGAAGACATGCACACAACGAATCGTATATCCTTCGCAGAAGAACATGAAAGATAAACTTCCAGAACACCAATTGCTCCTCCATTCGAATGCTGCAGAACTGTCAATTCGCGACTTGACCGCAACAAACGTTTCACAACTTGTTCGCATACCCGGCATCATTATTGGTGCATCCACATTGTCTTCTAAAAGCACTGCATTGGCCATCCGGTGCCGCAACTGCCAGCATGAGGAAAGGATACCCGTCGCTGGAGGGTTTTCTGGTGTATCGCTACCAAGAACATGTTCGAGGCCGAGGGGAGAGGGAGAACATCATAGTGACAAATGCCCACTTGATCCTTACTACGTCCTGCATGAGCGCTGCCAATTCATTGACCAGCAGGTGCTCAAGCTGCAGGAAGCCCCCGACCAAGTACCAGTTGGAGAGCTACCTCGACACATCATGATCTCCGCAGATCGCTATCTCGCCAATCGAGTTGTGCCTGGTACAAGATGCTCTGTCATGGGTATCTTTTCCATTTATCAGCAGAAAGGCAATAAACGTGGGGGGAACGCCGCAGTTGCAATCCGCAACCCGTACATTCGCGCGGTCGGCATACATCCCGAAATTGATCACAGCACAAAGGGCAATGCTGTTTTCACTGAAGAGGAAGAGCAGGAGTTTCTTGAAATGAGCCGGCGGCCGGACATCTACGATGTCTTTGCCAGATGTATCGCTCCCTCAATCTATGGAAATCAAGACATCAAGAAAGCCATTGCGTGTCTATTGATGGGCGGTTCCAAAAAGATCCTCCCAGACGGTATGAAGTTGCGTGGTGACATCAACGTTCTACTTCTCGGTGATCCCGGTACTGCAAAGTCTCAACTGCTGAAATTTGTGGAAAAGGTATCGCCGATTGCTATCTACACCTCTGGAAAGGGCTCTTCTGCAGCTGGTCTGACAGCGTCCGTTCAACGTGACCACAACACGCGAGAATTCTATCTTGAGGGAGGTGCCATGGTCCTGGCTGATGGTGGCGTGGTCTGCATTGATGAATTTGACAAGATGAGGGACGAGGATCGTGTGGCGATTCACGAAGCCATGGAGCAACAAACCATTTCCATTGCAAAGGCTGGTATCACGACAATCCTCAACTCGCGAACCTCTGTCCTCGCAGCTGCCAACCCTATCTTTGGGCGTTACGATGACATGAAAACGCCCGGCGAGAACATTGATTTCCAGACGACAATCTTGTCTCGATTCGACATGATTTTCATCGTCCGCGATGAACATGATCGCGGCCGTGACGAAAGAATAGCCAAGCACGTCATGGGCATCGCAATGGGAGGACGAGGTGTAGAAGAGACTGTACAAGCGGAGATTCCGATTGAGAAGATGAAGCGCTACATCACCTACTGCCGCCAAAAGTGCGCACCCCGTCTATCAGCCGAGGCGGCCGAGAAGCTGTCTTCGCATTTCGTCAGCATCAGGCGGCAAGTGCACGCTTCTGAAATCAATGCCAACCAACGATCCAGCATTCCCATCACTGTCCGCCAACTCGAAGCCATCATCCGCATCACCGAATCCCTCGCCAAACTCTCGCTCTCGCCCATTGCCGACGAAAGCCACGTGGACGAGGCCATCCGCCTCTTCCTCGCCTCCACCATGGACGCCGTCAACCAGGGCGAAGGCCAAAGCTCAAAAGAACTCATGGACGAAGTTAACAAGGTCGAGGAAGAACTCAGACGTCGCATGCCAATTGGTTGGCAGGTCAATCTCTCCACGCTCAAGCGCGAAATGGTCGACGGCAAGGGCTACTCGGAACAAGCGCTCTCCCGCGCCTTGCACATTATGAATGCCCGTGAGACTATCCGCTGGCGACATGGCGGCAGCTGCGTATTCAGAGCGAGCGCCTAGCGTTGCTGCAACGCGCGGCCGCGGCCTCGCTGGCTGGCTTTTGGAACAGTCTTTGGAACACGGTGCGAGGATATTGGACTCGGTAATGCGCGACCCCGTTGTTTAGACCTGTAGACTTGTTACGAATGTGGGGATATGAATCATGCTTGTATTACAACGAAACGACAACTTGCACGTCTTTTTTTTTGGTAGAGCCCGATACCGATATACAATTATATCTTACCACATCGTGCTCCTAACCACACATACACATTTTAGACCTCGAAACCCGCCCCTTCTCTCTTGTATCCTCTCCCCCCCTACCTCCGCGTCCAAACTTCCAACACCAACACCCAGCATCCAGCACCCTATCCTTCAACCGCCTCTCCAGCTTCCATGTCATGTATATACTCCACACAGGAAGCCAACTCGCTGCGTAGAAAACCTGCACTGTTTTTTTTTGTGAGGATGGGATTGGGATGTAGTTTAAACATGAATGAGCACACGCGCACGTACAAGTATACACACATGCACACGTTATACATGCACGCACATAAAGCCCAAGCAAATCCAGCCCAACCCCAACAATCCCGCAGAACCAACATCTACACCGAGCACACGGCCCATGCCATTGTGTATCCTTTTGCGAGCGGGAGAGTATTATGTATGTCTGTGTTCATTTTTGTGAGGGCAGCTGGGAAGCTGGGAAGGGAAAGAGGGGGGGATACGGTTATGGTGGTGTAGGGTAAGGAGAAGGGAAGCGAGGGGCAAGGGGAAGAGGGGTAACAGGGAACGGAGAAGGGGTGTAAAGGAAGAAAATGGTAAAGAGGGGGGAAGGTGGATGAGGTATACTACACCAAACCCCTCAAACGGGTGGTTATCGACAGTCCTTTTATTATAATTAAACACAGCAGTGAATAGTGGTCGTGACAGTGTTAGTGCCGGTGACATTCCCGATGACAATACCAATACCCATAGCAATGACAATGACAGTGCCAGTGCCAATGCCAAAAACAGTAACCGCAACACTCATACCCGACAACCCACCCGTACGCAAAACGCCCCAACAAATACCCCAACAACGTTATCCGGTACAAAACGCCTCGCTCGCTAGCTGAACCCCTACACCACACAAGAAAAACCCCTCATTTCTACATCTTCAGAGCCCAGGAGAAGGCGAGGGGGGAACGAAATGTTCGACGATGGTATCCGTCAAAACGGCAGTGCGCTTGGTGCAACAGTATGTTCGAATGTAATAAATGCCATGGGTAGACTAGTCTTCAGAGAGGACGTCCTACATCTTTTCGTCGTCGACGCCATCCTCGCCATCAGTATCCGTGAAGACGTCAATGTAGTCGTCGTTGTGCCGCGGTCCACACGACGTGACGAGCAGCTCGAGGAAGTTCTGCTGAATTTGTGCCTGTGGGATGCTACTGGCCTCGAGCTTTTGGACGGGGTGGCACAGCTCGGGCTCCATCGAGTCGTGCCGGTCGCGGGTACCGGTTGACACGTTGGCGGTGTCTGTGTTGCCATCAGTAGAGTTGACGGGCAAGAACTGGGGTGGGCCGGCAGGGTCTGGTGTGTTCTGGTTAGACTCGCCAGAGAAGCTCGATGCTACGGATTGCATCGAATCGGGGCGGTTCGTAACCTCGACTTTGTCGGAGTTTGCAGGAACGAGACGGGCGCGCTTCACACGGCCAGCGTTGCGGCCGTCAGACTTGTTGCTGGGGCGGAAGATCGAACCGCTGGCGACCGTGGCCATCTCCGACTCCCCTGATGGCGAGCCAGAATACTCCTCAGATTCGACATCGCCATTGGAGTCGGCTCTATGGCGCTTCTTAGAGCCATCTGAAGCCATCTCACAAGAGAAGCTGTCTTCGCGATGGGACAAGTACAGGAGGATGTCACCAGAACTAGGCTCTTGCAAGGGAGCTTTGCGCTTTCGGCACACGGTGCCAACTGATGCGTCAGAAACTGATGCGTCAGAAGGCGGATGTAGGTCTGCACGCGATGTGCTGTTTTGCAGGCCGGCAATGGAGTCGAGATAGTGAACCAAATGATTTTGCGAGAACTGCTCTGCAGAATCCGAGCTGACCGAAGGAGTTTCAGAGGACAGTCTGCTGAAGGATAAGGGTACACCAGATTTCGTCGCAGATGATTGCAGGCTTCGTTGTGAAGATTCTTGCAAGAATAGGGCATCCGACGATGCGTCGGGGGGTGTTACGTTGACGTTTATGCGATATCGTGAGCAACGCTCAAAGCGGACGCTGCCTGGAAAAGAGGTGACTACAGTAACAGTCATATGTGTCTCGCACGTCTGCCTTGCAGATTAGCATCAGACTTCCAAACATTACTCATTACGGTTTGTGGTTGACTCCGAATATAATGCTGCCAAGCCAAGTTCGTAGTTTGGGACGACGCATCAGCCACTAACCTCCGTGATGCTGCCCAAAGGGGACATGCGAAAGCAGCGTGCATCAGCATCCCACCGAGCCACAGAATTTGAACGAGTCACCGTGTAATGGAAGCGATCTGGGTATGGTTCACAAGTAGACGCATCGAATAATGAGGCTGGCTCCACAAATACGGGCGTGATGCGGTACTCCTCTTCAGGCTTAACACAGGAAGGAACGTTATCGAATCTAACCCTAGGTGCAGACCATGCCAACTTAGCAGTGATGTTGAAGATTGGATGGCCATAGTCGTGAGCGATTTGGTCAATGAGAATCATGGGCCCATCCGCACCCTGGACGAAGCAGTCTTGCGTACAGACGAGATTGCAGAGAAACCGGGGAAGATTTTCAGAACTGATCCCCCAGTCGAAAGAGCCCCCTGGGCGGAAAGGAGCTTCATGATAGAAGAGATCCATCATGCTATCGATGAGCGCATTGCTGTCAATCTTGACTGCGTGGGAGCCCGCGTTAGCAAGACGCTCATTGATATCGAAGAGAAGCAAGAAATCGTCAGCAGGCCCTGTCGTAAAATTAGTACTCAACATCTCATTGGTAGAGATTGTATGAGTGATTTTGTTGCGTGTCCTCTCAACGGCAAGCGCTGGGCGGCGCTAGGTCATCTACTTACTTTGGTCTTGCCCGACTTGTGAGGCAATTAGGGTCCTCAGAAAGCCCTCAATTTGCAGCCTGATGCAATCTCGGAACGCGTGTTCCCAGAAGGCGAGCTCGCACGCTTGTGGATGGGAGAGACCCTTCCAACAAGTGACGATGTCGACGTGCTCCATTGCTGTGCTTATGTCAACCTTCTTTGGAACTGTGAGAGGGGTCTACCATTAGACTACAAGCTATCTTGTCTCAGCGCCACGCCCAAGGTGAGCCGCTGATGGCAGGGTGTCGGCGTGGTCAGTGAACTATCAACTTACCTTGACTGGCTGAGACAGATCTTCTCACGCGAGGATGGTACATGCTGTGCACATCGTTTTGTCCAGAGGCAGCGAGCCCTTCAAGGTCCACCTGCAGAGGCAGACTAAGGGCCAAATCTTCGAGGCGTTGGGTTGGATTGCAGGCCGGCCCAGATTCCACGAGCGAGGGGTGAGCATGTGGAGCGACATGGCTACCCGTCGGTGGCTGTGAGGAGGCGTCAGCACTCTTCTTCATGGTGACGCGTTGCGCTGGTACTTACAAGGTTATTCACATGCATGCTAGAGTGCTCAACAGGATCGATGTTTGGGAACAATATGGCTAGTGTAAGTGTGTCGCTCTGACGCGTGTAGGTGCTGATCGCAGGAAATAGTAGAAGTGTTTGAATCAGAGGAGACAGGCAGGCGAGGGTGTGCAAGTCAGACTGGTGGAGCAGTGTCGGCGGACGTGCCGACACATGAGCAGAGAGCTCTTGCTATATCGCATCCATGGAGGCGCGCGTGCTGAGTCGCTCATTCTTATTACCAAGCTTCGAGATTTGCAGAAAGGCATCGACGCCGTAGCCCTCTAAGCTATGAACCTCCAGGCTACCGGCCCAGTATTCTGATAACATGGTCAGTCAGCAACCTTTAGCTCTAGGATGCTTCTTCTTACCTGCGTACAAACGCGACATTGGCAAACCAATGCCAAGGCGATTGTCCGGGGCCCTTCCCGTCAAAGAAGAAAGCGATCCCGAACCACGATGGGTGGCAGGATTGCCATACTTTGACCTCTTGTCCACTCTATGCTGCAATTCCGCTGCTGACTCAATACCGGGCACCTGTAACTCTTGCAACGTCCCTAGGAGCTTTGGAACCCTGGCCAGATTCTCTAGCCTCTTCTCTCGACGTGGGCCTTTGCTGAAACTCCACAGATACGGCAGAACCTCATTGGGGATTCCTCCGCCCTGGTCGGAGATTCTGATGATGACATGCTGGGAAGTCTCACAGATCAGCACCTCGATGGGCGGCAGGTCTGCGTCCTTGGACTTGCGGTGCTCGACGACGGCCTGTATCGAGTTTCGCAAGAGCTCTCCAATGATGTACTCGAGGTGGCTCAGAATGTAAGGAAATGTGGCGTCGACATGACCGTACACCTTGATTTCAGGTAGATGGACGTGCGGACCATAGGCACGTTTGATGAGCTCTTGCATGGTGTTCCCGCAGTCTTGGACGATTTCCCTAGCATTACACTTAAGAAAGATCTCGCCGACGGCCTCTTGGTCGTGTGGCGGATGTGAAGCCTGGGGAAAGTGCCAAGGCGAGTGGAAGGTTTCGGTGAGGGCAAGATGTTGTTCAGCAATGACCCTGCGTGAGATACGCTATGGCTGTTAGCAAAGGGTGGCTAACTGGGTCGCAGAGAACGCACCGATCGCAGCATCGTCGTCATGAACTTGTCCGTCTCCTCTGCTTTCATGAGACCCTTTACCTCGAGCACGCCGATGGCCAAGCGGGGGATGACGGTGGCATGCTCGGTCAAGGTTTCTTCGAGCACCTTGCAGTACCTCTCGTTCTCCTCCAAAGATCGAATCTCAGGCACGCGACGGAAGCGCTCGAAAGCTCGCAGATAGGACTCGTAGACATGGGCAAGATGGGGATTGGCCACGACGACATAGGGCAGCGTCTGAATGTCACGAAGGCGATGTGCAAGTCTAGACCATCTCAGCAGGGGCATACTCTCTGGAGGATGAAGGGCGTTTGGCACCTGGTGGGCAACTCGAGCCTGCAGTAGTTGGCAGAGTCCAACAGACGCGACTCGGTCAAGGTGCGGCCGAAAAAAGTCAATTGGCGCAGGCTGATGGGTCTTGCTTCACGTTGCACCCAGCTGGAGATTACGTGTCAGTTTGGATTTGTTGTGGAGGATTCCCCGCACCGCTGTGTGAAGAGTGTGAAGAGTGAAGAGGCGCTTTCGACTCACTCATCCAGGGCCGAAGACGGCCTCCATGTGGGAGGCACAGCAGCGGGTTGGGCAAAGCAGCGCCTCGCAAGAAGCAACAACGAGGATTTGGATTGCCATTGCACTGGGGCAGTTTTTGTGAATTGAACTAAAGGTGGTGCATGCAAAGCAACGCGCCGTCTCCAAGCCATTCCCATGGCTTCTGTGAAGCTTTGGGCAGGTGGAAGGAGGGAGAAGGGGAGAGAACTCTTCAGGGGTATCTATAGAGGACGGGATAGAGTTACAGTTGTACTACTATAGACCAGACAGCTTGAGGGCACAGAAGGCGTGCGGGGAGGCCAGGAAGCTTTGGGTTGTTGGCATTGATTGAGGTTCACAGAGTATAGACAGTGTTCAAATGTTGGCTGGGCAGGCCCCACGTGACGCCACTTCCGCTCCGCAATGTGGCGAGGGTCCCGACTCCCAACCACGACCACGATCACAATGACGATGGCGACAACGACAACAAAAATAACGGCAGCCCGACAGAAATGAATTGTGCAACCAGTCGGTCTCTGTCGTTGAGTTGGTAGCCACTACATCCTGTACTATACACACAGTACTCTGCACGCATGCCATGCACGAGTTTGCGTTTGCCGAACTGCACTTGCCAAACAGACAAGCATACCATGCCCATTGGCGCCAGCAGCAGGTTAGCAGGCATTTTTGCTGTTGGCCACGGGCGGATGCGCTTTCTGTTCACAGTGTGTGTGTTGTGTTGTGCAATTGTGAGTTCTGTGTGTGCGTGTATGCGTGTGTGTTGGATGTGTCTGTGTATCATCTGTGTATATGTGTGTGCGTGTGTGCAGATTGAAGTGGGAGGGAACAGCAGATGACGTCGTGCGTAGGCTGCGGGCTGGGACTCACTTTTTCTCCACTATGGGTACTGTTCCGACTGCTAAACGTATCAAAGTACAAAGTTCATACCTAGTCGATGCCAAGGTCCAGCCATTGTCCACCGAGGCCTGCATCATCTTACCCTACTGTGTTTCTGTCTAGGTACCGACAGGCTGCTACTCTACTCTTAGCTGTCTGATTGCCCGCCTCCTTCGAACGCCTTCCCCAGACTTCAGTTCTTTGTGTGCGTAAGAGAGAGAGACACGCACAGAGAGAGTCACACCCAGAAAGAGAGTGTGTGTGCCTCTTGCCATACCACCGCCTCCTTTTTCTTTTTTTTTCTTTTTTGAAAGGTGCAAAGCATCGTTCTCAGCCACAGTGTGTGCCCTTTATTTGTTCCACTCGACGGCTCATCTTTTTTTTCTCGTTAGCGAGGAAAGGCCATCTCTCCCCCCCCCCCCCCCGGCCGCCGTCCCTCTAGGTATCTTGTATACCTGTCCGCGGATTATCTGTCCCAAAGCATTCTGCCCACCTGCCCTGCCCTGCTCTGCCCTGCACCTTCCCTTGGTAGCAGCCAACCCGACGCGCGCACCTTCCCTTGGGCACCACCACCGTTCTTCTGCACGCGTGTGAGCAGCGCACACCATAGTTCCTGCCGACTACGACCACGACCACCCTTTGCGCCTTCCCTGCGCGCCTCCGTTGCTGCTGCCTGGCCCGCCGCCACCCGCGCCCGCCAGCCCTGCCCACCACCACCACCACCACCACCTTCGCCCCTACTACGACTGCTACTACGACTACAACGACGACTACTACTACTACTATTTCCAATCAGGCATGATGGATCACGTAAGTCGGCTCTACGCCAAACCATCCACCACACCACCACCAAAATCACCAACACTACCACCACCACCACCTACTTCTACTCCTACTACTACTACACCACCCCCTCTCAAAGCTCCTCCCCACCCTCTTCCCTCTCACCTTGGTCCACTCTCAGCTACCACGCCATTTCGCTGCCCACAGCCAACAGCAACCATGCTTACGCCGCCGCGCGAACCACAGATTGCTAGCGACATGGTCATTGACCAAGACTACGATGAGAAGACCGATGTCGCCATCATCACCCCAGACGACACGGACGACCAGATGGACGAAGTTGAGGTCGAGACCGAGCCAGAGCCCCGCGCCGACGAATACGACGCCTTCTTCAAGAAGCACTTGCCCGAGTCACCAGACTATGAGACCGAAGCCGAAGCTCACCACACATGGGAAATCAAGGACTGGCGGACGCTGACCAGGCGTGAACATGGCCCCATCTTCGACTGCGGCGGACATCCCTGGCGGATACTATTCTTCCCCTACGGTAACAACGTTGACTTTGCCTCCTTCTATCTCGAGCAGGCCTATGAGGAGAATCAGATGCCCGAGGACTGGTATGCCTGCGTGCAGTTCATGCTGGTACTGTGGAATCCAAAAGACCCTACCATGTACATCACCCACACCGCGAACCATCGCTTCACAGCCGAGGAAGGCGATTGGGGCTTCACACGCTTCGCCGAACTGAGGCGCCTCTTCAGCAATTCTTGGGATGACAGGGGACGTCCCATGGTCGAAGACAATTGCTGCAACGTGACCGCATACGTCAGAGTGCTCAAGGACCCAACAGGCGTCCTATGGCACAACTTCCTCAAGTAAACCTCCCCTTTTGTCTCTTCTACCTCTGTCCCTCCCTCATAACTAACACGATCAGCTACGACTCGAAAAAGGAAACGGGCATGGTTGGCCTAAAGAACCAAGGCGCGACCTGCTACCTAAACTCGCTTCTCCAATCCCTCTTCTTTACACAAGCATTCCGTCAGGTACGTAGCTGTCTTTTCCGTCTTTTCCTCGTTTCTCAGGCCACCCTCTCTGACGAGAGCAGGCTGTCTACCAAATACCAACAGCAGAGGAATCGGATCGGACCAACAGCGCCTATGCCCTTCAGCGCCTGTTTTATCTCCTCCAGACTTCAAATGGTGCCGTAGGCACAACAGACTTGACCCTCTCTTTCGGCTGGGATTCCAAACAGATTTTCGAGCAACAAGATGTGCAAGAGTTGTCGCGTGTACTCATGGACAAGCTAGACGAGAAGATGAAGGGCACTGAAGCAGAGGGCGCGTTGACTAGGATGTTTGTTGGCAAAATGAAGACTTACATCTCCTGCATCAATGTCGACTATGAATCCTCCAGGACGGAGGAGTTCTGGGATATTCAATTGAATGTGAGCGGAAACAAGACGTTGGATGACAGCTTCAAGGACTACATCCAAGTAGAAACCATGGACGGCGAGAACAAGTATTTTGCAGAGGGTTTTGGTCTCCAGGATGCGAGAAAGGGTGTAATCTTTGAGAGCTTTCCACCCGTACTACACCTCCAACTCAAGCGCTTCGAATACGATTTCCAACGGGACGCCATGATGAAGGTGAATGACCGCTACGAGTTTCCTGAGATTTGGGATGCATCCCCCTACCTTTCGGATGCCGCTGACCGGTCAGAATCTTGGGTCTACCATCTCCACGGTGTTCTTGTGCACAGTGGAGATCTCAATGCTGGACACTACTACGCTTTCATCAAGCCCACCAAGGATGGCCATTTTTACAAGTTTGACGATGACCGCGTGACGCGTGCGACTCTCCGCGAAGCCCTCGAAGAGAATTTTGGTGGCGACTACACGCAGGCGAATGGAAACACGGGCGCGAGGAATCCTTATACCCGAAACTGGTCCGCAAAACGATCGATGAGTGCGTACATGTTGGTATACATTAGAGAGACACGGCTCGATCAAGTCTTGATGGACGGGAAGACGGTCGAACCTCCTAAACACCTAGCCGAACGTCTTGCAGAAGAAAAGGCCACTCTCGAGCGCCGTAAGAAGGAGCGTGAGGAAGCCCATCTCTATATGGACTTGGCAGTCGCATCCGAGGATAATTTCAAGGTCTACCAAGGATTCGACATTGTGCCTTGGAAGGGCGATACGGAGGGTGCCGCCAATCCCAAGATTTATCGCATCCTGAGAGCAACGACCATGGCTGACTTTGCAAAGACGGTGGCAGAGGATTTGGGCGTCGATGCTGACATGATACGGCCTTGGTCCATGGTCAATCGCCAAAACGGCACCGTCCGTCCTGACACCGCGCTCGAGTTTCCTGACATGACGGTCGAGGAGGCCGCGAGTAAGCACGGTACCAAGCAAGCACAATTCCGACTATGGATTGAGAGGGCTGAAAGTCGCGACGAGAGCGGGGCGCCGGTATTTGGTGAGAAGACGGTCGATTTGAAAGGCCTGGCCAGCAACAGGCCCATCATGATCTTCCTGAAGCATTTCGACACGAAGACACAGAGTCTTTTCGGCATCGGCACATTTTACGCAGCGTTGCAAGACAAGGTCTCGGATCTCACACCTGTAATCAACAAAATGATGGGCTGGCCCGCTGGAACTCCGATCAAGTTATCAGAGGAGATCAAGCAGAACATGATAGAAGCGATGAAACCCAAGGTTACGCTGGCCCAATCCGAGCTGCAAGATGGCGACATTATTACCGTGCAGCGGATACCAAGCGACAAGGAGATCAAGGAGATCACCGCAGCCGGAGGTTATGTTGAAGCGAAGGAATTCTACGACTACCTGCTCAATCGTATCAATGTCGAGTTCGTGCCAAGAGTGGCAGAACCGACTGACCTACCCACATTTTCATTGACACTAAGCAAGAAGATGGCATATGACCAGTTCGCTAGTAAAGTGGCGGAACAGCTCAAGATAGATTCGTCCTATTTGCGCTTCACCACCGTCAGCACTACCGGCAAGCCAAAGATGGCTGTCAAGTACAACGCCAACTCCACACTCGCCAACATTTTGTTTCCCGGACCGTACCAGTACTCTGCGAGTGCAACACAGCGGCCAGATGCACTCTATTACGAGGTGCTGGAGATGAGTCTGAAGGAGCTTGAGCAACGCAAGCCCATCAAGGTGACTTGGTTACCAGAGGGACTCAGCAAAGAGGTAGGGTATTCTCTGGCTATGTTGTCGATACGCAAACACTAACCTACTACAGGAGGAGTACACATTGATGGTACCCAAAAACGCCCAGGTTTCAGACCTGCTCGAAGCACTGCAAAAGAAGGCCAACATTAGTGACGAAGTCATGCAAAAAGCCCGAGCTTACGAGGTCCATATGCACAAATTTCACAAAGCGCTGCCATCAGATTATCAAATTGTCAGCTTGTACGATTATACTCAAGTCTACGTCGCGCCCTTCACAGAAGACGAGTCTTCGAAGCGGATTTGGGCATTTCACTACGATAAAGAACCTTCCAAGCCCCACGGCATCCCATTCCAACTGGCATTGAAAGAGGTAAAGCCATGTCTTGTGGTGCGCACGGCCTCCCGCTAACGCCGCACAGGGAGAGGTATTCAGCGACACCAAGCAGCGCATCTCTGACCTCACCAAGATCAAGGGCAAGCAGCTTGATAAAATCAAATTTGCCCTGGTGCCCAAGGCCCAATACGCGCGACCAGAATACATTGAGGATGGCATGTCATTTCCCAGTCTCATCCCCTACTCTCTCACTAATTCCTCTGTAGATGAAATCATTTTCGACATTATAGGAAACCGCGACGATATTAGTCTCGGCCTCGAGCACCCCAACAAGAGCAAGAGCTTCTGGGGCAAGTCAGATTCCATCTTCATCCGCTGAAGAATGACGGTGGTGTTGTACGATACGATACGATACACGATACGATACGAACGAAGTCATCATGATTGGAATCATAGGGCAAAAAGATATCATTACCATGAAGGTCGAGCATTTTGAGTACACAGCGCTGTAGCATTAGCGACTCTGGACCACACGTAGCAAGGAGAAACCGGCGGGTTCCTGCCTTGATGACACATAAACACTCACATGCAGGACTGGTATGTTCGGGGAATGTGTCATATGTGTCGCGTGATAGTAGGTGCGCAAACATGACGTTGGCACTGGCATTGGATCAGCGGTGTGACGATGCAGTGTAGACTACTATGAAAGGCAGCAGCCATAGCAAACAATGGAATAACGGAACAGCATTTTCCACAACTTCGCGTGGTCGCTTGGAGTTCATGTCTGCCGGTTTGTGTTGTAAGGATAACCTTTGGTACACAGTATGCCTTTACTAAATAATACACTCATGATGTGAGTTCTAGCAGGGGCTAATCTCCGTGCCATCGCGCCCTCCCATTGGACCATACCCCCCGTCCCCGCGCCTTACCTCCCTGCATCGGCGCCACTTTTCCCCGACGTTCTCGCCAGCTGTACAACTTGCTCCAACCTCGAACATCGCGCCCCAGCGCATCCCAATCACAACCGCACGCCGCCGCCCTGCGCTCTCCCACCAGACACACGATGCGGCTCCTCCTCACCATCACCGGCCTCATCGCCACCTTCCTCACGACCGTCTCCGCCACCGCACTAACCTACCTCCTCGGTTCCCACGAACGGGCGTGCTTCTTCGCCCATGTCGAGAACAAGGGCAGCAAAGTCGCGTTTTACTTTGCCGTGCAGAGTGGCGGCAGTTTCGACATTGATTACGTTGTCTCTGGGCCTGTTACGGGCGACGGTACCAATGACAGGGTGATTTTGGATGGCTTCAAGGAACGGCAAGGGGACTTTGTGTTTACGGCGAATGAGGTGGGCGAGTACAAGTTTTGCTTTAATAATGAGATGAGTACATGGACGGAGAAGATGGTGGATTTTGAGATTGCTGTGAGTTTTTATTTTCCGTTGGTGTCAGGGCTGTGTACAGTATTGTACACGCACTGGCACAGAAATAAAGCCGTACTCGTTTGCTAACACAAGCACCCCCAAAATAAACAGGTTGAAAACGAGACCGAACGCGCCAAAATCCCATCGAAACAAGGCTCCTCGCCCGAACAAACCTCTGTGCTCGAAGAATCCATCCTCAAGGTCTCGGCCCAACTCTCGACCATCTCCCGCAACCAAAAGTACTTTCGCACGCGCGAGAACCGCAACTTCAGCACGGTCAAGAGCACCGAGAAGCGCATCTTCAACTTTAGCCTGATGGAGAGCGGGCTGATTGTCACCATGGCTGGCTTGCAGGTCTTCATCGTTCGCTTCTTCTTCCAGGGCGCCCGGAAAGGTATCTTGTGATTCTGCTGTGAGCAGCTTATGCGTGTGTAGAGACAAGTCGAGCTGATTCTACGCCTAGGTTATGTGTGAAATGGTTGCTCGTCGCGTCCCTTCCCCCCCTCTTTCTTCGGTCGATATGCGTGGCGGATAGGGGGGAGAAGCGGAGTCGAAGCCGGGATTTCTTGGGCGTTCAAACGCAAGATGGGAATTTGGCCGGGGGGATCTTTTTTTTTTCAGAGTGAGCCATGGTTGTTTTCAAACCTGCTCTTCTTGCCCCTCTCTCGATTTCAGAGTGCGGGATTGTATGAATAAGAAAACGAGCGTGGACTTACTCCATCGGATTCAGGCATGGCTTCGGCGTATCCTATGCTCCCAGGGCGTTGGAAGAAATAGGTTGTAGGTATAAGACAGTATCACAACAGAGATTTTTTTTGACAAGTCCGGTGGGAGGGTGTTTTTTTTCTCGCATATTTCTGATTCTTTGTCTATGTGTCAGTGTCTCCTTTCCCCCTTCCCCCTTTACTTCTACCTCCTCGCTATTTCGTGTTTCCTATAGCGTGTGATGATGACACTTCTCAGCTCCTTGGTTCCCAGGATGCATCGCGGTGCGCTCGAGGTTAGAAGGGGAGAATGGCACATCTGCGATTGATGATGTGGGGGGGGAGGGTTTGTGTTGAGTGGTTCGGGGTTGGGGGTTTTGTTGGGCTGTGGGGCTGTGCTCTCTTGCTTGCTTGTACTGTAGCTGTGTTTTTTACGCTGTTGCAATGCTGTCAGTTTTTTCGCTGGGTATGTTAGATTGGGTTTTGGTTCCTTTTTTGGTGATCTTGGGTGGTGGGGAGAGAGTGGCCTTTTCTTTCTGTTGCTTAAGTTTTTTGTGATTTGTTTTCTGTTTTTCAGAATTTTCTTTTTTTTACTTGGTTGGTAGGGTGAGTTTGTGCAGTCATTTCTTCTAGGGGCAATGGTCTTCTGCACAGTCAACCTTTTTTTTTAATGAGATGGCGGGCTTGGGGTGGAGGTACTGTTTACAGCTGCTGAAATTTCCTAATATTTACAGAGAGTCTGGGACGCATATGCATGGGTGAGCTGATTGGTGGTGGAGCGCGGTTTAGGGTACGTAGACTATTGTCCGAGTTTCTGGTGTTGGCGCTGGTAAGTGAGGGTATACGATTGGGACTGAAGGCTCTTTTTCGAGCATGTTTCTTATGGGGATGCTATTGTATCTCTTCTTCTTCAACGTCTCAGGCCTTGCGGACACTCACAATATGCCCACCTTCGCCCCCCATTCTCGAAGACGGATTACAGCCACCCTCCATCTTCCCACACGCCAACTACAAACGCCCTCACACTACTCTCTCGGCATGGACCACATAGCAACTCCAGCTCCAAGTGAATGCGACCTCAACTTCCCTCGACTGAGCATCTCTTGCCCCGCGCATAGCAGCATTCCCATTCCGAACTCAAGCGCCATTCACTGCGTCTACATACAGTCTCGCACCCCATAGTGGCAGGAACCTGCAATCACTGCGAGACGCGAATCCAAGACGGAGATATATAATCTGTATGTTACTCTCTGTTACTCTTGCTTTTTTTTTCTCACAGCAGCAGCCGCAGAATCTGGACACAATTCCACCCAATTCTAAGCTGCCGGTGCTGACGAGCTTCTCACAGGTCTTTTGCGCATACAACGCCACGGATTTTCGCCCTTGGTCGACGACCTTCGCTATCTTCGCTGGCGTAGGAGTACAGCCTTTGCGGCAACCGTAACTTTGAACGACAATAGTTTCCACCTCCCATACGACGATATCATATCTTACCGGCGGCGCCAGTGTGAACAACATGTCCGACGACGCGGCCCCCGAGGGTCAGAGGCCTCTAACTTCGTCCAACTGCAACACCGCCGGTAGCACGGTCCCGTTTGTCCCGGCCACCACGACGGATGATGTTACGGTCACTGATGTTCCTGTTACTTCATCTACTACTGACAGCACCACGGCGACCAATGATGTTTCTGCTCCACCAATTGCAGCTGGAAATTCCACGGGCACCGGCGCTGTGTTCACTCCGGCCACCACAACAGACAACACCACAGCCACCGCCATCGTCTCTACTCCAGCTACCACAATAGACGATACAACGAGCACCGGCGTTAGTATCGCCCACTCCCCCAGTATCACAAGCCGTAATCGTACCATCATCTTACACACCTCCAACCCCAACAATTCCAACGATCCCACCCAAATCCCACCCATAGAGCTCAAAACCCACTTCGCCATCAAAGACGCCCTATTTGAGATCCTGACCCCAAACCAGTACCACAGCGTTTTCATGGCCTGGAACACCCAAAAAAGAGAAGTGCATAGTGGTGTGCGGGACCCGCGGACCACGGATGGGAATCCGTTTTGGTTGGCGTACCGAATGGGCTACTTGGACCACAGTGGTGTTAAAAAGGGTTATGATTTGGTGAAGAAGTATGAGATGAGGGCCTCCAGTTCGACGTCGACGGCTCCTGGGGTTGGTAGTGGTGGTGCTGCTAGTGGGATTGGAGCGCCTGGTCCGTCGTCGCCTAGGTATGCTGGCCCTTCTTCGTCTACGACCACCGGTTCCAGTTCCAATGCCATCGTTAGCCCATCTCTATCCACGTTTTCTGGCCCACCTTCAACTACATTCTATGGCCCATTTCTGTCCGGCTTCGGTGGCGCATCTTCGTCTGCTGCCTCAGGTCGTTCATCCTCTGGATTCGCAGGCTCATCTTCATCTACCAGCGGCAGCCAGTCCTCGTCTAGATTTGCTGGGCCCTCTTCTTCTACATTCACTAGTCATTCACTCCCTTCTTCTATCCTCCCATCGTCCTCCGCACACAGCCGCCTAGCCACATCCACCTCCGACCTCAGACGTCCCTATACCTCTACCGATCTTGCTCCCATGTCAATCGGCAGTCGTTCGGTCCCTACTCCCCCTGGTCAACCAAATTTTGCTTTCTCCGGCCGTTCAGCCTCTGCTTTCCCCCTCCCACCCACCTCTCGTTTCAACCTCCCGAGCATTTCCACAATCATGGGTGGAAGACTCGCCCCAAATACTACCAACACTACTAGTAAAATGCCCATGGGTCCTCCAGCTCTCCCTCGCGTTGCCGGTATTTCAGGGCTTCACGCTGTTCCCCCAAAAGGACTGTTCCCCTCCGTCGCACCGTCTTACATTCTCAAGAGTCAGAATAAACGTGAAGCACCACAGCCAAAGTCTCGTTCCAAGAGAAGTAAGAAGGGTAAGGAGAAAGCAACAGAAGAGAGTGAGAAGATAATTGAAGGCAGTTCTACGTCACCCGTAGCTAATCAGTACGGTTTCACGACGAACAGGCAAACCAACATTAAGGGCAAGGAAAAGGCAACAGACAGTAATGAGAGCATGGAGATGGGTGCTTTTCTGCACAACGACGATGACGGAAGCATGAACACTAAAAGAGACAAAGGTAAAGGCAGAGCCAAAGAACCCATGATCGACCTCACGACATCTGAACCTAGGTTCACACCATCGCCTTCGCCCCCGATGTATCAACGTCCATCGATCTCGTCTTCATCTTTGATACCAGATTTCTCCGACGAGAGCCAGAACATGATGCAGCCTGAGGATAATGATACATCGTGGTTATCACATATCATCAATGAGGGCCCTGTCTTGGGGAACCGTGCGTGGACACCTGGTTTCACTAACAGATCTTGGGCACCAGAGTACACAAATGAGCCGCAAAACAGTACCGATATGCAGGGTGGATTGTGGGAACAGGAGTTCGATGACGAGGGGCAAAATATGATGGGGGTTGGTACGTGGGCAGAAGATAATAACAATCAGGCATCAAACACGATACGTGGTGGATCATGGGCACAAGATTTCAACAATCAAACACAGGACACGATGGGAGGTGCATCATGGACACCAGATGTCACTAACGAGAGGCAAGAAAGGTTTATAGACCCTAGGTCTCTGTTGGTCCAGCAGCCAGGGAGTGGACAGTATGAGGACTTCGTGTTTCCGTCTGGGAGCGACGTTGACGAGCTCGAAGGATTCGTGTTTTCGACTGGGGAGGAAGTTGAAGGGGAGGAGGGGGAGGACATCGAAGTAGGCGTTGGCGCTGAGGGTACTGGTGATGTGGCCTGGGATGAATGGACGAATGATGGGGACAATGGGGAGACCGAGGGTTGATGGTGGTTTGGGATGAGTTGATGAGGACTAGGTGGGATTTGGTGCAGACTGGTAAGAGTCAGAAGACTTGATTCAGATTGGGCATCAGTTGTTGGACCTTGACCAGGACTGGATCAGGACTGGATCAGGACTGGATACTGCGGCAGAGATTAAGAGGCACCGAGATCCGTCTACATATCCCAGATATGTATAGATCCATCCCAGGCTTACCCACGAGATGGCAGACATGTTCAGCACATGGCGAACGACTGCGAATACATTTCCTATTCATAATTCTTTACTTTCTTTGTTCTCCTCTCTACTACCGAACTGGAATGCAGCGAGTCACAAATACCTACACATGTAGAATACCTTGGCTATATGTCTTTATCCGGCTTTTTTTTGATCTTGCTTTTCTTGATCGATCCTCGTGTCAGTAGGTAAAGCCGCAGCCATTTTCCGAGAAACCAAATTTTCTCAGAAGTAAGGTCCTACATGATATAAATCAACCCGCGTCGTACACCTTGACAATGCATATTATCCAGCAGCGCTCGTTGTAGTCGCACCACGAAACCGCTTTAGTGTTTGGAACTATGGAAAGTGTGCTGAGGGGTGCGTGATAGGGGTAGAAAAGTGATATGCCTGCTTTTGGGTGTAGTGGGGGTGTAATTACATGTGCATGGTATCTTCAAAGACACACATTGAGGCAGCCCCTATTAGGCGGAAGACAAATAGTATTTCCTTGATATCGCATGTCTTCCACGAACACTCTTTCGTCAAAAATCGATCTCGTTATCTGTCGTATAAAAAAGTGCTGGGTTGTATGCAAAGTAAGAAAGCCGTGGCAGCAAGGAGTGAGCAAGGTCATCACACTAGCTCACTTTTGTGGACGCGTCGCATCGCGTCAAAGATGCAAGTAGTATATATCAACTTCATCACCACTACTCCTACTCCTATGAATTAACTGACAATAATGTTCGCCCTGATGATATGCGAAACACATAGCGATTGTTCCTGCTACCAAGCTCTTGGGACGCAACGGTGGAATTCACTCGATCATGAGGTCCCCACGTCGCAATCATTCTACTTTGGGATAAGTTCTGTCAGTCGGTAACGTGGTGGGTTGCCTTGCAGGGCTTAAGTATGTTCACGAAAGGAGTGCTGCATGTAAGAGATACTCTGATGCTGCTGTGTCATGAACGCCTGGGTCACGTGTGACGGGCTTAGCCTCTTGGCGGTGCTTGCCCATAGATAGCTCCCATCCTCCTAGACTAGGACAATATGATCACATTACACACTGCATTTGGGCCCTCCTCATCGTCGGATATTGCAGATGCCAAGTTCAATGGATTATTCGACTCGGTTGTTGCGGAACCATGGACGATTGGTGCACACAATGAAGAAGAGCGTAGCACGAAGTTGGAAACACTCACTGATAAGGGTATCGGTGAAGACTATACATTAACCTTACCTCTAACTCGAACCTACAGCTTCCAATCGCTCTGGACCGGACATGTCCGAATGGTGTTCGTATACGTCGACAAAGAATGTGCCATTGCATGTTAAAACATGCCACTGGGTAGAGAACAACCCTCCGGAATGTGCCATGCCTTGGCTGCTTTATAACCCTCTTTCCTGCAATTATCGAAAATCCTTGAGCCACCTTTCTTTGCCTATGCTGGCATTGGATGATCACATTGACTCCTGCTTCAGCAATCGATTCTTCTTTTTACCTCGCTGCACACTGGCAGGCACCGGAACGATGAGGTCCAAGTCTTCCTTCATGGAGAAGTCCTTGCTACTAGGGGTTCCCTTTCTCTCCGTTGTAAACGCTCTCCCGAACCCACAGCTGCTTCCACAAATTCTGCCAGCTGTGCCGGTACCTGCGCCAACCAGACTCTCAACAACAGTTCTCCCGGCAAGCTCGACTAGTGCAGCATCTCGAGCTTCTTCTCTCGCCCCAGTTGTTGTACCATCGGTTGCACCTCTTTCTGCCCTCTTACCGCCCATTTTGAATCCTTCAACGCTGGTATCCATTGTGAGCTCCGTGGCGCAAATTCCAGCTGCTCCAGTGTCCACATTGCAACAACTCGTCACCAATGTTGCATCCATTTCCGCACCCATCCCGGTCCCATCTTTGGCTCTCAGTAGGGCATCTTCAGCCGCGCTACCGTCCCTAGTCCCCGCAGTTTCTGTGGTCCCACAGATCTCATCATTGGCGGCTGCTGTGCAGACTCCATCCGTTCCCCTCCCGCTCCCATTGCTGCCGCCAGTATTCCAGCCTGTAGCACTACCGATCCCTAGTCTTTCAACCGTAGTGCCAGAAGATACTACAGTGGTACCAGCGTTGCCACCATTCTTCCCGCCAATAGGGCTCCCACCCCACTACGGACTCCCCCCATTGTTCCCCCCAGCACCTCTGTTGGCGGTTCCCCCTGTCGTCTCACTCCTGCCTTCGGATGCGATCACCGAGATTGCTGCTTCGCCTGTGGCCTCCATCTTGCCCGCGATTCTTCCAGCGTTGCCCAACGTCCCGGCAATCGCCATCCCGCCTCTTCCTACCCTACCAACGCTGTTCGAAGACTTGACTCCGGCTGAGGTCCAATCAGTTCTCCTACCTCTTTTGCCAACGCTGGTTGCAGTCCCCCCTGTGAACGTTACAGGCCTGGCAGCTACTTTGGTGGATGCAATTCCCACCGAAGTACTCTCTTCCCTACCGACACTTGCTGCTCTTGATATACCTCCTATCCCACTACCCTTGCCATTGGGTGAACCGGAATTTCCAGTTGAGTTTCCAGCTACGGAGGTAGAGAACCTCTTGCCCGTTGCAAGTAGCTTGCTAGATGACATCACCGATGCCGTACCCACGTTATTGAGCAACCCCCTCCCATTGCCTGTAGCAAGTGGGGTCATCGCGGACGTAGTGGAGGACTTTCTTGATGTTGTGCCAACATTCATCCCAGATCTATTACCCATTATTCCTGTCCCCTCTAACCCCCCGATCCCGCTTGTACCCCTGACAGATAGCGTCCCAATCGCCAGCGGTACCGTCTCCGACCTCAGTCACGATTGGACCTTTTACTCCTCCGGCCTGGTCCAAATTGATGAGGTTTTCCTGAACCCATTCACCGGTCTACTTGCGGGTTTCTTGTCCGATGGGACGTCAGTAGGTCTGTTCGTCGATGGGTTGCACATTGGCGTTCACGTTGTTGTGTACTCTCCTACTTTTGAATTCTTGATTAGGCAGTTTTCATTGCCCCTGTTGCCACTGCACGGCGGGTGGGGTTTCGGGACCTATGGGCTGCCGGCTTCGGATTCCTCGTAGGGAGTCAGGGCAATTGTTGACAGCGCGTTCGCATATTTGTTGTGGACCGGTTTAATGCTTCCATGATAGATTGACTGAATCGCATAGTAATAGTATTAGCTAGATGTTGGTTGCGCGCCGATTCTTCACAGGGCGGTAACCGTTTAGTCTCTTGTTTAGCAAAGAGTCTGCCATGTCGGTACGGTAGTTACTGTCAAAACGAGTTGTTTTCCATGATTTTACGTATAAGTATCATGCACATCCGCCATGACTCAACATCTTACTCTAAGAAAGCGTTTATATCAACAAATGCTTTCGTGTTCCCTCATCATCTCAACTCACCTTTCTCCTCTTCCCCCCTCTTCCATCACTCACGATGGCTCTTAAAGCTTCACTTCCCACACAAACAAGCCCCTCCCATCTTCCAACCCAATGCAGATCGTCGTTTGCTGATCAGCCCCCACGTTCACCATCTCACACACAAACAGTACTCTTCTCTCCGTCCCTTCCCGTCGCTTACAAAGCCTCGCAATCGCTGTAAGCGATGAGCGCCTACTTCCACTGCGCCACGTTATATAGATATATACTAAAGGTAATAACCTTAAACCTATAAACCTTAGCTTAACCTAAAGTGGACACCCGTATTTTGGCGGCCGAAGTAGAGCTAACTTTTTAGCGTACCGGGATGAGGTGTATCTTTGGAATAAACCTAGATACGAGCCGGTAGTATGGTACGCAGTTTGTAAGTTGACAATTCCCGAAACTATGGTCTGCTAGAACAGGCGGAATATTGATCCGCAAGAAATGTGTGAACTACAAAATTTAAGTTTCTCATTGCTCAGCCTTCGGTAGTAAACTCAACAAGGCCGAACACTGCCTACTGTTTTTATGGGAGACTTCCACCGATGTAAAAGAAGTAACGCCGAGGCAGATTAAGGCCCCCCAAGAAGATGCTGCGCCTTGTTGAAGTCCCGAGATACAAGATGGTGACTCTAACCTCCCGACATCGCACATCCAGAAAGCAGGCGCAAGAAAAAAACACTTCACGATGAGCAATCGTCCACCACCTCTACCACCTCGACCAAACAATGGCCACACTGCGTCGCAACAGCGCCCTTCACCCAGCAGTGCTAAAGTCCGAAATCCTACTGCCTCCCGCTTCCATAGGCCTGCCAGGCCGCCGACAAACATCCCGGCTTCGCAGGCCAGCGAGTACATCTACCACGACAAATGTACAGGCCGTACCGCCAGCTCCATTTTCTGGTTCAGAAGTAGTGTCGCGCCCAACTTCCTTGTCTGCGCTACTTGCTTCGAGAATCACATCCGTTACACGCCCCTAGCTGCGTCGTTCACTGGCAAGCTGGAAACGCTTGCAGAGAATGGAGTCTGTATGTTCGATGAACCCCGCGTTCGGGATACCCTGTGGCCGCCAAGTAAGCGAACAAACAATTTAGCTAGAATTCACGCGTATATGATAGCGCGCAGCAATTTACCGCGGTGTAGAGGGATGGCTGGCTTGAACGGTGCCGAGGCTCGAGCGGTCGGTATGAAATGGTACACATTCGGGCAGGAAGCAATACCCCATTTCCTTGCCTGTCAAGCATGTGTAGAAGAACATGTCGTGGATACAAGATTCCAGAATATGTTTGTTCCCAAAGCGACAGTGCAGGGTGATGCGGATCAATGGGCCTGCGATCTCATCATGCCGTACGTCCAGCGTCTCGTCAGCTGGGCATCTCAATCCGGAGACTGGTCTACCATGTTGGAAGGCATTAAACGCCGACTGTCTATTCTTCCATGTCCATCCCATAGCCCTGCCAAAGCCAAAACTAGGACGTGGCACCGTCCCACAGCCTGGCCGCACGCATCAGTCTGCGACCAGTGCTATCTCGATCATGTGGCGTTGACAGTCATCGACGAAGAGTTCAGTCCACAGCCGGTACCTCCCGGCGCAGGCGAGACCGAATGGACTTGTGACCTGGCAAGTCTAGCAGCTCAAGAGGTCTGCGATATAGCAGTGGCCCGCAAAGACACCGCTCTTGTCCACCGATTCTTCAATGTCCTCACGACACACCCACCTTGCACGCCCCATGGTATCGTTGGAGGCAAGTGGTATACCTTGAAAGGCGGATGTCCGAATTTCGAAATCTGCGCAATCTGCTACACTGGAATCATCGAAATATATTATCTGGATGACGAATTCGAGTGCCGGACTGGCATTCAACCAGAAACGATGTGGGCATGTGACTTTTGTATCGGCATGCCTCGAGCCATTTCGTATCTGCAAAAGTTTGCAGAAACGCTCGTGTTGCCACGCTTTGACATCTTCACCTCGTATGTTCGTCGCACAGCCCATATCACGCCATGCCAGGGCAAGGCTCGTGTGAGGAACGCGGCATGGTGGAAACTCAATGGTACCGAAAACTTCGCTGTTTGCGAAGATTGCTATGAGAATGTGGTTCGTGATACAAACTGCAGCGACTTGTTTACCATGGTTGGAGTCGTTGAGGGGGGAGTATTGTGCTGCTTGTACTCTGCCAACATGCGGCGACGCTACAATACTCTCTGTGCTTCCAGTTCACCCAGCACACGCGCTGACTTTGTGGCATATGCAAACCATCGTCAATCTGTCTACGCACAAACTGTGCCTATGATAGAGCGCTATTATAACGAAGCACAAATCAAGCTGTTGCAGCAAAAGATGCACAATTCGACCAGCTCGTTCTATCAGACGCTGGATAGGAATGTTGGAAACTCAGTCATTGAATTTGGGCCAGTCAGCACGTACAAGACGGTGTGGGAAAGCTCGGCGACAGGGAATCGATATAATACGGCGTTTGGAATCGATGCGGAGAATTATGCGGCAAAGGGTAGGGCGGCTGCACAGGGTGTTCATAATGACACAGCTCGGATTAGAATGCTGGAGAGCGCTTGGAGAGAGGTAGAGTAGAGGGTTTGAGCTGAAAGTTGTCTTGCCATGGATGGATAGGTACCGGTGCGTCCGAGTAGTTTGAGATATTTTACCGCCCCAAAGCAATATGTTATGATCACAGTACATTCCAGGTCAAGAATTTGAGCAGCGTAACATCTCGTTGCAAGTGTAGTGTAGAAAGTACAACCAGCAAATGGGATGTCTTCAGTTGGAGAAGAGTCCTTCGCACTGAACCTGTCGAGGGACTTTCCCTACGTACTACGGGAAGAATCTACCTACCATCGATTCATTTGCGGAGAATGGACGACTACTAGGGACATTAATTAACAGAAGTTAATATAGCTCATGCTCCGTGTCCAAAGAAGCCTGGACTCCCAGCAACTACGCAAATCGTGCTGAAAACTACGCGCAAAAGCTACACTACGCTTCCCCAGACCCGGAAGTGAAGCTAGATTGCCGTGCCATTCTAGTCAGGCGTGATTTGAATCCCCTGGTATATAAAAGATGTTTCGTAGCAAAGTTTAGGAATCTGGGGAACCGTTCCACTTTTGCCACAATGCTCAAATCCGGTCTACTCTTCGTCCTTGCAGCAGCAGCGAGTGCGCAGCTGACTTCGAAGCTTACAGAGATTACAGACTTCGGGCCAAATCCTCGCAATGTCTCCATGTATATTTATGTGCCGGCCAACCTCCCTCCGAATCCACCAATCTTGGTGGCGCCACATTGGTGCCATGGGACAGCGCAGAATGTGTTTGAATACCGGCCGTGGGCCTCGCTGGGTGATGAATACGGATTCATCTCCATTTACCCGAACACATCCAACTCGGATCAATGCTGGGACGTTAGCAGCAAAGAGTCTCTGACCCACAACGGTGGTGGAGATGCGTTGGGCATCGTATCTATGGTTCAATGGACGCTGGAGAAGTATCAGGCCGACGAGGATCGTGTGTTTGTCACTGGAACGAGCTCTGGGGCCATGATGACCAATGTTTTGATTGGCAGCTACCCCGATGTCTTTGCAGCGGGAAGTGCGTGGGCAGGTGTCGCTTTTGGGTGCTTTGCAGGAGACGGGTACGGGGTATGGAGCGATGCATGTGCAACTGGCAAGATTATCAAGACAGGGCAAGAGTGGGCAGATCTTGTGAGGAGTGCATATCCTGGATACGATGGATTCCGTCCCAAGTTGCAGGTCCTGCATGGGTCACGCGACAATGTGCTATATCCGCAAAATCTGCAAGAAGAGATCAAGCAATGGACCAGTGTGTTTGGTGTCAGCGAGACGCCAACACAGATTACCAATGATACGCCCATTGCCGGATGGACGCGGTCGAGATACGGAGACCAGTTTGAGGCTTATGAGGCAGCTGGGATCGATCATGATATCCCCACCAACGACAGGACGGTCGGCGTGGTGGTTGATTTTTTTGATTTGACGTGTCGAGGTGAAAAGTGCTTCTCGAGGGCATCGAAGAAGACTGTGGGATATTAGAGAGATGCAGAGGCCCAGGTGTTTTAGATCAGGTACATCTGTTTGAGAGCACGCGCAGGGCCGACTGACTTGTGGAGTGGTCTCTGATGATTACTCAACTTCGATATACTCTAGACGTTGGGCACGAGAAGTGGAGTGCAGGTGGAGTGAATGGGGTTCTATCGCAGTCGGAAAAAGAAGACGGGGGGGGGGGGGGGGGCGGCATGATGACGTCATCTGCAGACAGCGTGGCAATATTGAATCCCTGCCTCCAAGCCCCCAAGCCTCCAAGCCTCCAACAACCACCCCCAAACACCCCATCAATGTGCTTTATGACTACGACCATGACCGTGTTCATGCACATGCACATGCACATACTCATGCTCATCGGTGTCCTCTACGCGCGGCCATTCTGCCCAGTATCCATCGTCCCACATGTCTGATAATTTCTCCTCTGTCGCCTCCCCATCCAGCTCCTCATCATTCATCACCTTCTCCCATTTCTTCATCTCAGCACCGCTCAGCAGGCAAGCGTCCAGCTTTGCCGTCAAACCTTTCACGTCAAGCTTCTCGCCGATGAACACCATTTCCTGTCTTCGATCACCCCAAGGCCCATCAAAGTCGTTCTTGATAGCTTTCAGCGTCTCTTCATTAGCGCCCCAGTCATCTTCAGATACACAGCAAAACCAGGGCATTTCAGATCCCAACGTCAGCATCGCACCGGCTGTGCTCCACGACCCCATCTGAAAGGGTCGTGTCGCGAGCCAGAAGATGCCTTTGCTACGATGAAGTCCACTGAAGTAGGGGTTTGCTTTCTTGTTGGCCAGTATCTGTGCATCGTCGAGAGGGGCAGTCGCGTCATCTTCACTGACTCTATCAGAATCATCCCCAGATGCACTTTGATGGTCTGATTCAGAACCTGGCTCAGTGCCATCGTCATCATCATCGTCATCATCGTCATCATCGTCATCATTGTTGTCGTCGTCTTCAGCTTCATCTTGTAGTAGGATGAAGTTGCCCTCAATGAGCCGATACAGCTTCATGGGATCGAAAGGCCGTCGTGCACGGTACACAAAGCTTCCGATGCCATATCTAGACACACCAATCAGCCAAAGTTGACGGCTCTTCGTGGAATTCGTGGACAAGTCTTACTCAAGAGTCTCCGGTTTGGGTGCAACACGCTTTTTACCATTGACATCGAGGACAGTCATTTCATGAATGCTTCGCAGCCAGCCGGGGCTCGTCACAGCTTCTGCAAAGTCGAAGACCCCAGTGTTGAGCATTTCACGCACATTGACCTTGGAGTATTTGGCCTCGATGATCTTAGCAGTTGGGTTGAGCGTCTTCACGTACGCTCTGACCCGGCCCACGGTCTTTGCATCTGCCCTGTCGATTTTATTGATAATGATCACATTGGCGAACTCGATCTGATCAGCAAACAGGTCTGAGATGGTTCTCTGATCCTCGTCGGGAACTTCCTCTTTGCCAAATCGATCTTGCAGAAATTCTGCAGTGTCAAATTCGGAGAAGAATCGGAAAGCATCGACCACAGTGACCATTGTGTCGACGGCCGCAATGGACTTGAGACCTCCAAGCTTTGCACTAGAACCAGTGTTAACCAGACGTGTCTTCGAATAGGATCCAAGGGTACTTACACCTTTGCAAACACTTCTCTCTCCTCAGTCTCCATGCCCTCGGCGTCAATCATGGCTTCCGTCAACTCGGTTGTAAACGTCTCGGCCACCTGTTGTGGTTCGCTAATACCCGAACTCTCAATGATGACATGATCGAAACCTTCGTTGCTCCAGGCGAGGCGAGCCAGCTCTACAAGAAGGTCGCTGCGAAGTGTGCAACAGATGCAACCGTTTTCCATCTGGATCAACTTTTCCCTGACGCGGATCTCCCCGGTAGTACTATTCTTCCCACCGGAGCGACTGATGATGTTTGCGTCCACGTTTACCGACGCCATGTCATTCACGATGACGGCGATCCGAAGGCCATGATCTGGAGACTGGAGTATGTGCCTGAGCAACGTCGTCTTGCCGCTTCCCTACGATGTTCAGTCTCTGTTTCACTGATCTCTAGACCACGATACATACCAGGAAGCCTGACAATATTGTCACGGGGATCGGCTTCTGTGCTTTGCTCTCACCAGTCGGTTTCATCCTGGAAGTCCCAGTCTTTCTCTTCTTCGCGGGTGACATGATGAATTCTTTCCTGTACAGCCTTGTGTGGAAAAAGAACGATCGTGAGGATTCCAAGGTAACAGACAGAAGGATATTTTGGTGTCCTATGTGTTAGCATTGCATCTGTGCACTTGTCCAATTGAGCACCTCGATGGGCACGCTACATCATCACAAAACCCTCGGATATGATTCGCCAGGCATGCAAGCGATGGACAGTGAGTACTCTTTGCCAGTTTTTTCTGTTTCGTACTGTTTTGAATTGGTTTTATTGTCAACAGTATCTTATCTTATCTTTGGTTGGACGAGAAAGCTCGATGGCCCCGATTCCCCTCGTGATGCACCTCAGCATCCCACCACGGCCGGACTACTCCCACTGCTTCAGGTATGCCTCTGCCTCTGCAGATGCATCTCTCACAACCTGGGCGTGTTTTTCACTGCGTGGAATAAACCTTACCTGGAACGGTTCGGGCTGGTATACCATGGTTTCGTAGAAGGCAGTGTTTGCCAAGTCGACTTTGTTTCCTTCAGCGTCGAGTCCTGGTTCGATGGAGAAAGCCCACAGTATCTGCGCCATTGTCCGCCATACAGTGCGCTCGGCAAGATGCATGCCAGCGCAGATTCGTCGCCCAGCACCAAACGCGTAGTGGTCGCGTTTCTCGTAATCCGAGCTGGCAGCATACTCTACTGACAGCTTGGGGTGGTTGAGGTAACGGTCAGGATTGTAGGTCTCCGGGTCTGGGTAATAGGTACGATGCAGTGCATACACTGGGACAAAGATGGTTGCATTTTTGGGAATCAGCATACCATCGTACCAGTTATCTTCCTTTGCACAGTAGGGGACACCTGTAGGGACACTATCGAAGATGCCGTTAGAGTGAGTAGATGGACAAGGGTGTCGGCATGTACTCACACTGGTTTGTAGCGAAGGCCCTCCTTAATGATGCAGTTGATATACGGCAGGCTGTCAAAGTCAGACCACCGCGGCATGCGCTCTGTACCACACACGCGGTCGAGTTCTCTTCTGGCCTTCTCCTGGAACTCTGGATACTGGGCCAGCAATAGGAAATTAATCAAGGCCGTGGTCGCCGTGTTCTCAGAGGCGGCCTGATGGCCACTGCCCAGGAGGCCCGCGTTTAGCATGCTATGAGACAGGGGCACATCAGGCTGCACAGACCCATCCAATACTCTGTCGATCAGCGAGTCGCGCATGTCGCCATCATCGCGCCTCTTCGCGACTAATTTCCGGGCCTTCTCGAACGTCGCCGTATTCCGGCGGTACGTCTCGGCGCCAACCCGTTTCGAGGGAACCCAGCGGTCAGGGATGTACTTGAGAAACGGGAATTGTGCGACGGGAAGGTACGAGCCGGGCGCGATAGCCCTGGTAAGCTGGAACAAGTGGAAGAAATACGGTCAGTGTGACTGGTGACATGACTGTCATGGCCTCTCGGTCGACTTACTATATCCGTGGTGGTGCTCATGTCCTGTCAGGCTGTTAGCACGTGACCACGACAGACAACTTCCAATACTGAATGTTCAATCCAGCCTCAGGCAAAGCCAAGTCCAACTCACAGTCGCGAAAAAGCTGCTCCAGGACGGGGCCCGGAAGCCGTAGATGATGATGCTGGCAATCGACAGAGACGCTCGTAACACGCTCGAACGGAAGTCCTCTGGTCGCTCCAGGATCTCGGCCATCAGACGATTGATCCTGGTTCGCGTTAACCCCCGTTTCCTCACATGACATTCACGTGACTCACTCGGCTTCCTGGATCTTGGCGAGCTTCCCGTCCAAATGTTTTGCCGAGAAGGTCTGTGCCATGATCTTTCTGATGGCCCTCCATTCTGGGCCCGAGTGCATTAACGCAACGTGCTCGTTCTGCACCGCCAGATCCCACTGTTCATCCGCCGGCCTATCTGCATAACATGCGCTCTTCTTGTTGATCAGCTCATGGACAGCACGCGGATCGTTCAAAACAATAATGGTGGACACGCCGACTTTCAAGGAGACAATGGGACCATAGCGATCGCTCCATTCCTTGAATCTGGCAAGCATGAGTGTTAAATGGCCGTGACAGTAGAGAGCATGACTGTACGAACTTGAAAAATACCCGTCCTGATGCAAGTAAATGCGCGTTCCCCAGGATTGGGATTGTTGGCGGCCCGGGCGGTAGATGTCTCTCGCGTCGACCAAAGCGTAGGATTTTGAAGAAGAAATAGCTCGCCAATAAGAGGAGCACTAGCGACGACCAATGCGACTGCAACCACGAGGCAGCCATATCAACAAGGAAGTGTGCGAAGATGCAAATAAATGCAAAATAGTGAACGCGGCAGAGCTGGCGTACTGGCACTGTTTATACCTACCTAGCATTTGCCAGGCATCCCCTGCTGGTGCTTCGTGGATCGCGCCTTTTTGGGGCCACAATCGTAAGACGTGGCAAGAGTTTCCAGGAAGGGCTGAATCCCCGTCGAACCGCCGTTGCGCGCTTCGGAGCGACTACCTAGCAACTGCTAGACTCTTATCACGGGCCTATCGACACTGATATTGCGGCGTGGTTGACTATACCTTCTTGACAATATAGACCTGGCCATCCGCGAGCTGGCGAGCCGCTCATCCCACACCTTGCACCTTGCAAAGATGCTCTCCTTCCTTTCCAACCTCGTCCCCTTTTCGAAGAAGAAGATGGCCTCCTCGGCCAGCAAGAAGCCAACGGCAGACCATCGAGGCCAACTAGCTGCTCGTATTCACGGGCAAGAAATCAACGTTCCGGACCTCACCCTCATATATACCGGATGGAAAGTCAGACAACATCCCGATGTCGACAAGATGCGTGCAGAACTCGAAGCCTGGTTCACTGCCTATGTACCCACAGAGAAGCAACGTACAAGACAACGGAAAGTGGACAGCGCTCTTTGCTCCGGCCTTTTCTGGACGAATGTCAGCTCGGAAAACTACGCTATACTATGCTCCCTGATGGCGTGGTTCTTCTTCTGGGATGATGAGATGGATGACGGCGACGTTACCGAGCACAAGGACAAGGCACAAGCCTACTGCGATGATACCGTAGCCTTCATCAAGAGTTGCCTTCAGCCAGAGTATGGTGTCCAACCCCCCGCCCCCGGACGCTTACACAATTCCGGTGCCTATGTCGAAATCGGAAAAGCCATGCAAACTGGTCAGTCGCGGGAGGATCGAGACCGGTTCGCGGAGTCTATTCTCCAGTACATTGAGACTATCCGGGTGCAGCAAAATCAGCGTCTCACTGGCATAACATCCGTTGCCGATTACATAGAGCGTCGAGTTGTGTCCATTGCTTCAACACCTTGTCTGACCGTCCTGCCTTGGGCATATGGCCTTAGCATGCCTCAATGGATATGGGACCACGAAGCTACCAACCGCGTCTTGCGAGAGGTCGCCATGGGGGTCTTCCTAGGCAATGATATCATCTCTCTCAAGAAGGAGCTTCTCAACGACGAAGTCGACTCGATCGTCCCCGTGCTCGTCTACAATGAGAAAATCACGGCACAAGCGGCAGTAAACAAGGCAGTCGAACTTATGCGTAAATCATACGAGGACTTTGAGGCTGCAGCAAGCCGTCTGAGGGACGCTGTCAGCAACGAAACCCAACAAGTCAAGGACGATGTCAATGTTTGGATCGGTGCTGCTATGGATGTCTTGGTGGGCAATTATGTTTGGAGTGCGAATGCCCCACGGTATATTCCCAAGTCTGCTTTTACAAAGGGCTTTGCCTTCAAGTTGGTTCTGTGATTTGTTTCCCCCTTTTTTTTCCGTTTGTTCTATTTTGTGTGGATGTGGGAAAAGCATAGCGTTGCGGGTGGGGTACTTTCGTTTTTCGGTTCACACTGCCCATGTATGGAGCATGGAGACGTCTTTACGAATTTCTTTATTTTTATTTTCTTACATGCGTCCTAGGAGTAGTAATTGCTCTGAGTAGAGGCCATCGGTGTACGGGTCTTACAACAAAGTTCAATCGACTGGTCTGTCACACCGTGCGTACTCCAGATACTGTTTACTCACAGCTCGCTTGTTGGTGGACCATTTCCGACATGCGCGGTGCAGGCATACCCAGCCCTAGTCCTGGTTCAAAGTTTCCCTAGTCCCAGTGTCCCGTAACCTACTACTCTCCCGAAACTTCATCCCAACGAATTTCCCTTAACATACAGGGAGCGCAATAGAACGCTTGCCCGAACACCGGGTCCCGCAAAATGACTCTGCTCTCTCTCTCTTCCAGGCGCCAGCATTGTGACGTGAAGGGTTTGACACGACCCACTGGTCACAGCTTCGGCGCCGATGGATGCAGCGATACTGCATGGCTGCGCGCCTAGCAAGCCAGCGCCACCTAGTGGGAACTGGCCTCGGAAATGGCAACGACTCATCCTTTGCGCTTCAAAACTTTCTCTTCGCTAAGCAGTTTACAGATGTCCATTGCTGTTCTCGGTGCCATTGGATCCTAAGAAAGGCCCAAAACGGACCAGTGCTCCCGCCAAGGATGCAGGAAAAGTCCGAATCTTATCTTGACCAGGACAAATGCTATGTGATCCCAAGACAACGTAGCTGCATGAGGCAAGCAACTAGAAACTAATAAGGTAGTGACAGGAAACGGTACATTCTAGATGATCACGAGGGGGCACTGTAGTTGGGATTGCCAGTCAGTGCGACGGCACGGCTCGGGCGGGTGTCACTCGTTGAACCTAAGATGGTAGAAAATCGACCTCTACACCCCACACTACAGCTTTCCAGACTGCAACTAGATATTGATTCTCGACTCACATGTGATCTTCGCGTAGAGGGGATAGACTCGGCCTGGTCTGGCCCACTCCGGACAGATTACGTAGTCAATCAGAAGCCAGACTAATGTAAGGATGCTCCTAGAGGATGAGAGAAGGATTCACTTGCTTCGTATCATTCGCAGCCTCACAAACATTTTTCACGACAAACGCGCTTGCCGATCATATTTTACTAACACACTTGCGATATCGGAAGGATGCTGCGTTGTCATGGAACTTGCGTAGCCGCCAACATATGCCCGACGCAAGCGAAGTGACTGCACTGCCAACAAAGTAACCGCATGGCAAGGTGATCGACGATGAATTAATCATATGGCGGTCTGGAAAAAAAGATTAGGAAAATGTCACGCTGGTCTGCGGCGTGTAAACGGCACTAAAAAAAATCGCGTCCTCTTACATGTCTTGATTTCAAAATGTAGCCTGATGAGCTGACACCGCCAACTCTAGCGTGGAGAAAGGACATTGAATAAATCTACCTATGAGCAGCAGCTGAAGCTCATCGGTAAGTACAAATTGCACGGTTATCTCCCGCAGGCCCGAATCGATATCGAAACCTTATTGTGTACGCGCCCAAGGTCAGCACATCAGATTAGCGTTCGAAAGTGGGGGAGGAGGGGGGGGCGTCTCTGGGCTGGATGACGTCGATAGAAGAATGTATGTACCTAGTGGTACAATTCCCATGAAGCAACGTCGTAGTTAGCCGAAACAATTCTGTTCTGAAGTTGCTTCACCGGCGTAGCAGCCATGCTTTTTCCGATCTGGCCATGTGCTCTTCCAAACCATACGGGTTTCAGAGTCTCGCGTCGACTTGGCCAAATGAAACAACTCAGCGGAGGGCGGGGTCCGTCTCCGTCATTTTTCTGCCAGAGATCGCAGGCGATGAGGACAGTATACCATTTCACACGTGCATCGACCCATGTGCGCGGTGTATTGATCCGCGTCCGCTTCGGGTGTCGTTGGTCGGATTGTCGAGCATCGCCCAGAAGGCAGCCAAAGGCGAGGTATAATCTTAAAAAATGTTTGAGATGTTTGAGATTTTCGATAGGGCATCTCGATATGATTGTGGTTGACGGTCGATATAGTCTGCTGTGGTCGCATACATACATGAAGCATGTTCGCACCTGGTACATCTCATTCAGTCGTCAAACTCGTCAGGCTCGTTCTTTATTCAAGTACAAACTTCACTCTTCGTCAGACACCAACACCAGCGTCGCTTGCAAACTGCAACTCTCTTGTCCGAAAAGATGCTGACAAACCGCCGTTCGACCATGATGGTCCCACCGAACCGAATGCCCAGCTGGCACCCACAGTCCAAGTCCACGACACCTGATGTGCCTTCTCCACTAGTCACATCCGACAATGAACTTCCACAGAGCCGTGTGCCTTCGATACTCACTTCGACCACGTCCATGTTACCTGGTTATCGGATCCTGCGTCTCCTCGGAACAGTTCACGGCACAACAAACGCCGCGCGCAAGGATACCAAGTCTTTCATCAAGAACATCGCCAGTAGCTTTGGAAGTCATTGGGGCGAAGCGAAGAGTATTACATCGATCATATACCAAGCCCGCGACCAGGCCATTGACCGACTGGTCAAAGAAGCAATCGCGCATGGTGCAAATGCAGTCGTTGGCCTGGAGATTCGTGAAGCCGAGATTCTGGGGTGCGTTGTCGTGAGTGTGAGCGGGACAGCGTGTTGGGTTGAGAAAGACGGGGCATTGAAAAGAGATAGTGCGCAAGAGGCTGATCCTTTTCGATGACAAGTGTCTGGCGAAAGGTGTTGGCGGTAGGGTGGTGCCTGTGACAGTGCGATACCCATGTTTCCTCGTTACTTGATTCTTCTTGCGGCAGCGCTGCAGTCATCTCTCTTCACTCTGCCGTCATACCATGGGTGCTTTGGCGTGCCGTGGTCGAGAGATGACGATGCGGGCTGGTAGGTTTGCACTCGGGCGGACGCATGACTTGATTGTGCTTCTCATCCGCAGCGCTTATTTCCACTGGACCGTAGGGACCGTATCACGGCCGTTTCTCCCAGTCAGTGCGTATCAAACAAGTACCTATGTATTGTACAGTCTGTCCTGGGTTCCATTGCATCGGCGAAAGCGCCGAAACAGCTTAACTTGTTCGCCTCGGTACCGGTAAGTGTACCGTTCGTACCGGTATAGGTATGCTGCATGCAGAATTCATCCTCTGGTTAGCATCCTTGTAAACAAAAGCACGTCTCTGAAAGGAGGGCCGAAAGTGTGGATGTCGTTGAAAGTACACAGTCTTTGGGCATACTCACGGTACCGGTACCTGAGTCTGAAGATTTCAGACAAGCTTGGGCAAGTTCATGTGCAAACAATCGAACGGCGCCCTTGTTCTTCAGGAGAACAACGGTCCTTGGCCCGACGCCGTGAAAGTGATCGCCAGGAAGTACGTGTGGGACAAAGTTTCTCCGCCCAGAACGCCCGTCTTTCCTCCAATTGACGGCCCCGAACGCCACGCGCGCCCTCCCGTGACCGCCACATTCGGACAAGATCATGACGAGATGTGTGGAGATGGCGACTTGACCACATTGTGCCAAGATGTGGAGAAACCGGGGAAGATGCGAGGCAAATTAGACTCTGGCGACCGACTATAAATAATGTTGTGCAGTGTACATAGGATCGGTACCGGTAGCAATCGCTGATCCCATTGTACATTATGGGTTTCTTCAAGCAAGCGATCATCGCAGCCTGCGCTTCTTCAGCCCTCGCTGTCAATGTCGTTGTGCAATCGACTGGCGGTAATCTCACGGGCAAATACGGGCATCCATATGGCTATGGATTTCTGCACGAGGTACCTGTGCACTCCAGATCCAGTGATTCCTCATCACCCTAATCCTTTCTCAGGACATCAACAACTCTGGAGATGGCGGCATCTATGCTGAATTGATTCAAAACCGCGCATTTCAATCTAGTCCGCGGTTCAATGTTTCTACCAAACACTACTTTCCCATCAACAATGCCGATCTGAGCATCCAAATGCTTGACGAGCCACTATCCGAGGCTCTTCCTGCGTCAATGCGCGTTGCAGCCGCCAACAGCACCGGCAAGGTTGGCTTCAAGAACGACGGGTACTGGGGCATGGATGTTCGACAGCAAAAGTATACCGGCTCATTCTGGGTCAAGGGTGCATACAATGGATCGTTCACCGCATCTTTGGAGTCCAACCTGACCTCCGATGTTTTCGGTTCAGTCGAGGTACCATCCAAGTCGGTTGCGAACGAGTGGACGGAACACACTTTCGAGCTCGTACCTGAGAAGGATGCACCAAACTCCAACAACACGTTCTCAATTACTTTCGATCCCAAGAGTGCTCCATCGGCTGGCCTAGACTTCAATCTCATCAGCTTGTTCCCGCCAACGTACAAGAACCGCAAGAATGGACTGCGAGTCGACATCGCTGAGGCGCTTGCGGACATGAACCCCGTGAGTTGTAATCTTAGTCCATGTAATCATCACGTACTGACTCTCGAAGCACTTCCTTCGATTCCCAGGAGGCAATATGCTTGAAGGTCTGACAAACGACACGTACTGGGACTGGAAGGACACTCTGGGTCCCTTGAAAGACCGCCCAGGCTTCCAGGGCGTTTGGGGCTACCAGCAAACCCATGGTCTTGGTATTATGGAATATCTCGAGTGGGCAGAGGATATGAATCTGCAGATCGGTAAATCATCTCCTCCAAAAAAGTGATTGGTTAATAACGACCTTATAGTCCTCGGTGTCTGGGCTGGTCTTGCACTTGACGGTGGTGTCACGCCACAGGAGGATCTCCAGCCCTTCATTGACGATGCCCTCGCTGAGATTGAGTTTGTGGCTGGACCAGCTGACTCCACTTGGGGTGCTCGCCGCGCTGCGCTGGGCCACCCTGAGCCATTCGAGCTCAACTACGTCGAAGTCGGCAACGAGGACTGGCTCGCGGGCTTCCCCGGCGGCTGGGACTCTTACAAGGAGTACCGATTCCCGCTTTTCTATGAGGCAATCCGCGCAGCCTACCCCAACATCACAGTCATCTCTTCGGGCGCGACCAGCGACCCAGCTCCTGAGGGTGAAACCACAGGACCCAACCTTAAGGAGGGTATCAAGCTTCCCGCAGACGCGCTGGGTGACTATCACCCTTACCGTGAGCCAGACGAACTGGTCCAGGAATTCAACCGCTTTGACAACGACGTTGGCCACATTATTGGTGAAGTCGCTGCCACGCACGTCAATGGCGCCACGCCTCCTCGCTGGAACGGCCCGCTGTATAAGTACCCATGGTGGATTGGGGCTGTCGGTGAAGCAGTCAGTCTGATCGGGTACGAGCGCAACTCGGACCGAATCCCTGGTACCTTCTACGCGCCCGTTCTGAAGAACAATAACCGCTTCCAATGGCCCATTACGCTCATCCAATTCGACGCCGATCCGAAGCGCACCACAAAGGCAGTCACATGGTACTGCTGGTCACTCTTCGCGCATCACCCCATCACCCACACTCTTCCTACATCCTCTAACTCCTCTTACGGCCCAGTGTACTGGGGCGCGGGTCTGGATGAGCGCCGTAACAATGCCATGGTCTGGAAGGGCGCTGCGTACAATACAACGGATGGTGCTCCTGTACCGGTTTCCGTCCATTTCCAGGGCGTGACACCTGGTACCAAGGCAAACCTGACTGTCTTGACCAACGCGGATGGCGATCCTTACATGTACAACGACCCATTCACTGGCATCAATATTGTGAACACTACAATCAGCATGTTGGAGGCCGGCGCTTCCGGCGCTTTCGAGTTCAGCCTGCCACAGTTGAGTGTTGCTGTACTGGACACAGATGTCAGTGGTGCGGTACCTGGTGGCTACTAGATGGCGAGGGACTCAAGGAATAGAATAGGAATGCTCAAATAGTTCAATCAAGTACAAAATATACAAGCAAGCAACAATCTCGCCTGAATAACGAGTCCGAAAGTCCACCAATTTGGTCTCAGGGAGAACAATCGACTTGTGAACTTGCACTTGCCGCTCCGTTGCCTCCACGCAGGACTCACGATGCAGCAGACAAGTCAATTACAGAGTCCAAACCCCCAAGAAATCTCCACTCGACATTCACCCCCACTATGCCGCCCTTTCCAAGCGAACCCGAAACTAACGTTTCAAGCACTACACCGAGACAGTTTCACCCCGCCTCACCCTCCAACCGCTATAAACCACGCGTCTCATCCCATCCGCGCACCGCCTTCGCGAACACTTCTCCCCCTCCCATTCGCCTGCACCCCAACAGTCCCGCTCATCCATGCATGCACTCGGCTACAAGTAGCTGCTCCAATCCATGCGTCGTCGATGCCATTGACTTCGTGTAACCGAAAACGACATGCGCGGAGCACGCCGAGGCTGTGTGTTCTACCGGTGGATGTAATCGCTAGGGCCGAGATTGTGTGCATCGGGGCATGGCGATTACTGATCGAGTCTTTGGGTTATGCGTGTGCGCCGAGATGCCGACTTGACTGTTTCGTTGTGCCTCAGCGGTGCGGAAGAAATGCGTTGGGGAGGGGGTTGAGAGGGTTTGGTGGAAGGGGTGATGGGGCGAGTGGGATGTGATGGTTGTGTTGTGAGCTTCAAGATGCATTTTCATATGCATCAATGTGAGTATATAAGATGAGACTCTCGCGCTCAGGGTAAGAGGTCATCATTTCAAATCACCACTCTTTGATTGTTTGCATATCGTTTTCTTTTACCGCGGGTCGGTCTTCCAGAAGTTTTCTCATTCAGTTCCTATACGCTACCACGATTCGAAGAAATAAATTCGAAGACATACGACACCACCGCAACGATGCGCTTCACAACCTCAATCGTCATCTTCTCCCTCTCTGCGCTTGTAGCCGCCGCGCCCTCTCCGCAAAATGAGAATCGTCCGGTCCCTGAAGGTGCATGCTGTGTTGCGGGCACGAGCTTAAAGCAGGATGTCTGCAATGTGAATGGAGAGAGTGGACGCTGCGTGCCTGATGATATTAATAATTGTACGTTGTTTTCCCCATCTAACTAGCAGTGGTTCCTCGGCGGTCGGCTAATCATGCAATAGGTGGTGAGCAATTAACGTGTATCGAGGACAGTAGATTGACCTGTGATCCCAATACGCTCGAGCGCGGACGTCCTCTTTGCCGCCGTACTCCTGGTGCGTAGATGGGATGGGACAGGGGATGATGGAGGAAGATTTTGAGATTGAGGAGCAAATGTGTAGTCTATCCTGCAATCACATTATCCGTTTCCACATCTCCATTTTGTTTCTTCAAGTGTTGCTCGTAATCGAATCCGACCTCTTCGATCCTAGTGATGTGCTTCTTCCTCTCCTCCTCCAACATTCCAAACGCGCCTCTGATGGCGGGAACATGCTCACGACACCAAAACTCCCGGTCGCCCCAGAGAGGCGGGATCTTTCCCTTGCCGTCGTTATCTAGATCTGATCGTGGCGGCGCGCTCAGGGCCCAAGTGGAGAGCATGTTGATGTACTCGCCGTCCTTGGGGAAGAGCAGAAGATGGAAGTTGCGATCGGATTCGATTTCCGCTCTTCGCGCCACGTGCCAGGCTTGCATATCTTGAAGGGAGGGAAGGGCGAGGCGGCCGGAATATACGCGAGCGAGGACCGCGGACTGGGCTTCTGCTATTGGGAATGGTACGATGCGTTGATTCAGAACGAGGAAGGAGAGGGTGGGTTGGGGGGCATAGAAGAGATGCTGGTATGTGTTTTCCACATGGCTTCCATCTGTTATAAGCGCAGGCTTTACGTGCTCCAGGAACGGGAGGCTGTAGAAGTATCCCGTAGCAAAGAGGATGGCGTCGACGTCTTCTATTATCGTGCCATCTTCCATTTCTACGCTTCGGGTACTAGGCAGGAACCTTTTGAGGGCCCCATATACCTTGCGCCGTGGGTCTTTGGCTGCATTTGCAGAGAAAGGGGAGAATGAGCGAGCAGACCATATCAATGGGGTCTGACAGTGATTGGCAATCTGATCGCTTATGTCGGCGCCGGAAGCTGCGTTACCAACAACCACTACTTTTTTGTTGGCAAAATCTACTGGACGCCTATAGTACTTTGAGTGCGTGATTGAGCCTGGATATTGCTTGTTCCACTCTCTAATGCCTGGGACATCGGGGACATTGGGAACAGTAAACCGGCCGCTCGCCACGATGATGGCATCATATATTTCTTTGGTCACTTTCTTGGTCCGTAGGTTTCTGACGGTAACATTCCATGTGCTGTTCGGCTCGTTGCTGGTCGGCTCTGCATTAATGACTTGAGTCTCGTATTGAATAAGACCTTGGACGTCTCTCCCATAATCCTGTATGTATTCCAGGACAGTTCTGTGTTTGGGGAAGAGGGGAGTATTTTGAGGCCAATCTAGACCTTTGAAACCCATGAGTCCTCTGGGTATGTTTGTCTCTAGCTCTTCATAGATTGGTGACAAGAAGGATGCAATCTTTCCATCGGCGGCTGTGTCATCTGCAGCCGCATTTTTCCATAGCGGATCTTGATTTTGGCCCTTGGGATCAGTCTGCGGGATTGTGAAGATGTCCTCGCTTGTCTGATCAGGCGTATGATTCCACAGTCCACCAGAGCTACGGCGGTGCTCAAACAACACAATCTTGTCAAAGGCCTTTTCAGCTCGCAAGTACTTTGCAGCTGCTAGGCCAGATGGTCCTGCGCCCACGACGGCTATCCTCCGTGCCCGCAGCGTCACTGCATGGCGTGCCATGATGGATTCGTGTTCCGAGGACTGGCTAAAAAGGCTGAACTTGATGGCACGAACGGACACGCGATGATCGAGAAGACTGATGCCAGATGCGGTGGCGATCGGGGCTGATCGGAACTATTTCGGGATAATCGTCAGATCCGTGAAGACCGACCGACATCGTGCCATCATGTTCGTTGTCACAGTTGCGCTCACCGCTTGTCAGCACCACCATGCTCAATCCGTCGACTAACGAGCTCTCATCCCCCGTCAAGTAAGACGAGCTATAGGTACTGCCGTATATGGTGACTTGTTGAAGACTCGTCATACCTCCCACTCACTGTTACCGTACAACACGTGACTTTGTCGTCGTCATCATCATTCAACTTGTGGTCGAAAACGAGGGGCAGCGCACTGACCGAGGCCAATGCTACGTTCACTACGCCTTGCACGTTTCCCGGTCCCATTATCCCCTTTTCGAGGCTTCTCTGCCAAAGTCGATCCAATGGCGCCTTTGCGTATAGGCTTCGTCCCTGGTTTGTCACAACTTGTGCTGCGCCAATCACATTATGCATGCTTATCCTTGTAGAGCATTTCTCGACGCCGCTTGAGTTCGCGAAGAAGCATTATGGGCTCGACTCCAAGCTGCTGCCTTTCCCGTCTGGTACTGGTCACATGGTCACGGCACTACAAGCAGGCGAAATCGACATCGGCGTGGGTCTCACTGAAGGTTGGGTGGCCGCGATAGGCAAGGCACAGGCGGCGAAGCATGATGCTGGCTTCAAGATGGTGGGCACATATGTCGAGACCCCACTATGCTGGGCCATATCAACGGGCGCAAGGCGAGATCTGGCAGGCGTACAAGATCTCAGAGGCAAGAAGGTGGGCGTGTCGAGGATTGGAAGTGGTAGCTACGTGATGAGTTTTGTGCTGGCTGACCAACAAGGCTGGTTGGATACCACCTCAGACAGCCCGCCGTTCGCCGTCGAAGTCCTCAACACATTTGCCAATCTCCGAGAAGGCGTGAACAAAGGTACAGCGGACTTCTTTATGTGGGAACACTTCACATCGAAAAAATACTACGACAACGGTGAAATTAAACGCATCGGCGAAATCTACACACCTTGGTCATCGTGGAAGATTGTGGCTGCAAACCACTTGTTTCACCCCCGTAATTGGAGCTCTAGCGTCAAAGCAACCAAGCCTGCTCTTAAAGACGAGCTTGAGGATGTTCTCGAGAAGATCAACAAGGGTATCAAACACTTCGAAGACAACCAGGAAGAAGCAGTTACGTATATCAGTACCAAACTCGATTATTCAGAGGAAGACGCAAGAGAATGGCTTGGTACGGTTGGGTTTTCGCAGGATGTCAGAGGTGTTGACAGCAAGGTGATTGATAAGACTGTTGGCATCTTGCAGAAAGCTGGTGTTCTTGGAGAGCAAGTCGACCAAACAGCGATGATAGGTCTCGAACGATCTTGAATACTCGACGAGTGATGAGAATGCCTTGTTGAGTTGAATTTGAAGATGTGCAAGTGACAGATTGTCCGTTAAAGTCATCTTACAAGACGTTGTACACTCACACTCGACAGCAAATCGCAACTCTGATGGCCAATATATAGTGAGAACGGCGACTCTACATCACTGAACATCTCCCCGTAGATATATTCTTCGCTGATAACTCTCACTTCATCATTCCCAAGACAATTAGAAACATGAAACAATTACACTTGTCATGTATCGATGAGCAATCACATCTACGCACGTATGGTCGAGTCCTACTCATATTCTAGTTTGAGAACCGTGAATGTACCAGTGCTGCGATCCACATGTTACGTCTCGGCTTAGCAGGGTTGCTCCGTCATTTCCCTTACCTGGTAGGTGTGGTTGAGCCCGTTGGCACGGCGGGTAAATGCATCCACGTAACTTATCCTGACTCTGGACCCTACCGAGACCATGTGGATCGCATCTTTAATACAAGCACCAATCTCATCGCTCATCCTGAATTCGATTACGAAACACTGCAAACAAGAAACTTCACAGACGAAGCCTTCTTAGCGAAACAATTTTGCCCAACTTCTTTGACTGATCACCTCGGCTTGGACGATAGCAATCACTATGCGACAGGCTCTACGAGTTTTATCATGGATATCCCTTGCCTGTGTTGGCCACGCAAGCTACGTTTGTACGAGGTGGGCTGGTCCTGAGCATCTGGATACACCACAGCATCGCTGATGGTACGGGTTGGGGTCGTATCTTCGAAGTTTGGGCAAAAAATATGCGGAGAATTAGACAGAAAGACATGGCCTCCGAGAGTATGCAGAATGAATTCTATGGACAAGGCGGTGTAGAGCCCCGAGGTGCACTTGACGATTTGGCCAGAAGAGCTGGGGTTCACCACGATACGACATGCGCCCCCAGTCCAAGCCCCAGCGCTCCGCGTTGTACCCTATACGGTAGTCTCTGGCATGGTAAGGATACCTGCGCGGCTCATTTCAGATCTCAAAATGCATCTCTCAGCAGAGACTTGAGCCAACATAACAAACTTCATCGCTCTGGCCGCCCTCCTGGCTACTTACATTAGTGAGGCTCGATCCACTTTACTCTCCTCACAAGAAATTACTCAGACAACACTAGCCGTCGTAGTAAACCTCCGCAAGCATCTAGGCCCACAGTTCACAGATCCGGACTTCATTGGAAATTGTATGCTCTGCGCCAAAGCCAGCTACCAGCTTTCGACTTCTCCTCGACCTGTACTTTCAGCTCCATCACATCTGGCCCCCATTTGCGCTTGCCATAGCATAATCTACCAAACGTATCGACGAAGATTGGGTCTCAAAACGCTTGGCTCCAATCATACTCTGTGAATCACCAGCGTTGGACAACTCGGGACTCACATTCGGCAATGGCCCAGACCTTTATATCACGAGTTGGCAGCACATGGGCGCTGACACTGAGTGGGATATTCCTGGCACCAGAGAGAAGAAACCGATTGCGATTCGACGAGCTGCTTGGGAGAGTGAGGTTGGGATTGTTATTTTGCCGAAAAGGAAGGAGAGAATGGGGCCATTTGAGGTGATGGTGTCGCTTGCGGAGGAGGATATGCGGGCTTTAAAGGAAATGCTAGGGAGAGATGGGAGGGTGGATGATGCGGCGGGAGGTGTAAGGTCTTAATTGCGAGTCTGCGGCTGTCTTCAAGACGGGACAATGTAGTCATAAGCTGGATAGTAAAACTTCGAGGGTACAATCCGATTATTCCTGTAGGGCGCAGAGATTGCACATAATTGAAACCCCGAGCCTACAACTCCATCTCTTCCACCTCTTTGCTACCCTACCGCCTGCCCTCCACCCCCTCCATACCCCAATCCCCCATCTGTCGTAGCATTCAACCTCTCCAAAATATACTCACCCGCCCGAATCGGCTTCCACTTCGGCGTCTCCCCCTCCTTCAAACACCCTGGCAGGGTTTCAACCACAGTATCGTAATTCACTGAAAAGAAGAATGGGACACTATAGCGCGGCTCTGCACTGCGATTCACAACCCTATGCACCGTACTCTTGTACAAGCCATTCGTCCAGCGCATAAGGAAATCCGCAATGTTCACAATGAAAGCGCCTGGGATATGCGAGGCAATATGCCAAGTGCCAGAGGGAGTGAGTATTTCGAGACCGGGAGTCGTGGAGGTGAGGAGTAGGGTGAAGCATTCGTAATCGGAGTGCGCGCCGAGACCGATGGGGGAGATGTCTTCTGAGGAGGAAGGAGATGTGGGGAGAGGGTGTGCGGGGGGTGGGTAGTAGAGGAGGCGGCATATGCCCCCTGGGTGGGTGGTTAAGGGATCGAAGTAGGATTCTGGGAGAGAAAGGGATAGTGCGAAGAGTCTGAATATGTGACGGGATAGGTCAAGAATCTTAGGATCAGGTCAGTGCTTTGTCTGATCGTGGTGGTGTCTATGTATATCTGGATCTAGAGAATCGAGAATTGGGACTTACAGCACCGTAGTACTCTTTGACAGCTTCATAGAACCCTGGGAGATCTGTCTCGCTAGGCCACATGTTTGCTTTATTCTTCGAGCCGTCGAGATTACGATACAGACCGTCACCACCACTTCTATCTAGCGCTTCTTCGTAGGCGAAGTTGAAGACATCTTTGGATTCTTTATCACCTGCTATTGATGTATATTCACTTGGTTCCCACCCAAGGCCAAATTTGTTGTTCTTTACGTGGAGTTCTTGCTTCTTCTCTACTGGCAAGTCATGTGCAAATCGCTTTGCTTGGTGCAAGATGCCCTCACGTGTGGACTCTGGAATGCCATGCCCGGTGATGTAGAAGAAGCCTGATGTTATGCAGGCCTCCCTCATTTGATCGGCAACATTTTGGCGATCAATAAGTGAGGTGGAGAACGACGGTGTCAAATCGATGATTGGGATGTGGAATGGGTCGCGATCGTTGGTGTGTTTGTCTTTGGTGGAGAGTCTCGATTGAAGATACTCTGCTGCACCTTTACGGGCCTCTTCAAAAGTTGTTGGATCAGACACTATGGACTGTTCAGTTGGTTCGCTCATCATATCGATGCCTTGAAATCTTTCAGAACTCGTCCGTGGATGGTGGCGGCCCTTTTGCGGGATCATGGAGGCGCGAGATGAGATGATCATCACGTGATCGCGCGTACAACGGGAACCCCCGGCCTTATTGCTAACATCAGCGCCGATCCCCTTTTGTCGCGCTCGTGAGGTGTGATACATGTCATGAGCTCGCATTTAAAGGCTGCTGGCATTTGTTGAATGATTTGATTTCAGGACTCAGTCTACATGGGCGACACTGCGGCGATAAGTAATCCAGTCAGCGATGCCGCCGCCTCGACTAAGGCAGTGGAGAAAGCTCAGTGGCCACTCTCCTACCGTCTGCAACTGTCCAAAACAGCAAAGTCCTCCCTGCAGACGTATGGCTTTGGAACGGGCAAGCCTCCACCCCGAATATGGTGGAGTCATGAACTATATCGAGGGCCCGACGACAAAGCAGTTGAGATTTTATACAGCAGGGACAAAGCGCAATCCGAGCTCATCGCGCAACATTTCACAAATGAGCCAATCTTGGGATTCGATATGGAATGGCCTTGGAAAGATTCGAATAAGGCCGGCCTGCAGAACAAAGTTGGACTGATTCAAATCGCATCCGAGAGCAAGATAGGTCTTTTCCACATTGGGCTGCATCCTGGCAAGACCACCGAGGACATTATTGCACCAACTCTAAAACGTCTTATTGAGAGCCCAAAGATTGGAAAAGCCGGGGTCCATATTCTGCAAGCAGATTTCGGACGTCTCAGTCGCTTTTTTGGTCTCCAGCCACAACGTGCTATTGAATTGAGTAATCTCTTTCGTTTGGTAAAGTTTGGCCCACACAAGCCAGAGCTGGTCTCCGTGAAGCTTGTGAGCTTGGCGTATTAGGTGGAGGACTAGCTTGGACTGCCTTTGTATAAGGGGAGTGTACGAATGAGTGATTGGAGTAGACCACTTTCCAAGGAATAGATCTCTTATGCCGTAATAGATTCATATGCAGGATTTATGCTATATCATTGTATGAATGCAAAGCGACTGGCAATGAAACCTACTCCACCTCATCCAATATATGCAGAGAGATATCCTAAAGGGCCAGCATCGCGGGATGATCCGATTCTACTGGATACTGGAGGTGACACAACAACTACTAGCGAGCTGTTTTTTGGCGTGAAGCCAGTCAAAAGCGGTTCGTCAGTGGCAAGGACGGTTGCGAAGAGGAAGGTCACCGTTGCAACTACGACGCCGTCGGGAGAGCCGCTTGACCCCCTAACTCAATCAGTCCTTGATGAATTGAAGGCGCGACGAGCGGAATTAGCAAAAAATTCCAAGCTACCTCCATATCGCATCATCTCCGATAGAATACTTGAAAATATAGCACGTGAGCGTCCATCTAATATGGAGAGTCTGCTCAATGTCAAGGGTATTGGAAAATTTCAACAAGAAAAGTATGGTGACGACTGGCTCGAAGTCATTTCAAGTTTTCTTGCTAAGAATGGCCTGGGACCGCCACTGGAAGATGCAGTTCCTGCACCATCAGAGTCAAGCAAAGGTGCCATTGTTTCGACGCCCCAACGTACTCGCACACAACGGCAAGTCTCACGAGATTCATCACCAGCTTTCGACACTCCGCCCCCTCAGACACCACAGCTTCAAACTGGCCTATCGTTCACGATGGCAAGCACGACATTGGGCACTGATGCCGATGGTGATGCAACATTGTTCGACTCCGACGGCTCCTTGCCCGATCTCGACTTTGGAAGTGTTCCACGACAGATGAGCTCTGAATTGAAACGCAAAAGGATAGAGAGTCCTAGAAAACATCGGACAAGTCCCACGATTGGATGTCGACAAGACGTGACTCCTCATTTACAGCAGCCAGATATAGGCCCCATACCTACGACTAATCCTCCAGTGCTAGCGTTGCCAGCTGCCCAGCCTACACCCTCCAAGATCATCACTGCGGAAGAGCTCTCGCCACGTTCCAAGATCGCGCGGAATAAACTCAGGGCGTTGAGCAAGCTTGTCACGCGCAAGCTACCAGACCGGCCTGCGGATGCACGACCGATCGTTACGGAGAGAACGCTGACTCTAATCATTCAGTCATCACCACGGACGCAAGATGAACTTGAACAGATACCAGGCATTGATGGATTCCTTCTTGCGTGTGAGAAGACAGGCACCGATCTGCTGAGGAATGTTATTAAGTTTGCACTGTCACGCAATTCTGGGACAAGCTATAACCAGTCGATGTAATGACAGAATTACGTTACTTCAATGTCCCGAAAAAATCCTCTTTTCGTGGTGCATCTAGTAAATATCATCGATAGCGTTACGGGTTGCCATAACTACCTATCGTAAATCACTAGTCTACAGCCCCTCCCAACCCGAGCGCAACTTCAAAGCTCCATCAAATATAGGTATAAAATAAATCGAACATTGCAGAAGGTAAGACGATGCAATTAGTGCCAAGATGCAAAACAATTGCATGTGCGAGGCCTACTTCACACGCCAAAAACGTGAAGTCCATTCCACCTCTATTTAAAAATTACTAATCTTTTACTTGAGAAGCGAGGGCATGATGTGCTTGTCAACGAAAGCCCACAACAAAGGCGAGTAGTCAGAAGCCAAAGCATTACCAGCGTAGTACGTGCTGCGCTCTCCCTGCCGCTTGTACAAGTCAGCGTAGAAGCCGTTCATAATAGCGGTGGGCTCGACATGTAGCTGCAGGTTCTTGTGCTCGCCCCACGCCGCAAACTCAGTCTTGGTCTCGACGCCGTAGTTCTTTCCAATGCGGGCAACGACATCGCTGACCATTTTCTTGGCCTTGTCGGAGTCTGGCTCGCCGACAACCTTGACGGTCAGGTAGCCTGGGACGCCGACGGTTTCGATGCGCCAGACGAACTTGTCTTCGGGCAGGAAGGTGGGCTTGGTGAGGTCGACGTTGTAGAAGCTGGTGAGGTCGGGGAGGCCGGTGTTGTGGATAACGCCGACGAAGTAGGGGATACGCTGCCACTGGGAGAAGGAGGCCGTCTCGGCAGAGGTCAGGTCAAAGCCTTCCAGGTTCTCGAGCGTTGGGGGGATGGTGACAAGGAGCTTCTTCGCCTTGATGACCTTAGGGCCGTTCGGGGTTTGGACCTCAACGGTGACGCCGCTGCTGCTGCGGGTGGTCTTGGTAATCTTGCTCGAGAAAAGGATGCTCTTGCTGAGTGCGGCAGCTGCCTTGTCGTAGACCTCTTGGAGACCGCCGGGGGCAGCAGTGGCGAGGTAACCAGCGCTCAGTCCAAGGAGATGAGGTGCGCCGAAGTTCTGGAGAACGTAGAGAGTGGGGGTTTCCAACAGGTTGCCGACGCCGTGGGCAAAGATCCAGACAACCTGGAGAACCTCTGTGAGGTTGTGCTTGGCCACAAAGGCACCAAAGGGCATGTACAGGTCTGCGGGCACAGGGCTGGGAAGATCGTAGGCTCCTTCGGCGATACCCTGGAAACCGATGGTGTTGAAGAGATAGCCTGCGAGCGGTCCTATCAGGTCCGTTGGGTTGACGGCAGTTGCGTTCGGCGGCATGATGCCGCTGTTGAAGTCGACAATCTTGGATGGGAAAGGCGACAGGGTTGCGTTGATCATGGGAGTGTTGAAGCGACCGAAGAATTCCTTGGTCTGATCGTTGCTGATGTATGCTTGCACACCGTAGTCGATAGGCCTGTGGCTGGTAGGGTCAATGAACGTCTCCACATGGCCACCGAGCTTGTCCGATATCTCTACAACGGCGAAGGACTTCTTTTTGTCCATGAGCTTGAGGGCAGTGTAGGTACCTGTGGCGCCACCACCAAGGATAACCACATCAACCTCATTAGTGTCCTCTGCGGAGAAAGTAGTGCCCTTGTGGCCTTTCTCTAAAGCACAACGAGGAGCTGCATAAACGAATGGACTGCATAGCGCAGAAGCAAGGAATAGCGAAGTGCGCATAGTGAAGAGATTTTGGAAAAAGAGCGTGGTGTTTGTCAAACTCGCAAAAGAGCCGGATTCCCAAGGATTAAGGATTGGAAGAGACTCGTCTTATAGTCAAACATAGTAATGTTGGGTTTGGCTGCCAAAGCTTAGCGGAGGCACTTCGGATATTGCTCGTTCATTTGCTTGTCAGCTTACATCCTCCTAGTTCCTGTATTATACCGAATAAGACCGGACCAATGCTGAAACAGATCTCCCCATCTTCCAGAAACATCAATGGCTCGGCTTCTCTTCGATATAATACAAGAGCTAGCAAGGATGAAGACCAACAATATGTAAAGGTCCTTTACCATAAATTATTTGCCGGGCAGACTGCAAGAAACAGGAGTGCAATCAGCAGTAACGATACCCATCAACTATGATTGCTGCGTCGATGCTCATGTTGTGGCAGGAAATTCGGGAAAGCACGAATAGATCATCTTGCTCTGTACCCCAAAAGGCTGCTTGAGTTGTGGATATTTGTAATAACTATTGTGCGATGGTCAGTAGTATTGTTGTCTACGGACTTACGGTACATAGTAGTTCCAAGGAGCCAAGGTTGCTGTTTGCGCTACTGCGCCTCGAGTGCTATATTTATCTAGCACAATGTTACTCCTTAAGACTAGACGATAGTAAGATCTCGAGTATTGCCAGGGTCATCACAAAGGTACTAGTATGCAATCTGGGGTTAATGGACCCGTTGCATTACATTTTATGTAAGTTGCAAACCACATCTACGGCCTGCGCAGCAATTTTCTTTGTTTCCTTATCTAATACTCCTTCGCCTGCAGAGAGAGCTTTCAGTCTGTCCACCCACAACTTCCAACGTTCTTGCGTCAACCCGTCCTCTCTTGGCCATAGCTCAGTCTTTTCATCCAATGCAGCCGCCCAATGCTCTCGCAATTCTGCGGGCTCTATTTCAGCTAGATGTCGACTTCCATCGCGAAGCCATGTGGCTGCAACGCGGATGTCCAGCCGTCGCTTCTGCTCTGCTGAAATTCTGTGCGGCCTTCTATCGCTAACCTGAGAGTTATTACACTCGAGGACATTCTTGCACGCATAGAAGACATTGATGGGATGAATCTCGGCTTTATTTCCAGCTTTTTTTAACGCCGCGGCTGAAAAGTCGGTCAAGCGGAGATACATGTCCGTACCGCTGCTACTCAGCGTGCTAGTAACGGTACAGTGGTCTCCTGTCTTCGAGACGCGCACGCCATCCCAGTCTCGCCACTCTCCCAGAATGCTGTTGGTATCGAACCACTGTGTGCCAAACCCTGGTAGCATGACCCAGTGAAGTTTTCCATCAGTGCCAATATGGCTTCGCAGGGAGCGTGCCGCACTCGAGCCTGGACGTATACTGGTCGAAGGCTGAGCACGAAGAGCCTCAAGTAAAGCCAATAGTCGGGTGTGATCAGAGACAGGTGCAACAACGGCTGTGAAGAAGGCATCCCACACCTGCCAGAGCGTATTGCCAGGAGCGGTGGAGGTGATGACGGCGGTCACTATGGAGGTGGCCGTTTCCTCAAACAGGCCTGAGGAATGTGTGGGAGCGCAAACATGTTGCATCAATTGAGAGAAGGGATTCGGTGGGCTGACACCTGGCGCATCAAGAATACTTGTCATCCCGGGTGGCAGCGGGATATCGTATGGGGGAGAGGAATGGCTCGATGTCCGATGCGAGATGAGCACCTTTCGGCTAGAGACAGATATCCAACAAGTAAAAGGGATCCTAGGACACACCAAGATGAGCTCGGTGTCGTGCCATAGTTGCTGACTTTTGAGGCTTGAAGTGCCACGCTAAGGTGCTGTTGCCTACTGCAGTTGATCATCAGAGTGGATGGCCTGAAAAAGCCAAATGCGGAGACGTCGGGGCCGTAGGGTTGAGAAATTCGATCACAACCCCAAAATCCTGTCCCATCCTATGGATTGTCAAACTCGGAGGGGCAGATAGACCTTCGTTTGCCTTGTCGATTGAGGATCGCAATTTGTGATGACGGTTTGCTTGGCCCATTATAGTGTAATTGAAGAATCTACCAGATTGCCTTGCCGTTTTAAAAAAGCGTTTCGATGATATGTGCAAGTCGTACTTGTACGTTGTCATGTAGGATTTATCCATGATAGTGACTCTGCATCAGCTTCAGAGAAGGGCCCAAAGGCGGAAGAATCAAGCTGAAGCCAGTCAACAGTTTGCCAATTGTCGTAGAAGCTTTGCAGTCCTGGCGTGGATGTATTCGTTGCACTGAGTGGGCTGCCGAAGAGCGGCTGCCACATCTGCATTGCAGCGCTTGGTTCGTGAGCAAGCGTATCGTGCAATGTATCTGGATCGCTAGCGCCATGGCTTTCGCCTAAACATTCGTGTGGTGGTGCCCTTGTAACGCATGACTCCTGCACTGGTCTCGCCGTCTTTCGCTTGGCTTCAGCGCGCAGCTCCTGGAGAATGATACTGTATCGGCGTGAGGGTGAATTAGATGCGGTAGCTTGCGCGAGATGATGTAGACAGTGCTCAGCCTTATCCAGTATGCTTCGTCGCTCGTTCAAAGTTGGAAGGTTGTTGCTTTCCTGAATAGCCCAGACATAGACGACGACCAACGCGCAGAAACACACGTAATGTGTCCACCAGAATGCGTGGAACAAACGTCCCTCACGTGCCATGCGGTCCACCATTTCCAGGACTGACTGGGCAGCGGCAATGCACTCGTTGACACTCTCTGCTGCCATGGTCCGCATGCTGTCATCGCTGCAGTTTGTATTCTTCAACAGGAATGGTCTGTGGGCCAGCATCACGGCGTGGCAGTATGCAAGCTTCAACATGATCGCCTGTCGGCGAAAGCTGAGTATCAAGCTGCTTGGATGGATCGCCCCAAGGAACGGGGGAAGTGCAGCTTTCCACGATCGTAGCTCTGCCCCTAGTCGATGAGATGCGGTGAGTCGTACGTGATCTGGTACTGCTTTTATTGAGTAGACTTCACGTGAAATCTTCTCCGCAATCTGTGCGAGCTTCGCATGAACAATCAGCGCTTCGATATAGCAATCGTTTGTCTCACGTATTTGTGCCCCTAGGCTCGTCATGTCTTCGTCGTTGACTGGTACTGGGAGGTCTTGATCAATATCTTCGTCATGGTAATGTGTTGGTCTCCCTAGCCATGGTATGTCAATTGACTGTAATCTACTAACGATCGTTCGTCCAAGAAGGACCGCGGATATCGCCGTATGCTCGTATGAGAATTGCAGATCTATGATTAATTAAATCTTGACTCACCAAAGATAACGCCAAGATATTTATCCAGTATGTATGCCACCCAGAACGTCCGTTTCCGGCATTGCTCTTCGACGAAATCTCGTTTGTTTATTGTTGCCTTTTTTCGATCATCCCTGCGATGAAGACCTAGAGCTGAGATAATCTGTAAAGCGTGTCCAAAGGTGTACCATGCTTGATTGAAGCGACACGACATAAGCAGGTAGAGAACTTGAATCAAGCGTGACTGGGCTGATTCCAGTCGCGGTAGGCCAGTCTCACTATCTGTGAGACGCTGCGCTTCGCAAAAGAATTCATCACTCTGAGATCCCGACTGGGAAGAATTAGCAATATTGATGGTACAGGGATAGCACAACCATAGGAACTGCCCCACATAATCTCCAACAGCAAGCTGTAGATCAATGTCGCCAGTCCTAGGATTCGAGTACAATGGGCCCACATACCGTGTCTTCGTTAATCGCCGAGAATCCATTCGTGCCCATCGCTTTGCCCTCGTGAAACGCAGCGATCGCTAGCACTGACATGACGGTAGCTGCCTTCGCTCGCCCGAGATCTGATTCAAGGGGTCTTTCAGCTTCCGAGTTCTCAATGACGGTTGAGAGCCATGACTCGACCGAAGGTCTATGAAGCATTCGAAAGGTCGCAATGCAAACATCGAAATAATGCTTCAACAATTCTCGGCCGCGGTCAAGCGTCGGCAAGCATACCTCACTGCTATTGTTAAAGGGCTTGTCTCCAGCACACGACAGTAGCTGATCATCTGCTGCTGAACCAGGATGACCATTTGGGATCTGCACATTTGCATCATTCGAGATGCGTCGCCAGGCCCGATGTAAGAATGACAAGCCAGAAGTTGGATCTGAGTATTGGCCGGCAACTTCGAGGCCAGGGGAAGCACGTGAGGGCACCTCCGGGGCAGTATCCGGTTCCCTGAGCCGTGGAGCTATGGCTGCAAGGTCATTCAGTCTCGACAGGATTGACTCGGACTGCTCCATGGTCCTTGGGGTTGGGTGTAGAGAACATGGTACACCAGGCGAACTATACTGGACGGGGCTCAATCGTGGGCCATCCAGGTTAGCTGGTCCTGAACGACGTGGCGTGGGTGCTTTTCCGCGAGAGTAGACGGCTTCATACTGGCAGTCCAAGCCTCTGCGCCGGCCTTGAAGATTGACGATTAGCAGGAGCGCATCACTGAAATCCGGCGGATGAAAGGCGCTCGGATATTGCTACAGGCCATGCAGAGACTATATGTACCCGCCTCCAAGGAGTGAGGACACCGATTTGGCAATACTAGATAGTGTTTGGGCCACTTACACGTATCACAAGGTTGTTCGCCACTACATTTCGATTTCTTCGCTTTGCAGATGTCGCAAGCCCGGGTTACCTTGGCTTTGGTCTTTCCAACCTCCAAACCACGTTTCTGAGGCACTACACTGCCAACCGGTGATAATAAATGGGGCGACGACTGTTGTCCCTGCGTAGCGATTTCCGTATCGTTGACCATGTTTCGGAGAGATGTTAGGGCGGAAGATGGGTGGGTGGGACGGCGGATTAACGTTGGTAGGGGGTGAAGTGGGGCAAAGCACCCCTTGGTACCTAACCCCCCACAAGCACCGGCATCTTCCTCCGACATTTCCGTCCCATCTCTTTATCCGCTGGTGCATCGGATCAGCCACTTCGACGGTAGAAACTTCGATATCATTCATACCCACAGCATCAAAAGGATCGTGGAGAGCCAGATCGCAACCCGTTATTGCAACATTGAACTGCACTACCGGTATGGAAATCGCATTGATATGCTAGCGCGTAACCTTGTCACAACCATGGTGAAACTCGTCCAAACACAACACTTTTAAATATGCTTTTTTGTTGTTCCCAATTGTTACCTATAACCTGTGGTGCATTGTTTTGCTGGTGTATTTAGACATCAGGTTATGCGCAGTCGCTAAACACCATACACCGGGCCAGGCGCATGACCAACAACTTCCTACATGCCCATACCCTATGATCATGCGGAAAGGGACCAGGTGTCAGTTTGTCTTGATAAGATCATTCCGTGTATCGACCGCTGACGAGCAAGATAATGAAACAAGAATCTTGACAACAGAAAGGGGCAGGACTCTCTTTGCAGGTTTCGCAGCTACCCTCACGTTTCGCGTTGGATCGAGTTGATGACACAGGATGCGCTTGGTGAACAAGCTAAGCGTTCATTTGTGGTGTTTACTGATGCTAAGATCGTGGTGGAAGGATGGTAGAGAATACTTTGAGTTTGAAGACTACCGTTGGGGGTGGGTATGTGGATGGGTCCGTCTGGGGTCTCATGAATCTCATGTGTTCAAATGTACAATTATCTCGACATCCACACCTTCCTCAATAGAAAAGATCAACTGAGCGAGCCTTGAAATGCGCAAAATACCTCGCAACTCGTCTATCAGCACAGCCAAGCTGCAATGCATATAGTCTTCTGCACTGAGGAAGGGGGCATGGACTTTGAGTTCCTAGCGTTCGCTGAAAAAGCTCAGCCAGGGAACATGATTGTGTACCGTATGGCTAGATGAGTTACTAACGTTGTTGCTACAGCCGGCGCTGGGCTTTATTTATTCCTTTAGTTCATCGTATACTTCTTATTTGGTGAGCTGGCGTGAGAGCATCACGCCTGCAAGGGTTCTTGAAATTATGTTGTTAGATCGCGTCGCATTGTATGGAAATCAACAAAGACAAGGCATGTCGTGGACGGTTACACGGCGCAAGCGTGCCTCATGCTGCATGCAACCCAGCATACAAGCTCACCGCAGCTTCGAATGCGACCATAAGCGAGGCTGAACTACATGCAATAGTATAATAAAGCTAAGATTTTGCGAAGAAGCCGTATTGATTGCTCATCGCAGATTTAGGCAATGGCTCTAAACAACCCGTCCATCCACTTGATCTTCCTCATTGCCTGCTTAAAGAGCCACGTGCCTATGGCTGTGTATCCTCCACCTAAGTGATGAACATCGGTCATTTTTGGCATTCGAAACCCAAGTCTGGATAAGGTAATTGGGAACCATATACTAATCCTCGCAGTGAGTTGTTCCTGCGCCTAGATGGCTACTGCCTGAATTTCGATGGCACCTGGCATGACGATCCATATAGTAACGAATACCTACGCCACCAGAATCTCTAAGACTGTTGTACATAACTAGGATCTGATACCGGATGCGAGGTGTAACACTCTCTGACTTATATGGTGGGAGAGAGTGCAAGTGAACAGTAGGAAGTGAGCCCACAAATTCACTTCTGCATTGCGTAATAGGTTTCGTTTTGTAGATTTAGGTAGGACAAAACAAGGCCTCGCAGCGTGTTCAAGATGGAGGGATGTAGTATGTTTTTATAGATGGTGACCAGTTGCAATCGTGCGGGAAGGCCAAGCAAGGCAGAACAGCTGGCGCAGCTGCTCACTGTTTTTTTTTTTCAACAATGTGTTTAATTCTGGGGATTTTGGCGAGGAGGCAGTCACCTGTCGACTGTGGGTCTTGTCAGCAGCCAGGCGAGAGCAGTTGTGGTGATTCAACAAAGGTGATTTGAGTGGCGATTCTCATACTCTGCAGCCCACTTTTGTAATGTACGCGCTCCTGCTCGCACCAATCTAGGCCAGCGATTTGAAGCAGCATGGTTTCTGTGATGTACAAGCTTCTTGCCTCATCTATTAGACTCTATTATCACCCACCACAATCAAGCATTACCAGCCCTTGTCATGACATAATGCGGAATAATCTGGCATGAGACACATCCCCCATCCATCCTTCAGTTTATCCCCTCTCGGGCGATTGATGCATACATCAGCAAACTCGGTGCAATCAAACCGGATATTGGAAATCCACAAGACATATGCAACAAGGACATGTGACAGTGCCTACCTTAGCACCAACCTCTACAGCGGTAAGTTCCCAGAATTTAGGCTTTTATGTCCACTACTACTGTTCCGGAGGCGGCGGACTGTTCGGTTGGGTGCGCTACCTAATCTAGTGTGCCGATGGGCGAAGGCGATCGTTGATGGCAATGGTGCGGCCATGGCCGATTCTAGGGTGGTGTTTGCAAGAATGCAAATATCGCCAGTCTTTACGAAAAGAATATGCATTGGGTCGTGATTAGAGGAACAGACCACGTAAGAGACCCCGCCGTGTAGACGAGGAAGCCAAACACACTTTTCTGAAACGAGGCGGGCCCACTGCGGCGGACCATGGGGGCAGGTAGATATGTACTTTCGATCATGCCGCCGATCGGCAAGCCCGCTGTCCTCTGCTCTGTATGTAAAGCCCGGCCAAAACCGTACAACAAGTGGATCCTAGGTATCGACCTTCATTTCACGACCAATTTCTCTTTGATACGAGTATCCAGATCGTCTTAGCCATGACGGAACAGCATGTGGACTCTAAACCTCCTCTGACGGGATGGGGGTGGATGTTCGCAGCCCTCGTGACGTACTACAGTCTCGCGACAGCCTACAACTACCTCCGTACGCCACATCTACCCACGTCAATTCCATGGATGGGCTACGGAAAGGGTTGGATCGCAGGTTTGCGCAACTACTTTGCACTGACGCGCAGCCAGGAGTGGCTGCGGACAGGGTATGAGAGATATAGCAAGGAGAACCGAATGTTTGTGCTACCTGCGTTGCTTGGCATCCAGGCCGAGATCGTGATGCCACAAAACCAACTGAGGTGGATGTTTGACCAGCCGGACAGCATCCTCAATGCGAAGAAAGCACACTATGACTTCTTATGGGGCGACTATTCGTTTCTGGACCCGGTCATTCTGGGAGATCCGTACCATGAGCACGTGATTCATAAGAATCTCGTACGGAACCTGCATACCATTATACCGGAGATGGAAGAGGAGGTGCCGTTCGCAGTGGCAGATGTCTACGGTATGGATACGGAGAACTGGAGGAAGATAGAGACATTGGAGTCGTTTATGAAGATGGTTCCTGTGCTGACGAATCGCATGCTTCTTGGGAGGCCGCTGTGTCGAGAACGTGCCTTTTTGGACGCGGCCTTGGGCTTCACCGAGGACATCATTCGTAACCAGACGATCCTGGGACTGGTGCCAAAGGCGTTGAGTGGGATTCTAGGGCCTCTGCTCGGTCTGACGAGCAAGTGGCATTTCCGGCAATCGGCCAGGTTCACATTGCCCATGATCAAGGAGCGCATTGCAGCGTTTGAAAAGCAGGCAGCCGGGGACCCAGAATACGCAAACTGGACGCCCCCGAACGATTTCATCACCTGGAGCTACCGTACAGCCATGGCCGAGGGCCGCCTCGAGGAAGCCCAACCCGTTCGTCTGGCCCAGCGCCTCTTACCCATTAACTTCGCTGCCATTCACACGACCGCTCTGACGGCCCTGGACACGATGCTCGGCATCCTGAGCTCCGACCCCAGTATCATTGAGCTTCTGCGCGAAGAAGCATACCGCATTCATCAGGAAGAAGGCAGCTGGACAAGACAAGGTCTCAATAGGATGCACCGCCTCGACTCTGCGATACGCGAAGCCCAGCGCGTCACGCCCATCGCACTGACATTTGTACACCGCAAGGTCGTTGCTAAAGAAGGCATCATCACGCCGGAAGGGGTTCATGTGCCGTATGGAACACTGCTTTCTTGTCCATGGGCCCCGTTGGCTCAGGACGAAGACCTCCACACGGACGCGGAAACATTCGACGCATTTCGCTTCTCGCGCCCGAGAGAGGAGTACGAGGCGATGAGTGAGGAGGAAAAGGCCAAGGTGGATACGTTGAAGTTGAAGCAGATGGGTGCTGTTACCACCGCTGTTACGCATCTCCCATTTGGACATGGGAGACATGCATGGTGAGTCACCGCTACCTATTTCCCAATTATTCTTTCTCGCGGCCTGTTTCACTAATAGTGAGTAGTCCTGGACGGTTCTTTGTGACGCAGGAGCTGAAAATGATTTTCGCGCACTTGCTGCTGAATTACGACTTTAAGCCTCTTCCGGAGAACCCAAAGAGGATGTGCGTGGTCAGGTTCCAAGTCCCGCTGCCGGCGCAGATTGAGTATCGTCGGCGAACGGAGGCGTGGACACCTGAAGTTAAAGCGTGAAACTGGGATGGACTGCTAAGTGTAGTTGAGAGATGGGATGGGCAATTCACTCATTAGAAGTTGGATTTCGAGTATCTATCTACTTAAGCGTAAGTTCTACCATTATGATTTCTCGAAAACCTCTTCGAATACATTGTAGGTGACACAGTGTCCCACACGCTCGATGCTTACGACATCGTTCGGATGATCATGGCTTGGATTAGACTATGAGAAATAGCAGGTATGCGGTTGATATGGGGCGAAACAGGTACTTGATCCTTGGTTCTACGTTCTGAGAAAAATTGTCCGAAAGAGGTAGATCTATTTTCAAGTCTGTGTCTTACACTTGATATGTTGTTACAGAATAATGAATCCCTACCACGAAAGACGTTTGAAATGGGTATTATGATGCGCCAGAAATGCAATGATCTTAATCTCTTAAAACAAGTTCTCTCCTTCACTAATCGTCACTATCGTAGCCTGCTACCAGCATAGACGATAATTTAGACGGCGGTGCGGGACCTTTTGTTTGTTTTGCCGGTGCAGGTGGCCGTGGCGATGCTGAAGCTTTCTTCTTGATGCCCAGCGCGGCACCAAAATCCTTCTTTTCTTTTGGTTTCTTGCTGAATGTCGTGACTACTGGTACTTCAAATGGTACATCGAGCATTTCTTCTTCTATGACCTCCTCGCCGATGTCTGGCATACTGCGATTGGCAAAGGCTTGTCTTGCCGCCTCGGCATCTTCCTCTTCTTGTCGTTTTCTTTGGTCGTCTACGGGATCCGGTGCGACGTCTGTGGTTTTACCGTCCCGCTCCGCCTTTTCCAGTCGCGCATTCCTCGAACGAATCTCGTCGAGCGCATCCGCAATCGCCATTTCGGTCTTGGCATCCAACACCTTTGTCTCTAATTCCTTCATGGCATCGCGCTCCGCCTCCTCCCTCTCTATGCGATCCAGCCTCTCCTCCTCCGTCTCCTCGTTCAGCTTGGCCTCTCTCCAGGGCTCAAAGTTGCGTTTCGCGCCCCTCTCACACTCGTAGTCCATGTTCTTTGGATCAGTTTTGAAGGTGATTTCACCCGAACACCGCGTGCATCTTATGTAGAAGCGGAAGATTGCGATGGCATAGTATTTCTCGTCCGTGGTTTCCTTTCGGGCGTTGAATTTGCGGCCTTTGTAGATGAATTCGCCGCAATGGGTGCATTTCATTGAGAAGGGAGCCATGAGTCGGACGGTCATGAGCTTGGGGCCAGCATTCTTAGGGCCTCGTTGACGCGTAATTTTCGAAGGATCGAAGTCGGGGGGGTAGTACTTTGTGAGGACCTTGCGCTCAGACATGTTGGCGGTTGATTAGACAGTGCCTGTCAGGATGGTGAGATGAAAAGGGCGAGATTGTTGTTGAATGGATGAGGCAGGTGTTCAACGGGTGGAGTGTCGGTGTCGGCGGGTGAGGGTTGAGAGAAGGTGAGAGAAGGTGAATGGACGAAATGGCGCAGAAATGGAGGTTCTGAAAGGGTGAGGCAGCCATGGTTTCTGGGCTGAGTCAGCAACCTGGACCCTGAAAAGCCAGGACCCCGCAGAACATGTGCTTTCGCGTAAGGCTGGCGCGATCAACTCATTCTCACTCTCAATCCATCCAGACGCGGCGACGGCGACAAGAACAACAACAACAAAAACAACAGTAGCTGCTGCCCAAGCAACGAAGGATATATATTTAACACGCATCTTAGCACCTGTCCCGATCTATTCCTACCCATCTCATACACATACACAATCTCTCCCGTTGGATATCTGCATGACAACAGCAGCACCACTACCACCATGCAAGTGTTTTTGCGTGAGTGGCGGCAGGACGCCCTCAACCGACACCAGTATGACGCTGCCATTGCATTCGCCGACAAGGCTCTGGCTATGACGGGTATGATTGTGCGCAGCCTTACAATAGGCCATGGAATTGACATGACAATACTAAGAACAATGATACCCCAGGTGACGACCAAGACGCTTTCTGGCTGGCACAGGTACAATTCACCACAGGCAACTATGACGCCGCCCGTCTTCTCCTCGCCAATAAAAACCTCATCGAACGCACGCCGCAAAGTCGTTACCTTGCTGCCCATTGCTACATCAAACAGGGCAAGGTCGATGATGCTCTGCGAGTTCTGGGCGACAAGAACCCCACCCATCTGATCTCGACCCCAGGGAGCGCCAGGACGAAGCTGCGCCATGTCGACGTCAACAGCCGGGCAGGCTCACGCCATCACAAGTCGGGAACGCGCACCGACCGTGTACCCACGAGCGAGGAGCGCGATCACGAGGACATTGACAATCTCAAGTCAGAGGCCGGCATGTGCTTTCTCCGCGGTACCTGCTATGCAAAGCTCAACTCGTTCGACCGCGCCAAAGAGTGTTACAAGACTGCCGTCCAGATCGATGTACAAAATTACGAAGCCTTTGACGCCCTCATGCGTAACAACCTCATGTCACCCGCCGAAGAATGGACCTTTCTCGATTCGCTCAACTTCGACATGATCAACGTTAGCAACAACCCATCATTGTCTCAAGAAGCCGCCCAATTCACAAAGACCTTCTACACCACCCGTTTGTCCAAATACACCAACCCAGAGGCCTTTAGTGCCGCCACCGAAACCCTCAGCACGCATTACAACCTTGGCAACAACGCAGACATTCTCCTCGCAAAATCAGACCTCATGTTCACCATGTGCCGATTCCGCGACGCCCTCGCCCTCACCAGCTCAGTCCTCGCAGAAGACAAATACAACTTCGCCATCCTCCCCATCCACATCGCCTGTCTACATGAACTTGGTGAGAAGAACACTCTGTACATGCTGTCCCACCAACTCACCGAGTCCCAACCCAGTGAACCCTGCTCCTGGCTAGCGGTCGGTGCTTACTATCTCTGTATTGGCAAGATTGCAGAAGCGCGGCGCTACTTTTCAAAATCCTCCATGATGGATCCACATTTTGGACCTGCTTGGATTGGCTTTGCCCATACATTTGCCGCTGAAGGGGAGCACGATCAGGCCATTTCGGCGTATAGTACTGCAGCACGATTGTTCCAGGGAACCCATCTCCCGCAATTATTTCTGGGGATGCAGAATCTCCAACTCAACAACATAGCCCTGTCTAGAGAGTACTTCAAGACTGCCTATAGTCTCTGCTCCTCTGACCCATTGCTACTCAACGAGTTGGGCGTAGTATATTACCATGACCTCCAACTTTCCGATAGCATCACCTTTTTTCGTCGTGCGATCGCCAATTCGGATGCCAATGGCGCAGATCCGGATGCCGCACTGCCCATAAAAATCAACCTCGGCCACGCCCTCCGCAAAGCAGGTGAATTTGAAGACTCCCTATCCATGTTCGACAGCGTACTCCGCCACGGCGTCAAAGATGCAGCCGTTTTCACCGCCAAAGGCATTGTCCTCCTTGAACTCGGCCGCATCTTTGAAGCCGTTGTCGTGTTCCACGAAGCGCTCGCCGTGTCGCCCCAGGACGCTATGGCGACGGATATGCTGAGCCGTGCCCTCGCTGTCAACGAGGTGGAAAGTGCATGGGGCTTGCAGATTGGCGGCCCAGAGCTAGAACATGTTGGCGGTACGAAAATGTTGGGGGAGAGGGATGATGAGGAATTGGACGAGTTGGACCGCAGGATGCACGGCAAGCTCAAGGAGATTGAGATGAATCGAGTGGCTGGGCGGAGGGGGAGACGCCGTAGAGGGGCTGCTCGGGATGAGGAGGAGAGTACATATGGTGAAAGTATGGTTGTGGATTCAGATGAGGGGTAGGAGGATTGATGCCGACAATTTCTCTTCGAACCCCATTGGCGCAGGTAAAGCGGTTATGGGGAAACGGAGGGCCGAAAGAACTTTTTTCTCTTTTTCTTTTTCTTTTTCTTTTTCTTTTTCCTTTTTCTTTTCTTAACAGTTTCTCGTCTTCTCTTCTCTTCTTCCTTCGCTTTCTTTCTCTCCTTTCGTTGTTTTCCTTCATCTTCTGCTTGGATACCTTACCATTCACAAAGGCGAATTCAGGAAGACCCATTTCTTTCACGATGCTTCACGAGACGTTTTAGCAAGGAGTCTAGGCGTGGCCAGTGCGTGCCGACTGGAGACTTGCACCCACTTTTCCTAGAGCATGCATCACAGGCGTTTTAAACATGAAAATTCCAGCCAATCTGTCTGGCATGTCGAGTATCCTTGTCTCCTCGTGCTTCTTCTCTCCTATCCTCTTTCACAACCTCATCCAATCTCTATCAAGATGTACGGGGTCTCGTAGTCTATATGGCATTGTTGCCTCTGCTTGCTTCACCTCATCTGAAGCTGTGCAAAAGGGAATCCAATCCGTGCCATGGCAACTCCAGTGTAAAAAGGCAGGCTAAGCGCATCTTGCATTACATTGGTTATGTCCCTTGTGTTGCAGCCACTACGGCAACTCTCTAGACGTCCATGTGCATTTTACCAGCTTTCTTCCCCTTTGCCTTGAGATCTCGGCGCTTCACAGCGTCACCTTTTTTTTCGTTACTCGCGCTACCTCTTTAAATGCTCATATCAGGCCTCATCATCACACTTCCTTTTTTCCTGCTGCCAGGTAGATTCTCAGGGTGATTAAGCTCGCGCCGGCTTTCTACTACCGCTAGCTACCATCACTTAAGGCAGTAGAAGTGATGATTTACATACATGGTCGTGACAACATCGAATTTCACGCAAGAGAATTTCATTGTACATGCTGGTGTTGTATCAACGATAACCTTAAGACGAAAAACGTGAAACATCTAAACTAAGCGCAAATAGGCCCACTCGGTAAGTGTACCTGTTTTTCATGAATCTATCTACTTGCTTCACTCGTCTCCCCCTCCAGCAAGAATACGGTAAGTAATAAGCATACCATATACCTGCCAAAAATAGTTGCACCACGAGTAGAGCTCCCAGGTTCATATAGTAGAAGTCTCCTATTATCTTGACTATCACCCGATCAGATTCACATCAGGTCCCTCATTTCCAGCTGCAACCCCCATTAGGGAACTATAGTGACCATTCTCGTCCGCTGTCGCATGACAGCAAGAAGACCACGACAGTCGAAGTACATCGATTAGTGGGCCAAAGTCCTCCCCTATGGTCACTTGGCATTCCCGAACTGATGGGCCCCATGTACCTTCGTGGTGTCAAGTTAGAATACAAGTATGTAAACTGAAAACTCGAGATGCCAAAATAGACAGGTCTCTTCTAGCAAACGTACATAGGCATATATTGGCAATCAATAGAATACAAGCGGTAAACGTGAGCCTCATGGTTGGGATTGGATGCTCAAAGGCGTAGATGTGTGGGTAGGGCGAGAAGCACACTGTACAGTTAGGGACGAAGACGCAGTTTATATAGATTCAGGCAACCCGTAAACAGAACAAGTATAGACCTTTGCTTATCGCACTAATGTTAGAGAGGAGCCCTTTTGCAGCAAACCTAATACAAAGACACCCCCATGGACGGACTGCTAGCGTCTAAGGGTGGCATTGAAAACCTTTTAATCTTTTACAAGATGAGAAAATTCTATGCTAGGAGTCCGTTCTTGGGGGTGCCTAGTGTGCATGTAACGCCAAGATCTACACACATATAATCATATATTACATTCCTTAAGAAATAGATGCCTACAACCACAACCCTAGACCTTCCAGATATATGGGCCACCAAAACAAATAGCAAACACGCCCCTTTTTTTAATACCACTTTGGGAAAAAACACCACCGTATACGCCCAACACACCCACACCCACCCCATTCTATGCTTTGCCTGGCTGTAAACTTATTGCCGTCTAAACTGGGCTTAGATCAGGATGCAATGACGTCACGTAGCAGACGCTAGTCTTACTACTTTACACCGATCAACACCTTGCTCATCAGCGTCTTGCGCATGAGCGCTGTCAAAATCGTCAAGTTTGAGATTAGGTTACACGAAGTAAGGGGTTCGGATAGGAGGTGCCTTGGCAAGATCAAGTACAAGATGACGTTTTGCAGATTCAGCATCCACATTGTGATTAAGAGTTTGGAGTGGAGGGGGTTTTGGAGGGCCATTATGATCGGAGGTAGACCTAAAAGACTTTGTTTCGGATGTAAAAATACAGTCCTCTGTTTTTAATAATGCGAATGGGAAAAGCAAGGATCAACGTTGAGACATCAATCTCGGAAAGGGTTGACATACCAAGTTTGAACGATCTCCCTGGCGACGTCACACACCGCATCACACCAACACCACACTCACTATCTCTGGTGTCTCACAAACAAAGTTCAAATATGATGATTTTTTCGTTACGGCTGTTTCTAGTTCTGGTGCTCGCAGCGCTATCGCGCAATACTGCTACTGCTACGGCTGCAGTATGTGCGAATGGTTCGTGCAGTTTATCTGACCATTATATGTCCGAATGAATAGCTAATACTGGAGTTTTAGAAGAAGCAAAGGATGTGACGATTCCTATGTTGATGGATGCTACAATCGAAGATTTAAGCAGCGGCCTAGCCCAAGGAGCTTTTTCGAGTGGAGATCTTGTTAAGGTATGTCGGTTTCCTTTCACAGATTTAAGGGGGGTGCTGTTTTACCCATCCAATTTTAGAGTACCTTGCTGAATGTTGGATGTGCCGGAGAACTCATGGTACAGCGTGCTAATTATATCCACAGGCGTACTTTGCGCGTATAAGCCAAGTCAATGATGCGTTGAGACCAGTCCTTGAAATGAATCCTGATGCTCTGTCTGATGCCTCAATATTGGACCAAGAGCGCTCTCAGGGGAAAATCCGTGGGTCAGTACCGCTCTTCCAGTTCTTGCCCAACATTCCTGATTGAAATATTACAGCGCACTGCACGGGATTCCCATACTCATCAAAGACCTTATTGGCACTGGTGATAAGATGAACAATACTGGTAGGACTGTATACCATCTTGTATTCCTTTGTATCCTTGAAGAGCGATCTGACAATGATCAGCGGGATCATACGCTCTCCTTGGAGCCCGAGTACCGCGCGATGCCACTGTTGTGTCAAAATTAAGAGAGGCTGGTGCTATCATTCTTGGAAAAACTGCTGTATCTGAATGGGCAAATCTTCGGTCTCTGAATTCGAGTAATGGGTGGTCTGCAAGGAGTGGTCAGGTTACCACAGCGTATGTCGCGCAGGGTGACCCGTCCGGGAGTTCGAGTGGAAGTGCGGTAGCTGCTGCGTGAGTTACGGATATGCCGTTGTCGAGGTTTTCATTGATATTAATCATGATAGTCTTGGTCTGAGCTTGGGTGCATTGGGAACGGAGACAGATGGGTCATTGGTGCTTCCCGCTTCCTACAACAACATTGTTGCTATCAAACCTAGTACGTCATTCTCTCTTGTGTACATACACACATCTATTCTTGTCTCAACATTAGAGATGGATGCTTCACTGATACATCATAGCTGTTGGACTGACATCAAGATACATGGCCATACCAATCAGTCCGCGTTCCGACACCATAGGGCCTATGACCCGAACCGTCAAAGACGCCGCCTACATTCTGCAAGCCATAGCCGGCCTCGATCCAAACGACAACTATACATCCGCCATCCCACACAAGGAAATACAAGACTACATCGCTGCATGTAACGCCTCCTCATTGTTCGGCTCCAGAATAGGTGTTCCTCGCCATGTCCTCACCCTCCTCGCTACAAACACTACTGTTCCCATGACCAACGCTTTTGAAAATGCCCTAGACCATCTCCGCGCCCACGGCGCAACCATAGTAGAAACGAGCTTCCCTTTAGCAGAAGAATTTCTCGCCTCGTCCCTCTCCTCCACTGTCATCTTCGCAGACTTCATCTCCAGCCTCCCGACCTACTTCTCCCAGCTCTCTCCCAATCCACACGACATACAATCCCTGTCCGACCTGCGCAACTTCACGCAGAACGATGAAAGAGAACAATATCCCGATCGTGACACAGGGCTTTGGGACCTCGCGCTCCAACAGGGCTGGAATAACTCTGATCCCCGCTTCTGGACCGCCTACCAGCGGGTTCTCACATTTGGGAGTGAAGGTGGCATACTCGGCGCACTGGAACGGGATGGCCTGGATGCTGTTGTGCTGCCATCTGAATTCGCACCGCATTGGGCTGCAATTGTAGGCTCACCAATCGTGTCGGTGCCATTAGGTGCATATCCAGATGGAACACCGATTGAAAAAAACAGTAGGGGGCTAGTGGTTGCTGGACCTGGTGTACCGTATGTTTTCTCTTTTCTTCTCTTTCCTACTTGTACTACGTAGTTTTGGGAGGTGGTTTGCTGACGCTATAGTAGATTTGGGTTGAGTTTCATGGGTGCATTGTGGTCTGAAACGACGCTGATTGGGTTGGCGTATGCATTTGAACAAATAAGTATGGCGAGGGGCGTGGTGAAGCCGTATATTTCCCCGAGTATTGAGATCGAGGATGTAGTTGGGCGTGGTCGGTCTTTGTAGATGGCCATATAAGGATAGTAGTAGGAAATAAATGCGTCATCTAACATGGCAAATAGTCGTGTCAACGCGCAGTATCTTCAGAAGAATTGCAATCAGGAGGTAGAGATGCTTGTCTGGCTAGGTATGTGCTCGTGAGACGAATATGGGTTTACAGAGCTGGGCTAGCTGGAGCGTTGAAATGCCTATGGAAATGTGAATGAATGCTCTGGGCGATAATGCATGTATCTCAAACCAGCATATGCCGAGGCACGTTGCTTTAGTATAGCTTATAACTCTGCCTCTGATCGGAGCAGTGTGGCACTAAGGATCGACCGTGTCCGCTAGTGTACATGAATATACTATAGAGAAAGGTTGCAGCAATGAAGAGTCTAGGAGAGATCGCTCGCAGTGAACTGAAATGCTGCTTTTGCTATTTGTCAGATAGAGCGATGCATAACATTTGAGTGAAAATAGTCGACAACAAACAAGGCTGAAATGGTGAGACCTTGCAGATTACTATCGCTGTACTTCCATGGGAGCTGAAAGGGTGACAGCAAGGAAATCGACCCACTTCACACATCACACATTAGATAGAGCGTCGTCGGTTTCAATGAAAACATCCTCTTGGAAGTACCAGGAAATATCTCACAGCATCGATCAGCTGAACGTCAACAATCTCATTATACCGAAGCCATACCTGCACCAAGACCCCAGAGTCTCAATACGGTCTCAATTTTCCTTCTCGTGGCTTTTCTTGCCTCATTCCTCTCCATGCCACTCTTGAGTAGCACATCGTAATCAGTATGTTTGTGCCGCGCATGTGCAATAACAGCAATTATGACCTTCTTGAACAGCGGAATTCGACTTGTCCTTCCTACCCTACCAGACGACTTCCGAAACCCATGTTTGAGCACTTGCTTTCGCTCTGCCTCCGGCATTTTAGAAAATTGCTTTTGCATCTCTGCGTCCGCCTTGGTAATGTCAGCGGCATCGCGCTTGGCGACGGCATCGCGACGAGCAGAGTACGTCCGTTTGGCTTGAGAATGGACTTGCTGAAGGATGGTATTAGGAACGCGAATGCCGGTTTGCTTTTTCTTGTTGTCAACGACAATGTAGAGTTTCTGGCCTGCTCCGTGGGTGAGCTTGCGGCAGTGAAGGGTCTTGTAACGTATGCCTTTGGGCAAGAAGCCGTAGCCTTTTGGCATTGGCGTGCTTGGAGATACCGTGGTTTCGTGCATGGCTGTGTCTGAAATGTAAGTTGTCGAAGGTGGAGATTGGGACTCTACAGTATGAGCTTGCAAAATGCGCTATAGGATGCCGCGCACAATGCTGTACGGCTCAACGGGTTCTTTGTGTCATAATGAACTGCTCATTTAGGAAAAAATCACACAAAGAAACTCGTCGGCCTTGTTGTTGTTGTTGTTGTTGTGAAGCGACTAGTGACATTGTTCACGCTAACTGCAATGGGTCATATCACATGTTTTCGCGTCGCGCTTGATCAAGGATGCATCTCTGAGACCAGCGACCACCTTTCACTTATCCCTAGCAGCCATGAGTACTTCCATTTACCCATAGACTTCACTCATTACCGGTAATTACTCTCATGTTTGAACGCATCTTCATGGCCTTCCAACTCTCAGTCGGGTTCGCGCTGTGCAATTTAGGCTCCTGAGCGGATGTGGATGGCATGCGAAGTGTAGAAAGTATCCTAATCATCACAAAGCTCGTACAGAATACTTGGACCAGGTTAACAATGTGGAGTGCCAATGATGGCGTAGATGCTTCGCACGAGCCAAGCTGAGCCTGACGTATTTGCAACCAAGCCTGCATAAGACGAGAGGATCATCACAGAGGAACAGCAAGCAACACAGACGGACTATCCGCAGTGTAACAGTACAGCCAAATGAAATGTAGCATTTCATACTCAGTTCTTTACGCGCCTTCACCAAGAAGATCTCGGTACTATACACAAGAACACTTTCCACCCACTGCCCGCATACGTATGGTAGGTAATGCCTCTTCTACTGCAAAGCCGCCAAAACAGTATCATACGCAGGCTTGGCCTTGTAGTTACTATCAAACAACAACGGGTTACCTTGTGGTCTCCACGAATCACTGTCACGGACACCCCACACAGTGATTCCCACACAATTCGCCTGGTTCAAGCACGCCTTCACAACGTTCGTCCAGTCCGAAGCCTGCGCGTTTTGAATATCCACCTCGGTCAACGCGCACTCAGGGGCAGCAGCACAGAGCGCGGCCATGGCAGCAGGAGCATTAGCACCCTGGCCAGATGTCAAGTGGCCCTGGGAGCCGATACCGTCGATGGGTATACCCTGCGAGATCCAATTCTTGACGTTGCGGACCATGGCCTGGGTTTTTGCGTAGGATGCGGTGTCGAGACTATGATAGTGACTTGTCAGCTGACACAGTGCATCAACGTCAAAGCAGACAAGCCTTACTTGTAGTCGTTGATGTACAACTTGGCGTCTGGGTCGGCCTTTTTAGCCGCTTCAAAGGCAATTCGGACGAAAGACTCGCCGAGGACGTTGTAGAACACGCTGGAGCGGAAGTTGCCATTTTCTACCATCTCGTCAGCGCATGGGTGTTTCGACCTTTTTCCCCTATGAGGGGATGCACGCACCCTCGAACATTTCATTGATAACGTCCCACGCGTAAATCTGGCCTTTGTAGCGTGTCATCAGGGTGGTGATGTGGTTTTGCATGACGGACGTCAATGTTGCCTTATCCCTAATCGACGACACCCAGCTTGGAAGCTGAGAGTGCCAGACGGGAGTATGCCCACGAATCAATTTCTTATTGTCGGTCGCAAACTTGAGTGTCTGGTCCGCTTGACCAAAGTTGAAGTTGCCTTTTGAGGGCTCGGTGGCATCCCATTTCAGGCTGGATTAGGCACAATCAGCTCAGATGTTGAACCGCTGAGACGGCAAGAGAAGGTACCTGTTCTCAGGGGTGATGGCACCGAAGTTGGCCTTGATGATAGCGGCGTTGGATCCGGCATTCAGACGGCCTGGATCGGTACAGGTGCCAAAATACTTTCGTCCTTTCTTGACCATGGCATCGTTGATGCTCTGCGCAGCCTGGCGCTCTTCTAACGCTGACTCTGGGCTGGTACCAGGAAAGGGCGCGCCAGAGACCAATGCGGTGGCTGAAAGGATAGTAACCAGGGAGAACTTCATCGTCACTAGCTTACTGCTAACCGTGAGAAACTGATTATCTCGGATATCTTTCCTTCCTGTGCGAAAGACGCTTCTTATACTCCATCAGCGTCGTCCGTGGCATTATTGCAAAGGTATGTTGTACTATAGTAATGTCCAGATGCAATTTCGGCCAAGATTTGCCTCAACTTAGGGGCAAGATGTACCGGTAGGTCTCTAACCATTGGTTAAAACTTGAGAAACATTCATTTGACGCCACAGCACCAGCCTGCAAATGACCGATTCCACTCGAGGAACATCACTTTATGGCGCCGGAAACATGCCCATAGTAATCTAAATGAAGCTTCTGGTGGGTAATTCTTCTATCGCTTGGCAAATCTGGGACGGGACGAACGGTTAAAAGGGAGTTTACAACAGCCGAACCCTGTCACGCTGGGATGCGGATCAACTACACATTGTGGACAATTACTGAATAACACATGGGAGAAAATTGTTCATATTAAGTAGCTATACACCCAAATCGCGAAAATATGGCGAGTGTTTATTTCAATGAGTGCTTCGTGGCAGAGTGTGACGAGTGTTCCGTGTGGCGCAGGGGTGGTGCGATGTGGAGCAAAGAATTGATCGTTGCATAGTTTTTTCCACGGACTATTTTGGGCCTCTTTCGGACCTTTTCCCCCTAGATTCCAGGGAAGGGGGCAGGACGAAAGGCCCGTCTTTGTCGATGTAGTGGGCCCTCGTTTTGGTACCTTGCGATAGTGATGGGCAAGGCGGATTTTTTGGGGTAGAAGAAGACAAAACGAAAATGAGAGATTGAGTTTGGCATGCATGCCAGAAATGATAGTGAATCATGTGGACTTGACTTTGGTAGAAAACGATGCTTTAATCGACCTGGACTTTGGGTTGACGATCCGGAAACGCACTTGCAATTGACTCCAATTCCCTCAGTGGTCTGTATACAAGTATGACAGAACCGACGTAACAGTGCCTTGGAATGTCTTTCGCAAAAGGAGACATTATCAGCCTGCCTGAAGACCACGCGCATCAGCTTCGCCGTAACAATATTGCCATCAATGCACGCAACAAACAGCGCTCACGTCTGCCAAACATCATCACTCTTAACAACACATCTAACATCCTCAGTGTGCCCCAACCAATCATAAACCTACACATTTTTACATCCACAGCGAGAATATGTGTGAGATGGTCAAGGTTCGCGCTTGAAGTAGTGTCCTTGAACCCGGTGATGCCGCCTCCAATGGCAATGGTGATGCGTTGGCGTTCTAGAAAGACGTGCTGGATACTAAATATCGCCTTCACTACATCTGCGTTATAGCAGTACCGGTAAAGCGCCAATATGCGCATACCGGTACACCTTGCGTTCGCTCTATGCGAAGCCCTTGATAGCCGATTAAGCCTTTCTTTGAAGCAATTCTCAGCGTCTTGTCGCATTCCTACGTAACAACTTTTGCAGGTGAATGCGAGGTCGGACCAGTCTCGGTCGAGTCGCATGGGTGCCAGTGGCCTCCATGTACCTAGGCCAGAGGCCTGAGGCGAGCCGTTCGGAACTAAGGATTGGGCATTCTTGGTGTTTTAGCTGGGGTTGGACCCTTGGTGTGGAGTAGGAGAGTTCTTTATGTGCATTGACTATGTTCGTGGGCTTTTGTGCATGAGTAGTGTGTTGTTCTGGTGCTGCAGGTATGGGGAACAACGAGTCTATGTGATACAATTGCAGGGCTGCTTACTCAGTTGACATCGCGTGATATTAACAAGCGTTGTAACACAGTTGTTGCACCAGTGATTCCAGCAATTGGTATTTTTCAACATATAAACATGAAGCAGACTCTTTGTGACATGACAAGGTGGAGGATCCGTGAGCGGTCAGTGAACTAACGTGAATGCTCACCTGTAACACGCTTGGACGTGAACTGGTCAGATCATGAGATCCGAATATTCCACAAACTTTGACCAATTTGGGTTATACGACCGGCATTAAAAAATTTGCCTACGCGTGGAAAATTTCCGATTGATCTGTCAGCACTGTATTTAAAGTGTACCCGGGGGAGGGGGTGTTCGGCAAAGTCAAACACGACGCCTGAAGAGTCAACTGCCGCCGGCATGATTATATAAGCACACATGACGACGCACAAGAGCCAAGCGATGAGATTCCACAGACTGTAAATTGGATAAGAGCTGTTTTACAGAATCAACAAAAGACCATGGTATCCCGTCATCCGCTGTGTAATGATACGCCACCAACCCGCTTCCCGCTTCAAACATCGTGAAATCCTCTTCAATATATAAGCAAGGTTGGGAGTTCGAGATTAGGTGATACGAACAAATGTTTTTGGATTGTGATCATTGTATATATTAACCACTGCTGCATACACAGCCCTTCCTTGTATCTGCGTTGGAGCTGGGCCATGAAACACAAATGGAGCCCCCGGTACATGCTTTGCCGCCGCAGTTGTCCCTGGAGCAGGAACCAGTGTAGCCTCGTGGGAGATTTGGCATCGCTACGGCAATGGTTGCGAATAGAGTTGCGGCGATGATGGAGAAACGCATGATGAGGATTGGCTTTGTAGAGATTGGATTTGGGAATTGGTTGACAAATTGAATGGACCAAGTGCTGGGGAGTTCAGAGGCAGATAGTCGTATGTATTGAGACAATCAAGTCGAGGTGATTTGCTGGTAATGGAGGAAAGTGTTGAATTGATGGTTGAGTTGATGGTAGATGGGAGGAGTTGAGATGTTGTGAATAGTTTGATGTTGGGGATCTGATCTCAATTATATACATGGGTTCAAAAGGCTGTGTAACAAGTCGGATCTCATCTGACGCCGGTGGCTCTATGCTTGGCCAATCTGTTTACAATATCCCAGGCATGTAGTCGCTTACTCGAAGAGTTTGACAAGACGTGAAGGGCTGAATGACCTTGACTAGTTGTAGCTTCGCCTCGACTGAGCCCAAAGTGTGTGGTCGCGAAGTGGAGCCGACACCAAGCCGGAAACCGATTTCGAAACGTGTGTTTGTTCAGGTCGAGGACACAAGATCGAAGAAACGGGGCTACGCGTTGCCCTTCGCACATCGTCGTTGTTCCACAGCAGTGTTCATGTTGTCAAAACGCTTCGTGCCATAGACTTGGCTCCTTGGCTGTTCCATGCCCGCGCCGCAAATGATTTGCAATCTGTAGATCTCTTCAGGGATCGTGGCAGCTCTGCAGTGATCCGATCATCCAGCCCAAAACCTGCCAACTCACAAAGAGGGCAAGGAGATAGGTAAGAGTGAATCTCGGTTATCAGTGACGCAGCCAGTACCGGGCAGAACGCATCTCGACCCAAACTCCCAAAGGGCCAAGATCATGCATTCAATGCAAGGATGCTCTACAATCACACCCTGTGACGACCGTACCTATGCGGATGCAGAACGGAAAACTCTGTTCCTCACTTCCGAGGGTGCCGTCTCCCATGACTTATGGTTGCAAGAGGAGCGGGCCATGGATGAGGGGGGCCGCTAATCAAGAGATGCGTTTCTAATGGTCACCCAACTAGAGTATCGAGATTCACACCGTTCTTTACAGTAAGTATCGACATAGCGATGGACGGTGGTCACGTGGATGGCTGTGGCCTTGGTAAACGCCGATTGTGCCAAGGTTGCTAAATATGTGACGTCCGAGAGCAGACAAAAGCTTAGGATGAGGCCTATCACCGGGGCAAGACTGGAATGAACACTATCATGGGCACTGTAGCTCAAAGTGACGTACCTAGATTTCTGGGCTGTAGATGTTGGGTTGAAGAGGGCGGGGAGGAAAAGCTTGGCCGAGAGATCCTTTGATCGAGTAGATTATCTAGGCAGCGTTTAAATGGGGCCTCCCACCGATGTAGGTCTCATGCTTTGCCGGTAGGTAGTTAGCTTGTGCACAAGTGTACATGCATGTAATGTGTGTACACGGCCATGACCATCATAATCAACCACCTTGAATCCAGCAGCCAAGCCCCAATCTCCCATCTGTTGAGTTCAGTACCCACGACAGCTCGCAGCAACAAAAGGAGGGGAAAAGAAAAGACATGATCTTACCGAATCTTAGCATCTCACAGCATGGACAACTTTACTGTTATTTTTAGATGCCATGGGTTGATGACCTGTGGTACTTAATGGTGTGATGGGAGGCTGCGCACGGGCTTGGATCTATCCATCTCATCTTACAATACTGTACGAGTAAGGTTGGTGAGGCGCAATGTTCTATGAATGGCTCCTCCACGTGTACAAGGTACTACGACAGTTCACGGGTGGGTTGGAGTAGGGCCGAGTTGCTCAACCCCGGATAGCCAGCTAAACTCCATCCTCACGCCTCACAGGCACCGCCCCCTCACCCCCCCTTCCCAACACCCAAAATCCACGACCAACCAGATCAGCCTCCCATGGCGAACAACAATAACAACAATGACAACGATCGAAGCTTAGGGCGCGATCCAGGACGTCCCGAAGATAGCAACCCCTTCATCGCCTTCCGCCGCTTTGCCGACTCGCACGTCTCCTCCCTCCTCAACACCGTCTTCACACTGCCCGCCACCATCGCCAACTACAATCAGGCGCATCAGGCGCGCGAACAGTGCCTTTTTGGCAAAGCAGACGAGCGAAAATGCGACCAACTTCATGAGATAGAGGCGGACACGGCAGAGCTGCGGCGTCAAGGCCGGGAGCTACTCGGCCAAGGCGACGTAAAGGCCGTGCTCGAGCACAGCGACTTGTTATTGAAGTTGGAGAGAAAGGCAGAAGACATAAGACGCGATATTGTCCAAGAAGCCACAAGGAACGGCCATCTCAGCCCTGACGGAAGACATGACAGCGTGGCATTGGTAGAGCGCGTGGCGAGCCAGAAAGGTCGTGATTGGGGAGCCGAGTGGGATTGGGGCATACCCAAGCCTTTCGATAGCGGGCGTAGGGCTGTCGAAGGCAATGACGAGGATGAGCGGTCTCGAGAGATGCACGAGTGGGAGCTTTTGCTGCGACTTCAGTCGGAAGTGCAGCGGTTGGTTGCTGCCTTCGATGGCGCAGCATGGGACGATCCACCCCGCCAACAGTCTTCAGACTCCAGCGCCGAGAAACATGACGCACACAACCGATCGTGGGTGCCGTTGTGGGAGTCTTCTCTGCCAAGAGATACACCAAGGACGAAAGTTGGGATGTCTTGGCCTGAAACAAACGAGGATCCCATGTCCAAATCCGCACACAGTGTACAAACCTGCTCCAGAAGTAAGGAGCCGCATGATGAACCAAGTTATGAGTATAGTCACGATCATGAGGATCAGCATGACGAGCCACCTTCGCCAAAACACAATCTCACATGTAGTAGTCTCCAGCAACAGCAGCACTTACATCGGCCAGACCGCGGCGCCGACACAAGCTACGCCTCATCTCGTAATCTGGCCGCAGAGCAGACCGAAATGGACGCCTATGAGCAACTCGTTGGAGGACTTGACAAACCAAGCCCGAGTATTTCTCCTCCCGCATTCGCCCAACGTCATGATCCAAATTCCACATCGTCCATACTATCCACACTTACCACCACAGAGCGAACCGTCACACCAGACGGCCTTGTGACGACCAAGGTTGTTCTCAAGAAGCGTTTCGCCGACGGCCGCGAGGAAAGCACCGAAACAGTGCACACACAGAAGAGCGAGGACATGAACCCAAGATCTCAAGACGTATCCAAGCCATCAATCCAGCCGCACCAAACTTTCAACGATGCAGACGAAACGACCAAGAAAGCATCTCGGACCGGCTGGTTCTGGTCCAGCTAAGAAGATTTCATCTTCCAGATTATTGCATCACCTATGTATGATCTTTAACACACGCAGGCCGTTGTGACGTGTCGATATATTTAGCGATCGCCATGGAGTTTTGGTTTTGGAGTTGTAATGGATGCGTGTCAGAGTATTTCAGCCATACCCCCCTCAATGAAGCTTTATTCTTTCTCTTTCTGAGAGATCAATGCCCTTGGAGGCAGTAGTCGAGCATTGTAAGTCGCAATCTCGACACTGATGGCTCCATGGGCCCGTTGGCGGACAACAGTTCATGGTGCGTGCAAGTCTCCAGCATAGTATTTCCTCTCGTACCTATCTATCTATGCACAACTTACTCTAGCCCTACGCATACCTAAGCTACTATACATGCCTACTCTCAATACACCCGACCCCATCGTGGCTCATCCAACGCATTGCGCAACCCCATCTACTGTGATACGATCAACTGGCTCTTACTTCCCCAGAAGGTTATATATTCCAAAGAAAGGATCTTAAGATATTCCAATCGCAATCGCACAGTCTTACCCATGCACCGATATCCAAGTAACTAAACCGATTACAGCGGATCGGAATCCTCCATTGTCCATACACACGTCCATATTGTACGCTGTGTCGCGGGACCCCCTTCCCCCAGCGGCGCGCCGATCCAAAGGTACCGCCGCTACGGTCGAATCTTGGCCATCGAACCAAGTACCTGAGTGCCGGACATTGGCGACTCTGGGGTCTCCACTTCATGTAGCCCTACCTACCTGACCTGGCATCAGTTCCCCACTGCCATGTGGTAGCCATACACCACGCGATTTTTCTCTCTAGTTGAACTCGTTTTCTCTGTCGCTTTTTACAACTATTACATAGCCACGCTCGGCGGAACAGGGGATATGGTATCGGTCTTGGTTTGGGGGGGGGGGGGACTTGGGGTCTTGTGGTCTTGAGGTATTATTTGCGTGTCCGCCGTGTGTTGACGCATGTGCGCGTTCCTTGTTTGTTGGGGTATGGGATGGGAGAAATTTGCGCGCTGCGGGATTATTTTAAGATTATGAGGCTATATGTGGACGGTACGGTGGTGAGGTGGTAAGCAGTTGGGGGGAAGATGTGAAGATCGCGGCAAGTCTAGGCGTTGGCTTGTAGGCGTTGAGCTGTAGAAGTCGGTGGTTTAGTCGGGCCTTGGGGGAAGATGTCATCGTGGCGGGTTACTGAGTGAGATTGGGTTATGACTTCGGCCAATTGGAGTGAATTGTGGGGCGGGGGCGGTGATGACGACTTGGCGCGAGAGTGTCATATTTCAAGTTTGGTGCGAATAAGAGAATTCCATTGAGATGATTTTGCAAGGGAGATTCAGTAACTACCTACTGCCATCTTGCCGTTCACCGTCTCTGTAGAACCCTGGCTCTTCCATTGTAGACCCCACTCTTCCAATATGTGATTCACCTAGACTGAATTGTACACGGCAATCCAGTCAGCTAGAAGCGACTTGCCCGGCACAGTCTGTGGAATGGGAGTGCGGCTCCCACGAATACCATCAGGAAATGCACCACCCATCGCAACATTGATGAGAAGAAACTGGCCATGGTCTACAACATCCTTCCAAGTACCTGCCCCAATATCCGTCTCTGTAACGGTATGGTAGTCCTTGCCATCCACGCTCCAAGTAAGTTTCTCAGGCTTCGAGCTACGATCCACCTCGACGCCGTAAATATGGAAGTTGCCTTGACAGGGCGAGCCAGGACACTCAAGATAGTTTCCCTTTCCAATCATCTCGTTGCAAGGGCCGCCTGGAGCAACACCGCAGTGCAGGACGCCCCAGACGCGGTTGAGACCGTTGACATTTTCCATGATATCGTACTCTCCGACGGCAGGCCACGCCATTGAGCCACGGAACTTGTCGCCGAGAGACCAGAAGGCGGGCCAGTATCCAGCCGCAGCGTCGCCAGTAACGTCAGGCATTTGGATGCGAGCTGAGACTCGCAACTTGCCGCCAGCGCGAGCCTGGAAGTCGGAGCGCTTGGTTTCGATGCGAGCAGAAGTCCACTCCTCATTGGCATTGCGGAGGGGAGTGATTTGCAGGTTGCCGTCGCCAGTGAGCTTGAGATTCTCGGGGCGATCGGTGTACGCTTGGATCTCGCCTGTGCCCCAGTTGTCAGGTCCACCGGGGTAAGAATGGCCGATGTCGACGATCCACTCTGCAGGATTGGGAAGGCTGCTTGCAGTGCCGGTAAACTCATCACTCCATGTAAGGGAGAAGCCTGGAACAGCTGGAGGGCCGGCCCAAGTCAAGCGCAGAGTAGCCAGGGTAAGAAGGATAATCTTGGAGAGCATGATGATCTCAGAAGGGAGCCTACAAGCATCAGTAATTGTGCCCTTCCGGAAACGTAAGTTGAGGTACCTGGAGAAGCCTAGCCACTGATACCGAACGTTTTGCTATGTCCCACAAGAGGCCACAAGCTGAGTATATGGGATCGATTGAGCAGCCGATATAAAGAAGAGAAGGATGCTATGTGATGTCCTAAAGGCATAATATCTGTGCTTTTATATTCACCAGGTCGCTCTACAACCCCGAAGCCGGCTCAAGACCGCCACCAAACGCCCCTCTGCTACAATGACAGTCGTCATTCGGTAACAAGTTCACGGCGAGCCTATGGGCTGGTAAGGCGCAAACAGCTTAAGGATCTCGTGGACTCCAGACCGAAAAGCGAACAAGATAGGCTGGAAAAATTATAATTGAGATCCACTTAGATAGCGTGGTAATGCAGGGTCGTTGGCTGCCCCCGAAAGCACTGTCAAGCGTTGTGTCCTGACTGGGCCACTTCTCTCCTGTCGTAAGATCTGATCATTAGTATGAGGGTACCAAAGAACAAGCGATTACTTCCACGAGCCACCCTGCCAGAAGACAATTTCCAGGGTTCAATCTCAGTGGGCTGCAGCAAGAGCGGTGAGAAGAAAAGGCAAATTTGTTGACATGAAAGAGATTAGGATTTTGAGCTATACAGATTCTGACAACCTGGAACCGTATGTTGTTGAGAATACAGTAGTCAGGACCAGTTCGTCTGCATCTGGTGTCTCGCCAATATCCATGTGATAGGTGTCTTTCTGCGGTGATATGCTGTAAATCCGGCACCTTGGCCCTGCTGGGGTGGTCGAATACGCTAACGGCTCGCGCAAACGAGCTCAGGTCAGTAAATGAGATCCAGATGAGGCAGCATGTCTTGATGTCCATTCGACTAGAAATCTTCTGATAGGTTAGGGTATGTTGACAGCGCACCGGAGATGCGGGTGTGCCTGCATTGGTGTAAGCAGGATCCATTGTCTCGAATTTGATCTCATCATCGCATGACCAAGGAGCGGCTAACCCATGTCCGCATCTCGAATGCGTTCTCCGGTGCCGATAGAGCGTAGACGTGCAAGACAGGCACGAACATTGTTTCGCTGGGAGTCGCATACTAGAGGTGAAGAGAATAAGTGGCTATCATCTTGTTGAATCTTATACACCGCGTCTAGCCCACAGCAAGGGAGTCGTTTGTAGTGGGTTGTACCGACTGAAACGCTTTGCGAGACTGCAGCCAGACTGGTTTCGATGTCATTGGAGGCAACATCTGAGGCTAAAGCGTATGAAGTTATACGGGCCTAGGTCAGTGTGAATCAGACATGTGCAAGTAGCAAGAAGGGTTGTTGAGTCGTCGGTGAGCATGTTGGCAAGATGAACAGCTCTGCATGTGAAGTGCTATTCATTTGCCATCTACATGATGGGATCTCCACTTGTGGTATAAGACCGGCGTAATCAAATCTTGTCCAGCTCAGAGTGCATGTGTATCGGATAGCCCGTGGATACGGCATGTAGGATGCAAGCGCTCCTCTGATATCGAAATGTCGCTTGCATTTCGAACTTCGTAGTCGGCGTGTCTAATTTCATATAGTGGTGCTCGTGGCGAACGTGATCATTTGGGTTCGATCAGTAACACTCGCAAGGTGTATGCGGTATGCTCGGTTCTGCTTGTATGACTGTTCACAGGAACGTATCCGCCCTGCTTGAGATCCCTTAAAAGTCGTTTGGCCAGCACTTTTCTTTCGGCCACAGGGTCTGGTCGTGGCTTTGAGCGTGAGCCTCAAGTTGGGCTTTGTTCGTGTTGACGATTTCGCGGCGGCAGTTCTGGCACTGCAGTTGGTTAGCATGGGCCAGCCGCGCGACTCTCCTCTCTCTCCGTGACCCTGGGGCCTTGAGAGAAACAAAAGGCGGGATCCTTACAATTGAAGTAGGCTTTGGTGCCTTGACGGGCAGTCCATTCGCCTTGACCGGCGCGCGGGTGCCTGCCTTGTCCGCTTTTTTGTGCTCGCGCTGGATCTGCACAGCAATGGTTAGAGAAGAATATGTAGAGGCGCGTCTGTATTGACATACTCTGTCTTTCTTGGAAATCGGCATCTTTGGTGGTTTGTTGTGGTTCTCGTGAAATCAAGTAAAATGGCGCGTTCGTGAAGTGGAGGAAGTGAAGTTTCTGTGGAGAATTCACGAAATAGTCGGCCAATGAGGTGGCACTTGGCGTTACTAGCGTACTATTTGATCTTGTTTCCTCGACCTCTTCAGTCAAGCAACCTTTGTGGTGGTAGCGAGTTCATTTTAGTTCCGTGATTGAAGGACTTCAAGGTGATCATATGCCATGTCAATGCGCGTTGATTGCACTCTTTCGTAGTGTCCGGTAGGGTAGACCCTTGGGTTTCACTGTGGTAATCGACTACAGCTGACAACCCAATACCCAAGCACCATGTCTACAAACTGTAAACATGATACATACAATGTGTCTGCAAGAGGGGCGGGGGACGTTAGCCCAGCAAGGATTGGTGGATTTTGTGAGGCGGGGGAGGGTATCTTGCAGCTGGGTATACTACTTAGGTAGGCTAGGGTATGGTGTTGTGAGGCGGTGGTTGGAGGGGAGCATGGATGGATGGTTGGGGGCAGGGGGTGTTGAGGAGGTTAGGATGGGGGATACGAGGATGGGAGGGTGAGTTGGTTGTTTTGTGAGATTGGATATATATAGGAGGGTGGCGTATGATGGGAAGAATGCGATCTTAGGTCATGTTGAGTGTGCTTTGCAATTTCCCTTCTTTTCCTCCGAATTTTGTCGCAGGTGTCGCGCGAGGTTTATTGTACGCAGCCAGAAACACTCATATCGAAGTACGCGCGTCACGGACAATATGGGATTGATTACTTTCATAGTCATTCAAAATGGTCATGTCCCCTAAATACGGAGAATGCAATGTTTTGAAATATCTGTGCGAGGAAAAAAAAACTGCCAAATGCTGATGCAGTCAAAAGAAGCCCACAACGCCGATGCCACCATCCGAGTCATCGCTATCGGTGGAGCATGATGAGAGAGGAGAGAGAGGAGAGAAAAGATCCAAAACGTGATCATGGAGAGAGGTCGCTAATGGATGAAAGCGTCACAGACGGTGCATGAAGAAATGAGCCAGACATGAAGCCGAGTTCATGGGCTGGTGGTTGAGACTGAAGTATCTGATGACGAGGCGCCGCTCCGTCGACGGGCAGAGTCGGTTGCGGTGGTGAGCTGACGCTTGGTGTGCTCATGCATGATCCTGGGCAGAAATGTGAGCATGGCTGGTCTTGTTTGGGTGGTCGAAGTGTGGGGAACATACTTCTGGTAGGCGGTCATGGCAGACTCTGGGTCGTTTAGGTCAAAGTTGTTGGCAAAGTTGTGCTGGGCACTCATGGGCTCCGAGAAGTCGTCGGAGACGTAGACTTGCTGGCGCACATCGTTCATGGCAGACATGTTTGATGGTGGAGGGGAGGGTATGTAGTTGAAGTAGAGTACAGTACAGATGAAAGGACGTTGGACTGCTGAAAGAGTACTAGGTAGATGTGCGAGGAGAGGATGGAGATCGGGATTTTTGCAGGAGATCGAGGGATTTGAAAGGTTGTGGGTGAGAAATGGGAAAGGAGAAGCGGGGTCTGGACTATATAGCTTCTGGGACGGCCCTGGGTAGGGGAGGGTAGGGTAGGCCACAAGTGCGAAGCAAAAGCAAAGCAATCCTAGGCAACGGGGGGCCATGATGACCACAGCCGGCAAAAGATCATCCATGCTCACACACACACAGACAGACACACACACAGACACACACGGATACACACACACACACACACACAGACAGACAGACAGACAGACAGACAGACACACACAAATTGGCAAGAGTGAACAGACCCATCAAGGCCAAGATGGCGCCGGTCAGGCTTGAGCGTTGAGGAAGGAGCGATCTACAGGGTCCTTCCAAGTTGGTCCCTAACCTTGTCTGCCTTTCATTCCCGGGGTCCAAGACAGGGCCAATGACGTGATGGCGATGGCAAGACCCTGGTTTGCCGTTCCAGCCCACTTCTGGGCATCGGGCTTCGGGGGCCTCTCCAAGGCTTACCGATGATGTCGCCAGCCATGGTTCCTGCCTGGGCTGGCTACTCTAGTACGGCGGCCGAGGACTAGGCCATGTCTGCCGCTCTCCCCTCTCCTCTTCTCGTTGCCTTGAACGTTCAACAGTACAGTGTAGAGTACTCTACATGGCCTGGTACTAGTAGAGTATGCACAATATAGCAGTAGGTACTGTACTCTAGAGTGCATGGGCTAGGGCCTAGAAGAAGTCAAATCCATGGCTCCAGTGGGGATTCGGTACCGTAGAGTACATGCTAATACTACACAAACACTACATCCCCCACCGGAGCCAGTGACGACAAAGTCGGCGCTTGTTGTCTTTTGTCTCCTAGTGATGATCTTCCTCTCCCAGCTCTCTCCTTGTACCTACACGACCTGCCCATTCACTGCTGACGACAACAACAGAGAGAGAGAGAGAGAGAGAGTCTGACGCTAACAGCCATACTATAGTAAACAAACCATGTTCTTTGTGTCTGCCCTGCACGACACCACAGTAGACGCCCAGTGGTACCATATGACGCGCATGGCCCCAAGTCTGGATGATGATGGCTGGTCGACTTTGGTCGAGTCCGACAGTGTGGTGTGTGGCGTCCGTGGGCGTCGATCCGCCTGGCTTCTCAACGAGTCGACGTCTGTCTTTTCTCCTTCTCCCATTTCCCAAGTCCCCATTCCGCGGGTGAATCCATGTGGTACGGTACCTACAATCTTGCGTCCCAACATGCCCAAAGCGGATCACCGTTTTGACTTTGCCATACAACATGCCCAAACTCCCGTTGCCCTTAGAGTATCCTGCCGTGCGCCCGTAAACGTCATTTGCTCCCCAAAGCTGATGGCATCTGCAGAGGGTCTAAACTGTAAGCGGTTAGCTTGCCGCTCCCGCCTAATTCCACAATGACAATATGCAGGGCATGGCCGTTCGCTCATGGCCCCACTTATACCGCACAACTGGGCAACCCTCTTTCTTGCCATCAAACAACGTCAGGTGTGACGATGGACTATGGACCATGGCTGCTGGCTGCTCCGTCCCGCTCAGCCTCATCATGCAAGGCTGCCAGTCCAGGTTGAATGACAAGTACTATGACGAGCTGAACAGCCCAGGACCAGGTACTATCAATGGCCACGTCTGTGCTACCATGTCATCTCAAACCCATCCCTCACGCCCGTCTCGCGTCCTCGACTGCACCATTGTCTGACTGCCACCCAACAAACAGAGTCGCCGCATCGGTCTCAAAGAGTGGACAATACTCTACATGCTTTAGGCAAGTGTTCCATGACGAAAAAGAGGGCACCCGACATGCGACAAAACGTTTACCAAGGCTACCTACCACAACAAGGATTAATGTGACAGTCCACAAAATATCTTCAGCTGTAATACGAGTGATGATTCTTTCATTGGCTGATACCTGCCACTCTTTGTGGCAATTCCCCATCAACTTCACCAATTGCACAATGGCAATCTCAAGAATTCTCTCACTCTACGGCATCGAATGGATCTGATGAGTGGGCCTTGAATTCCTATACTGCGACAATCTCTTCCAAGATTCGACCTTCCAACATTGGCACTACCCTACCACTGTCCTTGCGGCGCACCCTCACGCCTCAATACAGCGTCACAATGCACCCCTATCCCTTCAAATCCTGCTGGACCCAGCACGGAAATCAAACGGCAAGCCATCATCCTTATCAGCGACAGATGGCATCTTGCCCGGCTACGATAGCCCACATCCATTCGGTCGTCATCCTGCTTTGCCGATCCTTTCCATCATGACTGCATTTGCCACTCTCACGGAAGCCTACCGACAGCCACTCTAGTCAGCGATAATCCATCACTCAGATAAAATACTGGATGCAGTAGTCCTTCCTGGATAGGGGCTACATGGACGTTATGATGTTGTCTGTGGAGGCCTAGCACTAGGACTGGATCTACAGTCGAGGTGTGGATTACGAGGCGGATGTGGATTGGCTACGAAACCAAGGTTCCAGAGGACGGCGCACGCTTGCACGCGAAACGTATCGCCTGCACCACTTCTACCAGAGAGCCATAGACTCGGATGCCGTCATGCAGGAGGAGCATGCACCTTCGACGGAGGTTGACATCATTTGGATGCACACCCTTCTCTGCAACAGTGCCAGAATAGATTGACACACACAGCAACACCGCTGACGCATTTGCGCAAGGTGCTCCGACGTCATCAGGCGAGCTACCCGGCCCCAATGTCGTTCTCGGCTCGTACAGTCCCAACCACCTAGACGTCATACCCGTCTCGTCTACTGCCGCTGTTGCATGACGCTACGGACATACGGACTCTCCTCAATGCAAGCTTGTTTTGTTTTCCTGAGATGGGCTCGCATGACGCATCCTCCAGCTATCATCGAAGAGGTTTAACCATGCGTTGAGCCCTCGACCCGCATGTGATGTGATGAGCAATTTTGAACAACACAAGCAATGACTGATCCTGTCTCAATCACGCCCGTACCGCATAGGCTAGGTTCCTCGCTCCCAAAGAAACATATTAAACCCCGGGCCTCCAAAGCGCACCTGCATCCTCGATGACAGATAATCGATAGTTGCTACCCAGCAACAGGCCCAAACACTTGACCCTCCGACCACAACATGACGCTTTCGGTCTATCATGACGATCCCCACTGGTAAACACACAAGCATCGTCGATGCTCACACACCCAGCCGATGAAACCAAGCTTTCTCGTCGACATACATCCTATAAAGTGGACTAAATTAATCAACATGAAATAAGACACATGGCAGCACCCAAACCTGGCCCGGGTGTATTGGACACCCGACGAGCGTGTCAGCGTAGGACTACAAGACGTAGGGACATCAAGTCGGCCCTGTCATCGTGACTATTACCCCAGGTTAATTAATACATTGCGTATCCACAAGTGCTAGGCACCGTAAAAGAGAATCTACCTTCCCACCAACCACCCTTCCACCTCTTTTCCTCAAGTACGCCCAAGAAACATCTCAATCACGCACATCTAACCCCAGACCCCGGTCTCCCAAGCTCGAAACTAGAAATATAATGCATTCGCCATCGGTACTGGGTACCTTACAACCACATACCATAACCCATTGCCACACCGTAGACTACCATGAGCAAATAAACAATCAAAGGAGCCATTCCGTCGTTTTGACTCGCACAGAAGCTTCTTTTCTTACACCCTCGGTTTTTTCTTTCTCATCTGATTATTTCATGGGCTTTGGGGACTTGGTTTCTCAGCCACCCGGCCGGCCAGCCAGCCAGCTGGTTTACCTATTTCCCTGACGCGCATGGGATGTTGTATCCGTTGCGTATGGGACTCGGTGTTGGAATTGGGGAGGCGGGGATATATGTGGTATATGATAGCGTGGGGGAATGCTGGGGTGATGTGGGCGGTGGGGGATGTGGGGCGGAAAGGAATGTTGAGAGATTGCTTTTTGAAAAAAAAAAAGCAATGGAATGGAATGGAATGGAATAGTCCGACTCGATGCTACTGAAGATTCACTGCTGAAGAGATTGATTTCCCCCGAGGGTACATTGTCCAGTCCAGGCAGTACCATACGGACCTAATTTCTACTCCAAACCAAACCCCCGGCCACACCCCTCGCAAACATCTGCACCCCTTGTACACTACAACACCCCCCAACCAATCCACCACCTCACCCCGCCTAAACAGATTTCCGCCGCGGCACCTCACCCCCAACCTCCAACCGATACCCCTCAGCCCCCTTCTCCGTCTCCAAATCCTTCTTCTTAACCGTCTTGGCCCCAACCTCCGGAAACGCAAAAGGCTCGCTCCGACCCCCCTGCAAACCCTGCCAAACCCCAACCTTGTCCCAATTCGTCCACGTCAAAAACCCGACCCAGGGCTGCACATTCCAGCCGAGCTCGAGCACGACATTGGTCCTGTTGCCCAGCTTGCCCGAGATGTCTGTGATTTGGTACTTGGGGCGCTGGTTGTGGAGGTGTAGTTCGCCGACGGGGTAGGGGGATTCTGGGTGGGATTTTGCCGCTGCCATTGCTTTTTTGGAGTGCTTGGGGAGGGCGGGGGAGTCTTTGGGGCGTGGGTGCGTGTATTGGTTTGTGTGCCAGGGTGCGGAGGGGGAGGCGAGGATTGCGTCCCAGATGATGGCTTCGGAGGGGGGGTCTGAGGCTCGGTGGGAGGGGTAGACGGCTTTGATGTATACGAAGACTTGTTTGGTGTTCCAGTTGAAGAGGGATTTTAAATCTAGGTTGGTGTCGTTGTTAGTGGAGATGTTGTATGATGACTCAAGTCAATGCTGAGAGAGAAAGAGAGAGAGACTGTGTGTGCTGGTTCTCGCACTACAGAAAAAATGGCAAAGGAGATATATATCATTCAACATAAAAACACCAGACGTACCAGCATCCAAATCAAACCGAACATGCGCATATTCCTCCTTCTTGCGGCTGTAATAATGCGGTCGCCCTTTTACAACCTGCACATTGCGCATTTGTAGCTGCGCACTCGGTGTCTGCGGTATCACGAGCGTGCTGAGTGCAATTACTGCGGCGACGCTGAATGCGACAGTGGTGAAGAAGCCAAAGACGTTTTGCAGCCGCACGAGCGCTGAGTGCATTGTCGAGTTTGGGAGCGACAACCAATGATGGTTGGCGCGAGGGAGGAAGAGAGAGAGAGAGAGCCGCGGGGTGGACGTGGAAAGGACGGGTGTGGTTGTGGAGTAAGTATGTGGAGGGAATCGTTGCGTGTTGTTTGCTGAACACTTGCTTCTAACACGTATCTGGAGCTGGGGTCGCGGAGGTCCGAGGTCAGCCCTACGGCATAGACCAGGGTCCTTGGGCTTGGCGTCTCGCCCAGCTCTGTCCTGTAAAGGTACAGACTATGTACAGTAATGAGGGACTATGAGGGTTGTAACCTTAGATGATACAAATGACATTGGTTGATACCTAAATATAGTACCTAGCGGAAACATGCAATACTACATCATCTATCGCCTTTAGTGTCCACCTATACCATACTTTGTACTCCCAGTGTCATCAATATACTCTAATGAGTCTAGTCCATCAAATCTACCGAGTGTAGTAATTCCAGTGCACCGGATTCTATCCGACAGCAGGCTGGCTACCTCCTCTAGGTCCTCCACGTCCACGGAAGCCACCACGACCGCGACCTCGTCCCCTACCCCCTCGGCTTCCATCTAGATTGGCTGGCGGTGGAACATTGGAATAATTTCTAGGCTGGAAGTTGGGGTTATTGGGCACTACACCCTCAGCAGGGTCACTGTTGTCCACAACGGTAAAGCCGCCGCGGTTGGCCTTAAAGCCTCCACGGCCGCGAGGCACAAAGTCAGCGCTGCCGCCACGAAGGTTTCCGCGCGGGTTGTGTGGCGCTCCATTTGTGTGGACACGTGGTGCAAACCCTCCACGACCCCCACGAGGAGGCCCGCCGTGGATAGGAAGTGTTTGTTGATTGGCCTGCGGAGGACCTCCGTTTTGTCGTGGAGCCATGCCACCACCGCGTCCATTCGCACCGCCAAACGCTCCTCGGTAGGAGCCTTGAAGAGGTGGTGGAGCGGCGGCAGGCACAAGTTGAGGGCCACCAGGAGCACCATAACGGGGCATAGTGTAGGATTGAGGTGCTTTTTGGGGTGCCCTGGCAGCGGCTGCGCCTGACAGTGACACGACCTGTGGGTCAGTCACGTTCACAACAGCTGTAGCGGGAACGGTCGATCCTCGGAAAGGAGAGCAACGATCGCCCAGGGATGTCCCGCTCATAAAGGTGGCATCAAAGACAATATCCAGTAGCATGACACGGGCAGTCCTCGTCTTGCCAATCACGGTGCCAGATGAGCCGATCGGAACCCTTCCAGAGTCTTGGACATAGACGATACGGTCACCAATGGCAAAGGTTTGGTGTCCTAGGCGCTGCTCTGCATCCGATGGCTTAAGCAAAGCAACACGAGGCACTTTGGCAACCTTCTTGGGCTCCACATCCTGAGTGAGCGGGAAGTTTGCGTCGGCAGCCTGTTCAATAAGTTTAACGGTATCAGAGTCGAGTTGTTCCGCATCCAAGGGAACCTTTTCAAAGTTCTTTGTTTGAACCTCCTTCAACCAGGCTCCAATCTCTTTGACCTTTTGCTTCGCAACCTCTGGAGGATAGAAGTCGGTATCCTCCCAGCCATCGCCAGTAGGGTTGTTGATGATAGCGGCGATGAACTCGGGGAACTTGATCATGTACTGAGCAAGCAAGTCCATGGCCTTTTGACTGTACTCCCAACCATTCTGAGACTTGCGAGAGTACCCTAGCACCTTGAGCTTCTTTGCTTCGAACTTGAGATTAAGTCCCAGATTCAGCTTGAGCCCACTCGAGTTGACGTTGAAAGACGAAGTCAACTTGGATAGCGCCAGCGGTGGCATATTGAGCTGTCGTGCAACGACATACGACGGGATATAGGGTGTAGCCTTCTCGGCCTTGCGGACAACGTCACGACCAAAGTCGCGCTCCGGCTTCTTGAGCTTCGCTACCATGATATTGGCCTTGCCATCAGTATGACCTATGACTTGTAGAGGACGACCATATGCATAGTCTCCCAGGTAAAACGCCCTAGCACCTTCAGGAAACTCCTCCTCAATCGGAAGGGCTTCACGTTCCAAGAAACGAGGGTCGGCGCTGACAACCTCGTCGACGATGGTCTGAGTCGCGTACTCAACCTGCAAGCCTGGAACAGGACCGTACTCCTTGATGGTCGCACCGTCGTCTGTCTTCTTCAGACCTTTGAGCATTTCCACGTGCACAAGCGACTCAACTTCACCAATGTTGATACCGAGGCGTTTGCTGTAGTTGTTCTCGATTCGATTGGCTGTCTTTTTCCAATTTGAAATGGCCTGCGGGTCGTGAGGAATCGCGACAGGAACCGAGGGCCCACTTTCTGGAAGCACATAGTCAAAGAGTTCGTCTGAAACCTTGACGACCTTTGCCTCGTGGAGGAAAGGATATCCAACATGGACAGCCTTTCCAAGCTTTTCCTTTGCTTGTGAGACTGGCTGGCGCGGCGCTGTGTCCAGAAGCGTGATAACCATGCTCTCGTTCCGACTGTCTTGCTGGAAGACATTGACACCGGCGAATTCGAGCTTGCCGTGGAAAGGCAGGACCTTCAAACTAGGGAAGCCAGCCAATGCGTTTGCGCCCAATTTGACACCATCCATCAAGCCGATGAAGTACTCTAATCCATCCATGGTAGGAAGATCAAAAATGTTTTCAACGCACTTGCAGTGCGGGAGGTCCGGGAAGACACCAGGTAATGATGAGGGGTAGATGAAGTCTAAATCTTTGACGTAGGTAAACTTCAATGAGACACCAAACCCATTGCGCGACTTCTCATCTGCCGTGAGATTGTGTTCTTTCGTGGCCATGGCGCTGAGCAAGCGATCTTCTTGGATGAACGGAATCTTCACAACGGCCTCCCAGTCCTGCTTCTTGCCATTCATATCCAGAGTGAAGTCACGCGGGTAGAAGTCGATGATAGGTGAGTCTTCGCTCGTCATGAGGGGATGGTAAGCCTCCGGGACAATGCTCTTACTGCGGTCTGGCAGGACACCCATCAACTGTTGAAAGGGCTTGAAAGGTTGGCCCAATTTGAAGTTGATATCAGCCTTAAGACCTCGCTTGACATCAGAGATCATAGGGGAGTAGTGGTAACCATAGTACCATGGCCACGACGCTACTCCACGGTAGTAGTAGTAGAGAACCCATTGTAAACCTTGGACGTAATTCTCGGTCAACTTCCGCAGCTCCTCTTCGTTGCTGCGGTCCCAGTCGAACTTGCTCTTGTAGTAATCGTTTTTCCAAGCATCAAACTTTTCATCGTACTTCTTCTGCATCGCTGCCTGGGCCTCGTCCGGTGAGATATCGACAATCTTGGCCTGCTCGTATTTTTGTACAACACGCGCAATGGCCTTTGTAGATTCGTCGTCCATTTCTTCTTCCTCGTCGTCGTCCACATCCTCGACCAACTTGGGCGGTGTCGTAATTTGAAGATGGCGTTCCCCTTCATCATTCGTAACCGTCTTCCACGGAAGATGAAGCTTATCAGCGAGCTCTTGCACAAATTTTCGGTCCTCTGCGTTGAGCGACACTGGGATATCTAGAGGAGCCTGCTCCTTCTTCTCCAAATAGGTACTCAACCAGCTCTTGACCTTGGAGAAGAGCTCTTTCTGCTGGGTGGACATGACAACTGTGCCTCGTTTCGCCGTCTTTACCATTACATCCTCCTTTCCGAGGCGCTTGCCCTTGAACCAAGCAGCATCCGCGTTCTCTGACTCGAAGTGGCGGTACTCGATCTGAGAAAGCTCGTCGAGCAAGAGCGCCAAGCGTTCCATATTGATGACACCTTCTTCGTTGATGTAGCCTTTGGCCTTGGGTAGTACTGTCTTATAGACGTTGAACATGAGAGCTAAAGCGCCCTCATTTATATGTAGATGCGGAAGATTGGGAAGAAAATCGTTGCCAACAAAAAAAGCCATTAGTATAAAATCGTCAATAACGCGCTCCATGTCAAATGGAAAGCTGAGAGCACCAGGCTCCTCCAGTTCTTGAAACTCCAGTTCTAGGTATTCTCGAACGATGCAGAGATGCATAAGATAGAAGTTTTGATGTTCCAGCTCCTTGGACTTGGTCTGGCTCTGGCGGCCAAAGGTCACCTCTTCACGCAGCAAGCTGAAATGGGGGTCATGGCTCAGCAGACCCAGCATGATGAGATCTGCATCCAGACCATACAAACAGTGGCGACGGTTTGGGTCGTAGTCCGGCTGTGCCTTTGCTTGGCGGATGTACTCCATGATCTTGTGCTCTCCCTCTCCAGGGACCTCGTGACCGGACAGGACGACTTCCACGCCCTGCCAGTCCAGGTCCTCTGAGATCTTCTTGTTGATAAAGTACTTGAGCTGCTGGGTGAGCTTCGCCATGAAGGCGGTACCCGGCGTAATGCAGTTGCTGTCGAAGGCTTCCTCCGTGGGCATTTCAACGCCTTCACGGATCGCCTTCTCTCGAGCTTTTTCAGCGTCGAGAGCAGTGCGGAAGCGTCGGGCACGCTGCTGGTTCATCTTGGCGCGCGGGGCGACACCGTCGATGGCCATGAAGATGAGCTGCTTGGGCTTGATCTTGCCAAACAAATGCTCAATGTAATTGAAGATGGAGATGAACATCTTATCCTCGGATTTGCGTGTCGTGACACTATCGTTGTCATTGTGTGTGCAGTTATGGATAATTCCGTTCATATCAAGCTGTCATTGTTAACTACACACCTTTGCACTAGCAGATGCACGTACATAGAGACAATCGAACTCAGGAATGCGATTCTCCGCAATGAGCTGCGAAATACCGGGATACCTTTCGGACATCCATCGGAAGAACTTTGGAACACCCATGACAGCGGCTACTGCTGCTTCCTAGAGATGGTATGTGTGTATGTGGTAAGGCGACTACGTAGGTGTAGTTGAAGTGGCGGCGGGGGTGCAACGCGAAGGGCCGCTAAATGGGTAAGAGTATCCAGGAGGTGTCGCAGGGAGATGGCGCACAAGGCGCAGAGGAGGTGAGGGCGGGAATAGAGCTGAGGGGGTGTGGTTCTCGACGCTGGGGCCTTCAAAGAGTTCGTATGTCGTCGTCTAAGGCTGTGAATATATCGCGGCGAGTGCCAAGAGATTCAAAAGGCACTAACCCAAAGAGTATTATAGTCCGACACGACAGCGATCCATAGAGATACACGGCTTTCCCTAACGCGAACCTTTGGTATGAAGCGCGTCGAGCTCCACACTTTTTGCATCAACGACCAACGCTCTAGCTATATATTCTCACGACACGCGACTACGAGACGATAACATCTACGGATCGCCATGGAGGAGACAATGAGTGGTAAGAATTTTTTATATTCCAATTATATTCTGCCGTGCAGCAAGCCCGCAAACCCCTCCATCTGCGGACGCCATGCAAATCAGACCATGGCATGTATTGTCGCGTATGACTCTGCAGTGTAATTGGGCTCATCAGACTGGTGGCCATCGTTGGAAAACTACTGACTAAACTCCCGCCCACAGACGCCCTTGACCCACGCGAGATGGAGGACCAGGAGCAGGTCGAGCACAAGATCATCAACGAAGAGTACAAGATATGGAAGAAGAATAGTGTTTTTCTTTACGACGTCCTCTATGGCCGTGCGCTCGAATGGCCAACCCTCACCACACAATGGCTGCCAGACAAGAAGCCGTATGATGCTCTTTGACCCCCTCCCTCTCATCTTGCTATGGCGCTGATACCCGCGCAGAGTCGAAGGTACCAACATGAGCCAGCACCGCATCATCCTCGGCACCCACACCTCGGGCCAAGCCCAAAACTACCTGCAAATCGCCCACTGCGAGATTCCCGACTTCCGCGTCCCAGACCTCTCCGAGCTCAACGAGGAGCGGGGGGAAATTGGCGGCCACGGCAATGCCAAGCGGCCATTTGACTTCAAGATTGTGCAGAAGATCAACCACCCGGGCGAAGTCAACAAGGCGCGCTACCAGCCGCAGAACCCCGACATCATCGCCTCGCTCTGCGTGGACGGCAAAGTGCTCATCTTCGACCGGACCAAGCACCCGCTCCAGCCCAAGGGCGACGCCATCCAATTCGAAGCCGAGCTCGTGGGACACAGCCAAGAAGGATTCGGACTCAGCTGGAGCCCGCTGCGCGAAGGCCACCTCGTCACGGGCAACGAGGACACGACGGTCAAGACGTGGGACATGAAGACGGGCTTCTCAAAGGGCAACAAGACCATCAGTCCCACGGCCACCTACACGGTCCACAGCGCCACCGTAAATGACGTCCAATACCACCCAATCCACGACTTCCTCATCGGCACCGCCTCGGACGACCTAACCTGGCAAATCCTCGACACCCGCATGGCCACGCACAAGACAGCCCTGTACCGCAAAGAAGCCCACCAAGACGCCGTCAACTGCGTCTCCTTCCACCCGGAATTCGAAATGACAATGGCCTCGGGCTCGGCCGACAAGACCGTCGGCATCTGGGACCTCCGCAATTTCACCAAGAAACTGCACAGCCTGCAGGGCCACCGCGGCGACGTCATCGGCCTCCAGTGGCACCCTCAAGATAGCGCGATCCTGGCGAGTTCGAGCTACGATCGCCGTATTTGCATGTGGGATCTCAGTCGCATTGGCGACCAGCAGACGGAAAAATAGGCTGAAGATG